TTTGTGTTGCTGTTTGCATTTTTTGTTTTTGTTCTTTTGTCTTTTTGACAGGCTCGTTTCGTGCTCGTCTTTCTTGGCCACCTATGGCGCATTGCGCATTCTGCATCACTTGACGGGCTTGCGACTCGAGTACCTGTTTTCGTACTTTTACACAGTCCCTGCAGTCAAGGACGTGGCAAACCGCCAAGGGCTCTTGGCGGCCATCCTGCTCAGTTTTCTGGCATTTGCTCTCGACATTATCTTGTACCTGGTCGCTCCGGTGCGATGGCTGCTGGCGCTTGCCTCGTCCATCATCTGGAGCTGCGCGGCCTGTGATTTTGGCAACGTTGCATCAGCTCGCTTCGCAACAAGCATCTGGCCGTTCTCCTCCAAACCAGCCAGGCTGTCTCCGGCTCCATCCATCTCTCAACCCCTCGCAACAATCCCGCTCATTCCAATAGTGTTTGTCTGGGCGGTTGCCGTGGCCCAAGAATTCCTGGTGCGCGATTTTGAATCCGCCACCGTATTTTGCCGCGTGTTTGCGTCCCACAGCGTCGGTGCCCCCGTGGTGTTTGCCTGCCTCTCCCTCTACCACGTTCTGTCTCTCGTGTGGGGGCGACGAGAGCAGCGGCGGATTGCCATGCATGACGCTGGACTTCGTGCATTGCTGGCCACTGCGTGTGTTCGACCCGATGATTCTCAGATTTCTCCCTTGGCTTTGCCCCTCCTTTCCGAAGCAATGGATGCTTCTATTGACGACCTGATTGCAGCCGAGACTGCAGGACAGCCTTCTTCAGCACCACTCCCTCTTGCAGCAGCAGCAGCAGCAGCAGCGCACTCAGAGACAACCTTGGCCCTGGCTACCGACCGAGCCTCTTCTCCAGCATCGCAACCACGGTTTGACCCAAGACTCGCTGGCATCACAACCAGTGAAAACGGAAATCTGGTGTTGGCCTTTCAGATGAACCCGATCAAACCTGGCCACGAGGCCAAGGCAACATCTGTGCACGCTGACTTGTCAACACAGGACCTGGCATTTTTGAACTCTACGCCGGCCGGCCGCTCCATTGCTGCCTCATTGCGAGTGGCTGCATCAGCCGCCACCACCTCGACTGGCTCACAGCACTCGCCCCCTTCGCTTGCTGCTCCTGCGTCGCAGGCCGCTTCTTCTGGAAAACATGCGTCAAATGGCGTCAACTCTTCCTCGCCAGCACCGACGGCGCAAACCAGCAGCAGTCGCAAGAAATCCAAGCAGCAGTTGCGCGATGCCGCGTCTTCTTCCTCTGGCTCCTCGACACACAACAACATTCCATCCCACGAAAGCGAGTCCGACACCTCCAACCACCCTCCACCAGACTCTAGCTCCCGTCGTGACTCGGTCGATCTGAGCGGTGCTTCCGGCTCTTCGCAGCAGCAGCAGCAGCAGCAGCAGCAGTCACAACAGCACAACGCATCGCAAACGCCAATAACGACTATTGTAGATCCCTCGATCGACGCAACCATGCGCCTACTCAAGGAAGAACAAACCGTGCGCATGAAGGTGGAAAAGAGCATGGCCAAGCTGGATCGCGAGGTTGCTCGTTTGCGGCTCGTGGAAACCGCCTTGCGCAGCGACTTGTCCAAGCAACGGCAGTCAGTCACGGCCATGGAGGCAGACAACGAACAACTGAAGGAACGCGTGACCGAACTCAAGCAGTCAAAGCAGCGGGTACTGGAAGCCAAAGCCGCTCTCGAGCGTCAAACGGCGAGTGATCGCCACGTCATTGAGGATCAGCAACGGCATCTGACTCAACTGCGTGCTCAGGTGGAAGAAGTGCGCTCAAAGAGCCAGCAAGAAGCAGGCACGGCGCAGGACACGTTTGCCAATGAACTGGCCGAACTGACCGCGAAGGCAGCTGCTGCAGAAGCGGCTCGCGCTCGTGCCGAAAAGGAATTGAACGTTGTTCGCAACAAGTTTCGCCGTCTCGAAGATGAAGCTCGGAAATCCAAGGAGGAAAGCGACCAGTGGAAGCAAGACGCGGCCGACGCACGCTCGGAACAGAGCATGCTTCTGGCTGGGCACGAATCGGTGACTGCGCTTGTCGAGACCCTGCAAGTCCTGCAAGAAGAGAAGCGCACGCTGGAGACGACTCTCAGCTACGAGACCCGATTCAAGATGGAGCTCATGCATGAGCTGTCCAAGGCCCGTCGCGAGGTTGAAGCAATCAAAGCCGGCCGCTTCATGTGATGATTTGGCTGGGGGTATGACAGGTGGATTGTTTTTGTATGCTGCTGTTTCGCTGCAGGCAATACACCCATCTTTGTGTGCTCAAAACATGCAACCAAAAGCCGCCCGGCGGTCCCGTAGACGTAGCATGGATGCTGAAGCAAGAAGGAAGATATTTGATGCAGAGTGTGTGTGATTATTTCTCTCCAGATTCAACACGTCTGCTTGGGCTTGAATTGGATCGGTGTCGGTGAAACGATGCGACGGCTGTGCGATCTTGATTCGACAAACATCATTTCTGGTATCATTGTCCTTCTTTGATTGCACGGTCGTCTCAAGAAGATGGAGGTCAGTCAGTCAGGCAGAGGTTGGGGTGGCGTTCGTTTCCAGCAGTCAACTTTTCTTTTTCGTCCGTGATTAGATCGTATTGCATTTTGCCCTGGCTTTAACACATCAACATGTGGTTGTGGCGGAGCTGGTCTAACGCGTCAGATTAAGGCTCTGATCACTTCGGTGGCCTGGGTTCGAATCCCAGCAACCACATTTTTTTTTGTTTTTGTAGTTTTTTTTTTTTTTTTTGGCGTTGCGCGCCATTCCCATTGCCGTTTCTGCGCCATCCTGTGTCAGAAATTTATGGGTCTTGACCTTTTGTGCTTGCATGTTCGTAGCGAGTGAGCTGGATGTCTCCTGGAGAGGTTTGGAAGTCCGCTGGGTTTTTGTTTGTGTTTATCATTTTTCAATCCATCGAGGCAAGCATTCAATTTCTGACGGTTGATTGACTGACATCAACTTACCTTTCAATCCTTGGGCAAATACGGATGCAAAGATGCTCCCTCGACGAACTTGCGCAAGCGTGGAGGAGTGTTTCCGGATTTTGATCGACCGTTCTCATCGAAAAACAAGCGACCTACTTCATCTGTCGGACTGAGACCTTGAGGTTTTGTTAGCCAGGCAATGTCGCTCCGAACTGTCTTTACTGCACTGTACAGACTGGCATGCAAACGCAGAAATCAGCTGACAAACAACCAAAAACCCAATCGTAAACACATTCGGACATCCCATCATCGTCATTCCTTGACAGAGAAGAGCAACTCGGCAGGAAACGAGCTTTCTGTGTCTTGGTAGTTTGAATTTGGGTGTATCATGCGGATGGTGTTGCTTGGGTTGCTGAACGGTAGATCGTAATTGGGACACGGGTTTTTGAGAGAACTTGACTTTTGGCCGCATCATCTTTGCGAACGCCTGAGGATTCATGTTTGATAGACTGGACAGAATCCCTCGACAAATAGAACATTCACCGCTATCATAAATTACGACATGAACTTTATAAATGGAATATTCAACCAAAGTCAAAGAAAAGTGCTGGGGATGCGCTTGTTACCACTCGACAAAACATCCGACACCTTGACTCAAGCTGAAAGCGATCTGTAACACCTCAGTGCAAGTCGCCATAGTCTGAATTAGATAGAAAATCATATTTGCAACCTTCTTGTCAAGTAAGAGCGGACGAACTGTTCCGCAACCACGACTTCAGGACCGTACAAAACCAAGCGACGAAAACGCTGGAACATTTGCTTTTCTGGTCACTCGGTCACTCACCGCTGTCGCTATACAATGAAAAGCTGGCTCAAAAGCTCCCCTTTATTATCATAACATAGCCATAGGTAACAATGCAACGACACGAATCAAAACACGCAATTCAGAAATCGGAACAAGAGCTCAAAATCAAACATCCTACCCGGAAGACACCCTGAATCGTTCACAAAGTATGCTAGAGTTGAATGCAAAGTAATATGGGCTTAACAATATAGCGAGGAATGAGTGGGAGCTCGAGCGGACTGAGCGAAATTTGTGACAATGACAAAGACCAAAAACAACAAACAACAAATGTAATTCAGAGCATTAAAATCGTAAATCGGGTTGCACGATAACATGAGGAGGATGCAAAAATGGACTGAAAGGATGCACGACAGACAGTGGGAGTTGCGGCAGAATTAGAAGTCGAAGAAAGAAAGAAACAACAATAAAAGAAAAGTCAGAGTGGAGCTCAGAGGAAGAAGGTCGTTTTTTCGTTTTCAATGAGAGAGAGGAAAGTCCCAGTGCGCCGCTCTTTGCGATAGTGCAATGCAAAGGCAACACGCGTAACGAGGCGTTGGACAAGCCGCAGCCAAGATACCCGGGGCAAAAATAAATTTGATAAAAAAACAGGCCGAAGCCTGCATTCCATTATCAAACGGAATAGAACAGATACTACTTTCGGATCATAGCCATTAGGCCGTGAAGCTTGGCGAGTCTCATGAATCGCGCACGAGAGAGAGAGGGATGACAAGTCAGGGTCGGAAAATTCAAAGGACGGTGGCGAGGCTAGGTGTTTGGCACGATTCAGCATTTTCAGCCAGTTTGATTTTGGGATGCGCTGTTGCTGCCTGAACGTCGGGTTTCTCTTCGCCCCGCGCCCCCTCAGATCGCCGTCCTCACTGCACGAAACTACGCAGTGACATACAGTGACAGCGTGTCATGTAGGGAGAACGGGCGATCTGACCTGGTGGTTGGGAGGGAGGCGTGCGTTGTCGTGTCGTTTCGTCTCGCGCACTCGTCCCCGTGCGCAATGTAAAACCGCACTGAATAATGGAGATGACAAAAAAAAAAATATTGCGTAAATTTTTCAGTGTGGGCGAGAGTTGCTGGCCAATGTTGACACTTTTCGTCTCCCTTCCACCCACTCGCAACCAAAAAAAAAAAAAAAAAAAAAAAAAAAAAACCGCTTGAACGGTAGCCCTGTTTGGTTTATTCCTGTCATAAAAAGGCTGAATAACAATGCCAAAGTTGCGCTAACAAGCACAACACGTCAATTCGCAGGTCACTGGAGCCGACTAGCTGCCAGTTGTTGACGCACGAATCTGGTGCGCCATCGTGCGCGCCTCTTGGAGCTTATCGACCCACAGGTTGGCGAAAACCTGGTTGTCAGCGCGCACAAAGTACGTGCGATTCGGGGTCACGATACGGAAGGCATGCGCATCGGAGGAGCGACCGCCGTCTTCGTGCTGGATGTCGTCGCAGTTGGCAATGTCAATGACACCGAGCGGGAGGTTGCTGCTCGAGGGTTGCAAATTTGCCTTCTGAATGGATGAAGCGACTGGAGTCGGCTCTTTATAGTACCGGAGCTGCAGCGTGGCCGAGTCGAGAACAAACCAGCGTTTCTTCCACGTCTTAAAGTTGCCTCCTTGCTTGGTCAGGTAGCCTTCAATCACCACACCAGTTCGCGAAAGGGATGCTATTCCCTCTGACGCGGTCACAGCGTTGCGGGATGGCTGACCAAGCCCAGGAATCGTGACGCCGCTCGAGCCACTCGCCAGAACGGACGAATTGACGATCGTTTTCGCAGGAGAAGGGGGAATGCCGTCACCAGAACTGGAGGCAGCCGCAGCTCCCGGCACCAAAGGCGCATGGGGCTGGGGCTGGAGCAAATGCACAACAGTGTTTCGAGCAACGCTCGATGGTTCAGCCTGCGACTCGGACGCATCGTTCGCGGACGGCTCGCGATCGCGGTGAGCAGACTGCGAGTTGCGTGCACTTGATGCATCTCCATTCGCAAACACCAACGTGCTCAGCGTCCAGTCGTTCCTTCGCGCTCGTCGCACGCCCTGGAAATAAAAGTCATTCCACACGAGCATGCGCAATGGCGATGCATCATAGTACAGCACTGGCTGGCTGGGCGGCGAGTATGCAATGTTTTGGTAGAGTCCCTTGGCGTTGTCAATGTAGTCCCAGAGCGACAGCGTTCGGGAGGCGAGATCGGCTTGTCTTCGTTCAAAGTCATTGTTGAACAAGAACGTGCCAAATCGGCATGTGTACGCCTCGTTGGCGACAGTGATTAAAAAGCGTGCATTGAACTCGAACGCAGACGGAAATTGGTTGCACAGCTGCCACACGCAGTCCAGGAATTGGATGAAAATCGGCGACCGTTGTTCATCGCTGTGATTTTTCGTGCCGTGTCCGAGCCTGACAAAGCAAAGTCGGAGAGACAAGAAGCAAAGAGAGAAAAGGTCAATCAACAACAACAACCACAACAACAACAACAACAACAATAATAAAAAACACTTCTCCTCACCGTTGAGCAAATTTGTGACCCATTGACAGCCATTCTTTCTGGATCAAACACTCAAATCCGACAATAGTGCGGTAATACGGGTCCAAGCACAATTGCGCAAGGGCAGAGAGCTGTGGCGTGCGATCCCAGCCATCAGAGCAATGGATTAATACGGAGGCGCGTTCTGCAAGAATGATGTGCACAATACGCAGTGCGCCTTTCAAAACTTGGCTGACGTGCTGCAGCCACTCTACATGCGACCCGCGATGAAGCCGTCTGCACAGGTTGCCACAATCCCAGAAAAAAAAAACCCCAACCCAAACAAACGAACAAAAATGAGCGGGGTTTGACGCCAGCAAGGACTCTCATAACCGACTTACTTTAAACACTCGCGCATGACGTGAATGTTCTCAATGTTCATGAACTCAATCTCAACATGCTGGTACACGGAAGTATGCTCGACACCTGCGCCCATGGCCTGATTGGCAATCACGTTCTTGTAGGGGCGGGCATCGACCACGAAAAGTTTGTTGTTTCGCTCAATGTTAGAGGCAGCGAGCAGTCGCAGCATCGATTCATCGACGATCGAGCGCTTTCCGAGAACGCCGATTTTGGGCTGACTACATCGTGTGATGGAAGCGCCAGAAGTACTGTGGACCTACACAAAAGGGGGGGGGGAAATAAAGGGGAAAATGGAATTGTCGGCGTCAAATTCAGCGCAAAGGAAAACGTAGCATCAGAGAATCAAAGCACAAACGGTGAGTTTCGCCAGCTAACAACACCAGCAACAACACTTTAGCCACAAAAAAAAAAGTCGAACAAACCCAAGAAAGAATGGGAAGGCGCCCCTGCGTGCGGAACTTGGCCACGTCCTTCAAGTGATCCTCGGACAAGCCAGCAGGAACGACGAGCTGTGCGGGGTAGCTGGGGACGAGCTCGTGGTTTCGGTTGGCGTCGGATATTTGCCAATAGTCATTGGGAATACCCAGCCGAGCATAGTCGCCTGCCACGCTGACTGTCGACGTTGAGGCAGCTGGAGGAAGACTTTGCAACTGGATGGAGTGGTTTCTTTGGCTGGATTGAGCTGGATTAGAATCGACAGTCAACGGAATGTGAAGCGAAACTGCACCATGGACAAAGGCAAAGAGGGGCTTGTTGTAGGAAAGAGGGAATGCTTGAGACACGAGCATGTCGTACACGTGTCGTCGTTCGTAGTTGACATGGCCTTCGAGATCAAAGCCCAGGAAGAGAACCGTGCCATCCTTGCAGTACACATCCAGTCCGTAAACGCTATCTCGCAGGTTTCGATGGCCTCCAACCTTTTCGGCGTGGCTCACCAGCCCCAGAGGGATTTCAAAGCCCACTCCGTTCGCGCCAAACCAGGCGTCATCGAGCTGCGTTCATTTGTAGAATGGTGAGTAACCATGGGGTCGCGACGCATCAAATGCACAAGTTCTGCACCACTGTTTTTGTACCTCAATGTCATCGAGCCCCGTGAGATCATTGACACTGCTTGCTAGAGATGCAGCAGTCGATGCGGATGCACGCCCATCCGCCGGCTCCGTCAGCACGCCGTTGCTCTCTGTGTTGCTTGGAGCGACATCGTCGTCGTCTTGCCTGGCGAGTGCTTGGGACAGATTGTCCATCGACGAGTACTGACGCGCGGCTTTCGAACCACCTGCCGTAACCGTCGCATTTGCATTTGGCAGCGATCCTCGACCACCAGCGCCGGTTGCTGCAGTGTCCGCGGCGGCATGGTTGTTGCCAGTGTGGAAGGACATCATGAGGCTTCCAACGAGAGCGGACGCGAGACTCGCAGTGCCTCCAACCACAGCACCCGAGGAGCCTGGAGCGGGCACGGCACCACCACTGCCACTACCACCAGCAGCAGCAGCAGCGGTCGGGAGTCCTGGCACGAGTGCTTCGAGCGAAGGCTGGTTTGGCGCCATGGACGACAGGACGAATGCGAGGCGGTAGTTTGTGACGAGCAGCGTGCCACAGGCCACAATCGCAAGCGCACCAGCACCAGCACCACCAGCAGTAGTAGCAGCAGCAGTAGCAGAAGTGATCAGCGTGGCGGGAGTGGTCGGAGTGGTCGGAGTCACGGTCGCCATAGGAGCACCATTGGAAGCGCAGCTCTCTGCTGGGACTTGCAGTTGCGCTTGAAGCTGCGGTTGCTGAGCCTGAGATGGAGTCTGAGACTGAGTCTGAGACTGACTCTGAGACTGATTCTGAGACTGAGACTGTGCCTGGAAGAGGGTGACGAGGTGGGCGGCACGCGCGCCAGCTCGAAAGACGCTTCGCACGTCGCGAGTGCTGATGCGCAGATGCTCGCCTGCCAGCAACGGCGTCAGTGGCTGCGTGTAGCAACTCGGCCCGTCGACAGGCATGACGCGGGATTGTGTGGGTTAGGGTTGGCTTTGTCGGATGTTGTTGATCACGAACCGAAACAAACAAAAAAAAAACCGAAAAAAAAGAACTGTCAGTGAAACTCTGAGAAGCGCAGCAAAATTGGTAAAGCGCAGGTTGATTTGTTCGATGACCAGGTTAGACGTCAAGAGATGCATGACTTTAATCCCAAAAACACAAATACACAAAGAAGGCAGTTTGACTTTCAGAACAACTCTCGTTTGAAGTTCTGCTCGCTTTGACAGTAATGCGCCTCGTGGGGGGGGGGGGGTACTACGCTACGCTCCGTACTTCACATGGTCGCGCTTCGCGCTCCTTGTAACAACTCCCAAATAAACGGGTGCCCCCTATTCTATAATATATGGGGCTGTTTTTTTTTAAAAAGGTAGCATGAAACTCTCTCTTTCTCACTTGCAAAACAACTTTCGCGCGCTTTTTTTCGTCGCCGCCGCTTTTTTTGTTTTTTCTCTTTTTTTTTTTTTTGTTTCGCCGCCGCTTCTTCCTTCTTGTTCACGCCCTTCATGGATTCGGCCACTCAAGTTGAAACGAAGTCAGAGTTTCGGTATGTGTCGTGATGATATTTGCAATAGATAGCGGCCTTGAGCAAAATCGCTCATTCTTTACTGTACCTCAGTCTGCACCAGCTCCAGCTGCAGAACTTCAAAAGGTTCGAGGATATAACTTTCACCCTGACACCCAGCCCCAAGATTATCGTTGGCGCGAACGGCTCGGGCAAGACGCAAGTCCTCTGGGCGATTATCATCTTCCTGCGCGGCCACAACGCTCGCGTCCCCAGCTCCCAGCACTTCCACAGCGACCCGTTCGAGTTTATTGAGCTCCAGGACTTGTTGGGCGAGACATTGTTCAACAACCTGCATGAGGGAGCGCGGACGCTCGTTCGTGTTGGCGCGCTAAACAGCAAGTTCACGTTGACGGGCACCTTCCTTGACCGGCAGTACCATGGAACCGACGACCAGAGCCGCCCGAACGTGCATGCTCAGATGGTATACTCATTGAAAGAAGGGCTATACCTCGACAAGACAACCCACAAATCATTCGCTCCCGTCCGTTTCGCCTTTATGCCGCCATTCTAGAGAGGGCCTCCCTAAAAAGACTCAGTCCCCCCTGTTCATTTCCTCGCCCTGCCACCTATATCATTGGAAAGAGCATAAATTATATAGTTGATTTGGTAATTTTGGTGCGAATCGGAGGGGAAAATTTTCGCTTCGATTTGGCTGGGCGTGCATTAGGGCTGAGTCTTTTTAGGGAGAAACTGACTTTGCCAGTCCCGTGTCGCCCGTGTCGAGGATCTGTCGGCCCATCTTCAACTGGGACATGTAATACCAACTGGTATCTATGTATTGCAGTTGGTGCGACGGTTACTGTATGTGACCACAGAACCCGGCAGGTGCCAGACCGCCCGCGCCGGACGGGCATGGTCCAATCTTCCCCTGCCTAGACATGATTTCACCCTTTTTGACCGGAAAAAACACATAACTACATTGAATGACATGGGATGCACATAGAATTGAACACAAAACACGGAAAATTACAGTGGTAGCGTGTTGCTTCGAGAAAGGTTTGTCAGGTCGCTGAGCGCCGGCCTTGACGACGCAGGTTGGAGGTCTACACGCGCCAATTTGACATTATGTCCATCTTGCTTCGTAGTACTACGCGTTGGCATGCGATAGCGTCGGATTTCTTGGAGTTCGGTGGAGCTCAGCTGATAATCGACTTGAACAACATCGCTCGAGTCTGATGTGACCGTGGTGAAGACGGGCGCGACGTTTTCATCGTCATCTTCCTGGCGACGCTTGCGGGCGGCTTGAGGTTGACGCTGGACATCGCTGGGGTCCTCCTGGTTGTCGTTGTGGCCGATGGCAGCGGAAGCCATTTCGGACGACGCTTGATTCTCGTCGTCATCGTCGTCAGACTCGCTTTCCTCCTCGCTGGCTGATTGATCCAAGTCGACAGTGTCGTTCGCCATCGATTGCGAAGCGAGAATGGGCCTAGGCCTGCTGACGCGCCGAGGAACGAGAGGTGTGGAAGCGGTCGCCGCTGGCTCAAGACTTAGAAGAGTGGGTCGCTTGAGACGGTTCTTGAAAAATGTCGCGCGGTCACGTACGAGCTTGGTATGCTACAGGCGAGCAGCAGCTAGCTTGTTTCGGGTCTCCGCGGCAGTTGCCGATTCGATGTCCTGCTCGACCTCTTCTCCCAGAGCAGCCAGCTGAGTCTCCAGAGCAAGAATTGTCTCCGCAAGTGTCAAGATGCGTGAGTCAAGGTCTTTTAGCGTGCGGAGGAAGATGGGCCGTTGCCGATTGTACTCTTCTTTCAGAGGTTCGAGCTGCTTCCTCTTCTCTTGCAACTCCTGCCGCTTAAGCTGGGCATCCCTATTCTCCGGCGTAAGCGGGGATCGAGCGGTCGAGTTCATAGAAACGCGCATGGAGCTGTTGCCAACGCTCCTGGACCGCAGGGGCCTGGGTGGGGCCCGAAGGACTTCTTGCACCGAAAGTTCGACCTCGAGATTTCGACGCAAATCAGCTACCGCTGCATCGTGCACCCTCTTTTGCTGTAGAGCTCTCGGAGTGCAACCAATGGTTACCAGGGCGGCATCGGCAATCTGACGGACACGGTACAACGCCGAATACCGAGCATCCGGGGTCGGGGGTGGCTCGGGAATGTGCAGCGAGGGGGTCGTAGACACGGCAACGTCAGCGACGGAAGGCAACGCTAGGGTCTTGTGCTTTTCCGTGTCCAGCGGATAGATACCAGTTTGGCGAAACCCAGATCGGATCAAGTTGGATCGGTCGTCAATTTCGTTCCACGCCCGAATGGCCCCGTGAAGCTTGATGTTCACGTCGATGAGTGGCGAGTCTTCATCCAAAAGCGACTGCACGTGAGTCTCGAGCAAGTTCTTGTACCAGGCAAAGACGGTGACGTCGAGCGGCTGCAAGTGAGTCGACGTGTGCGATGGAAGGATCGCAACCAGGATGTTGTTGCTCACCGCGAGGTCAATCAACCCGACAGTGAACTTGTGACACGAGCTGCCATCCATCACCAATAGAACGGGGGTGGTGGTAGCTCGCTCCTTGACGACCTCGACGAAATCTCGAAACCACTTGTCGAAGATTTCCTCGTTGATGAAGCCGGACTCGGACTGGTGAATCAACTCCTCGTCCAGGCCCTCGGTGCACCTGTGAGGTAGAGTGGGCCGTGGATGCGCGACAATGAAGTGGGGCGCAACAGGAGCGGTGCCATCAGCACAAACAGTAAACAGACCAGTAACATGCGGTCCCATCGTAATGGTTCGGCCAGATCGCCGACTGACACGCTTGACACCAACAGCAGCCAGGGCACGCTTCTTTTTACGACCCACAGAGCAATCCGACTCGTCCATGTTGAAAATATTGGCCGGCGTAGCGAAAAGAGTCGGGTAAAGATTGCTGTACTCCGCCAGTAGCGCGAACAAACTGCCGAGCTTCTTTTCACTCAAAGCAGCCACTCGAAGTGTTTCCAACACGCTGCTACTGCGCCAGCCAATCTGTGAGCTGTGACGGGCGACAAAATCATTGACCCACTTGTCGGAAACTTTGTCGTGCTCAAATTGACGTCTTTCCACGCCGTCCGGCCTCGGCACCTTCGAGGCTGCAAGCACATATCGAGTGAATTCCGTTTTGCTCAGAGAGACAGCTCCTAAGCAGCACCGCTTGACAAACTCGACGAGCTCTTGCTCCTCGGGGACGGTGAACACGTAGCCTTGTCCCTGGATGGGATCCTCGCGCAGAACGTCAGCCAACTCATCTAAGGTCATTCCAGGAATGTCAGGAGCGAGGTTGGCGTGGGCCTTGATGCAGCGGGCGATCATGGACTGCGATCGACCCAGCGCATGGGCGATGTGGCGGGTCGTCCAGATTCGCTCGGCGGAGGCTCCCGGAGCTCCGCCGACATCCGTAGTGGATAGGAACGGGTCAAAATAGTATAGTTTGAGGGCGGTGGCCTTCGTCAGGAGCCTCTGGCGGAAGGGAGACGCGGTCGCAATCTGGGCGAGGCCGACCTCAAGTTGCTCCTGCGCCCGTCTGACCATGTCTTCCTTGTAGCTGGAATGAGTGTTCATTGATATTCGAAGACGGCGGCGGGGTGGGAGGAATACAAGCCGAGATAATCGGGTTTGAGTCTTTGTAGGGTGGGGGGCGCAATGGTTTTTGGACTGAGTCTTTTTAGGGAGGCCCTCTCTACAGATGGGGAGCGCAAAGGAGCGAGATGACGGTCCAGGATACGTTCCTGTCTGCTGGAGCTCAGCACTTGCGCGTTCGGCTTCCCGCGGCAGTCGACTTTGTCAATGAAGCACTTGTGCAGCTCGGTTTCGCCGAGACGACAGTTGCGGCGCAAGGATCTGGTGGCCCTGTCGCCGTGACTGTCACCGAACGCGGCGTCGCCCTGCACATTGGTGCCTGCGCAGGTTCAATGCAGAAAATTATCGCCATCCTGACGTTACTCTACCACTTGATCCACCCTGCAGCTGCCGCACATAAGGAGGACACAGCTCGCAAGCTCACGACCGAGACTTTCACACAGCGCATCTTTCTCATCGATGAGCTCGAGGCATTGCTCTACGAAAATGTGACAGCCAAGCTCTACGAGTTTCTCGTCAGCACATGCGCCCAGCACGACATTCAGCTCATTGTCGCCACCAACTCGCGAGCCATCATCGAGCCGCGCCTGAACACAAGGCGCGAGGTCTTGTTCCTCACTCCGGATGGCAAGGCCGTCGAGCTGACAGACGAACTGCCCAAGGACGAGGAGAATCAGCAGTCCCTCTTCCCGATCCTCAACGCCCTCAGCCAAGTCAAGGACAGCAAGCCACTGCTCGTGGTGGAAGGCGCCAACGACCAGGCGTTCTACAGCAAGTACACGACCCTCGGCCAGCACTTCCAGTTTCTGACCACGTCAGGTGCCGTCAACAAGCAGAATCTCTCCAACATTCTGACGCAGGCGAGGCTCAAGCACGTCTTTCTCAGAGACAGTGACATGTACGCCGCTTCGCCCGATCTCCCAGCTGCCCAGGCTCGGATCGCAAGGAGTGTTGGCGCGCCCGTCGTCTACACGCTGCTGCCGTGCATTGAGTCGTACTTGATTCTGCACCGACTGCTCAAGAGCGTGGACGTAGACGCACTCCGTGTCAGAACGATTCGGGCCCTTCCGCAGTGCAAGTGGTACTTTGTCTCGACCTTCAGAGATTTCGGCAAGGAGTCGAAGCAGAAACCGCCGCCCACAGCAGCGCACCATTGCGAGCCTGAAGGGACCATGCAACGGTCTGCTGACAGGCTTGCCACCATGACGAACGATGAGCTCCGCAAGCTTCCGAAAGCCGATCTCAAACTCCTTTGCGGCAGGTGCAAGGAGCCAATCTTCGCCGACGAAAGCAAACGCGAAGACCGAGCGTCTGCTGCCTCGAATCCACCGACTCCAGATGGCTTTGATGCATTTGGCAGTCTGTTCGGCGCGAGTACCGCGGAAGTCTTTCAGCCGGTCCTTCCGAGTGATTCAGCTTCCGACGAGCCAGCACGAGACCCTGCGAGTGATTTGGCATCAAGTGAGAACGGCGAGGCCGTGGCCATGCTCAATCGCATGCTCGCAGACTCAGAAAACGACCCGGACGTGCTTTGGGACACTTTGATTGCCCAGCTGACAGCCGACGCAACCCCCTCGTCCTCGTCCTCCTCCTCCTCCTCCTCGTTTGAACACAGCAAACGGGTCTCGTTTTGGACTACGTATGTCAAGATGGTCCGCGGCCACGACTTGATGCCGAATGCGGCGGCCGTGATGCGCGGTCTCGAGCGCAGACATCTCCATCCCGACGTCAAAGCCCTGCTTAACGAGACCGAGCAAGCTGTTCTCGCGAGCTTGCACTGAACTATTCACCAATGTCGTGCACAGCTTGATGTTCTCCTTCATGTTTTCAAATATAGTTCATTTTCGAGTTTCACTGTCTCCATCGTTCTGTGTCGTGTCCCGTTTATTTCACCACTTGTAACTGACTCTTACTGTACCCTGTTCTAGGGATGCCACCCATCGCATACCTTGGTGGTTGGTCTTGTTCAAGAAGTACGATTGTTCTCACCTTGTTTTCCCATCTCATGTCGTGGGCTCGGAAAGTTCCATTGAGCTTCTCAACGCTGCGCAACGAACAAGAGAAGATTTAGATCTAGGAGCGATTTTCATGCCCTAATTCTGCCATGGATTATCTACATCTATGGTGTCCTGCCATGCAATGAATGAAATCGGAGAGGAATAGACCCACAGAGATCGAGTGGCGACTGGAGGGACCCAAAAAACCCGCCAATCTTAAAATGCAAAACAACAAAAAACCCAACAAAAATGCACAAAACGCAACAAAAAGCTCAGCCGATTACAACAAAATCCGTGAATGGCAGCTTGTTCTGGCCAATCCCATTCCAACCATCCCTCCCACACTCATGTGCATATGCGCATGGACACACCGACGCACACCCATACACTCTATTTTCTTGCTTTTGCCGAGCGATTTTTTCCAATTTGTTCGGTGCTGCTGTTTTTTTATTTTTTATTACTAATTTATCCTTCGGCAATTTAACGCAGGGCAGTCGCATCTTCTGCGCACTCGACCCATCCCAAACGATCACTGTCGCTCTCGTTGTTGTAAGCTGCCCTCCTTCGTGGCTGGCTCTCTCCCTCGCGACGCGCTTGCAAGTCGGAAGGCGCACGCGCTGAATTTCCAAATTTTTGTTCTGATCTGTTTTTTTGTTGTTTTTTCTTCATTTTTTCTTTTTCAAAATCGAATTGTCACGGGCATCTGCGGCGCTTTGCCCCCCCTGCTCCCGTTCTCGATCGCTCCGAGTGCAGCGTTTTCATCACTTCTGTCCCTCCTGACTCCTTGAGCCAAAGGCACGGATCGGCCGCCTCATTCAACGGCAGTGCCGTGTCTTGTTGTGTTGCTTGGTGCGCCAAACCCCTTCGATTCTCCTCGCTGGCCGCTCGAACTTGTCATCGAGCGATACGCGATTACCCAAAGACAGAGGCTCTTTTGCCCGTCTGCTGCCTTGTGTCGAACCAGCTTTCAAACCAGCGCGATGACAAACTCGACCTGGCTCCAAACCGACATCACTCCAAACTGGAATCCACTGGAAACATGGGTCGTCGGTGTGGGTCTGTTCTTGTTTGTGTGCCAGCTAGGCATGGCATTGTTGCTCGTCGTCGAGCGGGAGTGGAAGCCGTTCAAGGCAAAGCAACCGGTCGTGCTGCTCGTCTGTGTTTTATCGGCAATCCTTTCGTTTCTCGGAGAAATGCATGCAATACTGTTGCTGCCGCAGGAGGCATGCTACTTTTGGAAGCAATGGGCTCTCATAGCACTTGGACTATGCTTGTGTGCTTCCGCGCACCTGTATCGCTTTTTCACGCGATGGGTGGTCTTGAAAATTCTGACGTCTCAACTCATTAGCATTTCGAAAACGTTCCATCGACGGGCTTTCCAGCTAGCTGGTGCCCTCCTCATCTTCCTGCCAGTGTTGGTGTCGAGCGTCGCTATGGGCACGGTTGTTGAAATTACCATTCAGCCGGTCGTGATGGCGAATGGCGAGCTGATGAATGTTTGCTCCTCGACACACAAGACGATGCTCTACACTGTCAACCTGGCCATGGGCATTTATTTCTGTATCCTCGGCACATGGTGGACGTACACCCTTCGCAACGTGCGCGCAGCGTTCAACGAGTATCGTAGCGCTCGGCCTGGCATATTCTGCTCAATGCTTTGTCTTGCTGGGTACTTTACCGCAAGGCTGCTTTTGGACAATGCCAAATTCTACAACCGTGCACTCAAGCTGGCGTTGAACGCTGGCGTCTCAACGCCGATTTTTGTTGCCATTGCCGGTGGCGTCGTTTGGGACTGGCTTACGCGCCGCGACCTCGCCGAAAAGGCTTTTGAAGCCGGCATGGCAATGACCATGCTCTCGCGCGCGCCGTTGCGAGGTCGTTCATCCTTGTCACAGGAAACCCAGGCCACCTCGAGTCGAAAATCTTCCGTTGCAAGCAGCGCCGACTCTACACGCAGTGCGCCGCTACCAGAACCGACAGAATATGCTGTGGAAGTCGAGGACGAGGACGAGGTTGATCTCGAGTTGGAATTGGGTCTTACGCCGGCCGCTCCATCGGCAGTGTCGACTCGCTGACGCTTGCACGTGGTGCAGTGCGTTTTGTTTGCCTTTGTTTGCCTTTGTTGGTGCAGTGCGTGAGTGTGTGAGTGTGTGTTTGTGTGTGCGCTTCGATTTGTACAGTTGTAGTTCTTCTTGCACACCCAACAGCGCAGCAGCAAACCAAGCGGAACCTCAATAAAAGTTCTCAATGAAGCAAATCTTCAAGCAGAGTGCTCAATGCAGAGTGCTTAATGTAAAATCAAAACTCAATTCGGTTCAATGTAAAATCATTTCATTGTTTTTTTTTTGTTTTTCCCGCTTTTTTTTTTTTTTTTTTTTGATCCGTTTCACTATTTAGTATGGCGTCGGCCTCAGCTGGAGCGGCCGGCGCTGGACCGTCATCGTCATCGTCATCGTCATCCTCATCCTCATCATCCTCATCATCAGCTCCACACGGCACCGGCCATCGCGAATCGGGCAACGGCAATGCCCAGCACTGGATCGCTGCTCCCTCAACCACCACCAGCACCTTTGCCACTGCTGCTGCTGCTGCTGCTGCGGCTGCGACTGCGACTGGCGGACACTCGGGATTGTCAGCTGATTCAGCAGCCGCAGCGTTGCAATCGGCGTCGTGGTCATCGCCATCGACGTCGGGTGGTTCGGCTGCAGCAGCATCGTCGCATCCAGCAGCGAGTGACGTCGAAGACGAGACCGCCTTCCTGCGAACCGACGATACAGTCTCGCTCGTGTGTGTGCAGCCGCGTCTCCCATCGTTCGCACAGGTCGCGCGTCTGGCTGCGTCTGCGGCGTCCGCGGCGTCCCACTCCAACAACAACAACAGCAGCAACAGCAGCAACTCGTCGTCGTCGTCGTCAGCAGCTGCCTGGGACGCTGCCGCTGCTTCCGATCCAGCCACTTCCTCTGGATCAGCTTCGTCGTCGGGATTGGAGTTGCGTGGCTTTCTGCACGCGGAGGGCTTTGGGGACTCGACCGTCCGGCTCCGTCATGTCGCTCAGCAGGTAAAATCTCTCTCTCCTGCTGCCAAACCAGCTCATCGTTGGAGGTGTTCTTGTTGTTTGGCTTGTTCACAAAGTCTGGTGATAGAATGGCAGTGGTGGAAGAGACAGAGCGAGAGAGAAAGAGAGAGAGAGAGAGAGAGAGAGAGAGAGAGAGAGAGAGAGAGAGAGAGAGAGAGAGAGAGAGAGAGAGAGAGAGAGAGAGAGAGAGAGAGAGAGAGAGAGAGAGAGAGAGAGAGAGAGAGAGAGAGAGAGAGAGAGAGAGAGAGAGAGAGAGAGAGAGAGAGAGAGAGAGAGAGAGAGAGAGAGAGAGAGAGAGAGAAAATGAGAGAATGAGAAATTCTCAGATTCTCACAATGTTTTGTTTGGCTTTGGCTTTGAATTGTGTTCTGTTTTGCAGAGAGTCCCAACCTTGTTCTTTGACTGCGCGTTCGAGTTCCACCGTGCCGTCTCTGTGCGCGCGCTGCAAGGATCAGCCATCCATGCAGCTGCAAGTCGTGCGCGTCGCACCATTTTGTACGGACATGCGGTTCAGCTGCGCCACGCGAGCAGCCGCAAGCTGGTCGCATGCTCAAACCGGGTGTCGCAAAGCGACCACCTGAGCCTTGTGGTGGAGCTCGTGCCCGAAGACTCTGCCTCTGGCGCCGATTACCGCACTTGGTTTCGGATTGTTCCTGCTTCGAAACAGCGCTCGGACGGCGAAAAGGTCCGCGTTCTAGACGACATTTATCTCGTCAGCCTCTCCTCGGAGCGCTACATGCATGCCACATTTGATCCTTCTTCTGGCCGACTCGGAGAGTCATTGAACACGCTTGGGCCGGGGATATCCGCCTCCTTCTCGCGTACCCAGTGGCGTCTCGCGCCGTACAGCTCCTTCCGCAAAGAAGCTGAGCACTATCTCAAAGGCGGAGATGTGGTTCGCTTCGTCCAGCGACACACGAACGAGTACATTGCCGCCATCCCGCCGTCCACTCTCACCAACTTTGGCCTCGTGGCGGCAGTGGACGCAGCAGGCATTCGACTTGAGGACGCTTTTAAACGCATGCTCGAACAAATCGACGCGGCCACGCACGCGCATGCTGCCACCCTGGCAACCAGCGTTGAGGAATCGGCTCTCGAAGCCGACATACCTCCCGCCCCAGCGCCAGCACCAACTGCTTCGCCCCGCTCGCCAAATGTCCCAAAAGATACCTCCGCCCCACCGCCCCCCGTGCCGCCACCACCTCCGCGCTCGAACTGGCAGCGATCCCCCACCCTCAATGCGACAACTGATAGCGCGTCCCTGACCTCACCCACCGTCCAAGGACTGCTGCGTCAGTCCGCGTCCTCGCTCATGGCATCGGCTTCTCTCCCGCTGCCCGAGCGAGTTGTTCTCCAAGAGCAACGTCAGTCTGGAGCCAACTCGTTCTGGCGAATCGAGCTCTTGCGCACTCACTGGGCGGGTGCCTTTTTGGCTTGGGGCCAGCCCTTCCGGTTGCAGAACTTGTCCACTGGCCACTACCTCGCGTGTGTGCCCGAGTCTCCCTTCTGTTTCCAGAATGTTCTGCACAACACTGGGTTTGAAACAGTGTTTGCGCTCTATCCGTCCTTGTCCTCGTCCGAGGTCTTTGACGACAGCGTTGAGCCAAGCATGGGCGTTGCCACCATCAAGACGGGCGACTCGATGGTGTACCTGCGCCAAGTCGCTTCCGGGTGCTGGGCGCATGGTGTTGACGCAACCTCGCGCGCCGTGGCCGCCCCTACTCTGTTGGAAGGCCACTTTGGCCAGTCTCCGTTCTCCAGCCCGCGCCATCCAACGGCACAAGGTGGCTCGAGGCGCTCGCCTTCGCCGCCGCCCCCTCCGGCAGCTGTTTCGTCCTTGACAACCCCCGCCGTTTCAAACGTGGCTCTGCAGCCAGTTCCAGAGCGCGAGCTGGACGTGCTGCTGGATGGCCATGTCGACGATTCGTTCATTGTTGTGCACGTTGTCGAAGACGACGCGTGGGATGCAGCGGTCGTCAAGGCCTGCGCCGCACAGTTTGACTTGCTGGTGCGCAAGTTTGATGATGCCATCATGCGGCAATACAGCCATCGCCCAGAAAGTGGGCTGTCGGTTGCTCGTGGGCGTTGGCAGCTCGGTGCAATCCTGGAGCCGCTTCGTCTGCTCCTTGTAGACGTGATTGCCCTCTTTGAGTCATCAACCACCGATCGAGCACGCGTCTCGATTCGTCAAGCCTTCTTTCGCAATCATGGCCTCATTGCCAAAGTGCTCGATGTCCTTGACTTGCCGTTTCGCGATTTTCTCGGTCCTGCTGACTTGACTACGTCCGAGTGCATCATGTGGAGTGAGATGATGACGCAATTCTACACGCTGCTCGCGTGCTTTATGCGAGAGTCTGCGGAAAATTGCGACTACCTCGCGCATTCTGGGCGGCTGGACGCTCTCCTGAGCCGATTGGGACACAATAGTGACCTTCTCGAAGTTCTTCGCGTGATTGTGTGGCACCCGTCAGTGATGCACCGAGTCTCAGAGGAGCACATCCGTCTGCTGCTGTCACTGATGCACAAGCATGGACGGGATTGGCGCATTGTCGAAGTGCTGTCTGCGCTCTGCGTGTCTGGTGGCAAAGCCGTCCGCAAAAACCAGAACGCCATTGTTCGCCTCATCGAGCAAAACTCTGACTTGTTTTTCGCAGGGTGTGTTGCTGAGCACATGGAAACCATTCGCGCAACGATTGGCCTCTCGCACGCCAACCTGTGTCTGGAGGAAGATGGCGGAGTGCTTGACCGCTGGTACTTTGAGGTCACCATCATGCAAATGCAAGGCGCCGACTCGCAGTTGGGCGCCCAGGCATCGGGCAGCCAGGCGCCGGGCAAAGACGTGTCCTCCTTGTTTCGCGTGGGCTGGTCGTCGTACAACTTTCGATCTGCTGCCAGGGAAGGACGAGGTGTTGGAGATGACGCCAACTCGTTTGGCTTTGATGGCGAGCGTGTCTGGACGTGTGGTCTCGGCCGGAAGGCTGACACGCTGAGCTCCTCCCCTTCCGCAGCCACCACGATCGCCCCAGACCCGCAGAATCTTTCATCGATCGGGTTTGATCCGCAAGAAAGCTTGCATTCCTTCACTGCTCGTCTCGACCGAGGCGATGCAACCGCTGTTGCGCCTCAACTCCCAAGCCTGCACGGGGCATCGGTTGGCGATTTGTCTGATCGCTCGACAGCTGCGAAATCGTCGTTGCGGACTCGACCGCAGACAGGCATCTCGCGCCAAGCCACCGTGGCGCAGGAGGAAACATCGCCCAAGCGTGCCGCTACCCCGCCGAGCCTGGCACCTTCCGCCAGCAGCCGCGACTTGGTTGACGACGCGAAACCCGGCTTCTTGAAAGTGGGCGATACTTTGGGCTGCGCACTCGATCTGGTCAAGCGCTCCATCTCCTTTGCGCTGAATGGCAAGCCGCTCGTGGTCGCTTTCAGCGAGCTGGATCAAGGCGTGCCTTACTTTCCAACCATCTCGTTTGCGGACGGCGTTCAGTTTGTGGTTAACTTTGGCGATGCCGAGCACCCCCTGCGACACTTGCCTGCCGACCACAACCCTGTCTGCAAGGCTCTGCTACCCGGCCATTCGCTGGAGCTGCACCACCACGTGTTTGCAGGTGGCCTGCTGTCCAAACAGAACAAGCGCCATGCGCTTGTTGGTGGAAGAAGCTGGAACCAGCAGCTCGCGACTTTCATCCCGCGACCCATCAACGCCAGCCAAGTGCGCTTGCCTGCCGAGATTGAAATCATGAAAGAACTGATTGCCGAGAACATTCACGAGGTGTGGAGTAAAGGAAAAGTCGAAGCAGGCTGGGTTTGGGGCCCACAACGAGTTGACGCTGAAAAAAAGCACAACTGCCTCGTCCCGTACAATCAACTGACCGACGTCGAGAAAGAGTATGATCGCAAGCTCGCCGTCGAGACCCTGCAGGTGCTCACTGCTCTCGGATATCGGCTCGCTTATCTTTCAGACAGCAGCGGCGGCGGCAGCAGCAACAAGTACGGCTATGACGCCCCTGCCTCGCTGACCCGGATTCTCGAGCAGGTTCGCGCCAATCAAATCCTTATGGAGCTGCCCGATGTTCCGTTCCTCCTTTCCAACGGGTACAAGCCGACTCCGATCGATACGTCGCGCATCATTCTGCCAGCAGAGTTGTTGGTTTTGGCAGACATGTTGGCGGAGAACACCCACGATGTGTGGGCACAGCAGCGCATTCGCGAGGGCTGGACGTTTGGCATGTCCAAAAGCGCAAAGCATCTGCGCAATCCGTTGCTCGTCGCGTACAATTTGCTGGATGAGGTGGGCAAGAAGGCCAACCGGGACACAGCCCTGGAAACAGTCAAGACTATTTTGGGATTGGGTTTCACCATCACCGTCCCGCCCAAGGACAAATCCAAGACGAAGTCGGGTGGCCGGTTTAAATCCTTGCGCGACACGGCTTTCCTAACGGTCAACGACGAGCCTGTTCCACACACGCCAGGGGCCGAGATTGGCGAGCCCAAGCTCCATGCGAGCTCGTTTGCATCGTCGTTCACGGAGGGAGCGAGCCTGCATCGTCAATCGCGCGATCGTCCCAGCCACCTGCGTTCCTTCCGTCTCTCGCATGCCTTCCAGGTGACGATCGGCAAGTGGTACTACGAGGTCGAGCTCCTCACCGACGGATACATGCGTTTTGGGTGGGCTGAGGCTGCCTTCCATCCGCGTCCCGAAGCTGGGCTTGGTGTTGGCGATGACGACTTGTCATTCGCGTATGACGGCTATCTGGCTCGCAAGTGGAACAACTCTTCGGCCTCCTTTGGCAAACAGTGGCACAAGCACGATGTGGTCGGGTGCCTGCTCGATCTCGAGGCCAGGCGCATGAGTTTTACTCTCAATGGTGTTCTTCTCCAAATGCCGCAAGGAGGCGACGCCGGTTCGCTCTCGGTTGCATTCGAAGGGTTTGAGGTGCGCCATGGCTTTGTGCCTGCATTGAGTCTGGCTGATGGCCAGCAAGTCTCGGTGAATTTGGGTGACTCGCCGCTGCAATTCTTCCAGCGCTACGGCATGCAGGAAGGCTTTGAGCCCGTCGTCAATCTTCATCCCAACTCCGAGGCCCAATGGTCGTACACGAGTGAGTTTGGGCAGTACGTGGCCTGCGAGAGCGAAACGGAGGATTCTTTGTCGGAAGCGGGCATGGCGGCTGCCTCCTCGTCCATTGGCGCTGCGATGAGCTCTCGCGGCCACAACGCAGCACCTGCAATGTCCATTGCTCGAGTCGAGGCCATCACCTCCGTGACGTGGCGAACAAAGGTAAACGACCGTGCCCGGCTTTTGGCTGCTGGCATCATTTCGGCATCAGCCCCCGCTGCCAAGTCCGCTCTCGAGACCGACGGCCACCACCTTGCTCAAAAGCCCGGGTCGGGCTGCACCGACATTAAGGAGCTCGCAGTCCCACGCGCGACGCATCAAATTACGCCGACCGAAGGACATGTGTTTGTCATTTCCCAGGCTGTTGTCATCGAGAACGCCAAGGAAGCTGACTATGAAGTGTTACGGGCTAGTGTTGGCCTCAGGCCAAGGTCAACCACTCCCGGCCGCTACTGCTTTGAGGTTCGTGTCATGCCTGGTCAGGACTGGCGCTTTCTTCACATTGGCTGGATGCAGTCGCCGGCGCAGCCCAACCCGCTCGGTTCTAGCGAGGCCAGGTTTTCGTACATGTTTGATAGCCGCGCTCTGGAACTCGTCAATGCACACCTTTCTGCACTTGAGACTGAAAAAGAAGCGGATGCGACTGACCTCGAGGACGGTCCACCGATGCACCGGGCGCCCCCGCTGATTCGCATTGGAGCAGACTCGTCAGCGTCAGCCTCCGAGCGTGTTGTTCTTTGTGTTGCGGATTTGATCGACAATGCCATTTACTTCACCGTGGATGGAGTTCCTGTGCCAGGAACCGCCTACCGCTTTGCCTTCAGCCGAGAATTCATCCTCACACCGGTTATTTGCGTGGTGCCGACCATTCGCCAACCGCTCCGGGTGCGCTTTGACTTTGCGCCACCAGCATCCATGAGCTCGTACATGTCGGCCTTTTTCTCTCGCGAGGAAACAAGTTCGGGCATCTACCCGCAGCGGTTGGGTCTTGAGCGACTTGCCTCGCTTGTCTGGACGCGTGTCTGCTCTCCTGGCTCTGTTCTCTTGCAGCCAGGTGTCACAAGCCGGCTTATCTCTGCTGTTGCGCCCCTGGACTTTGAATCGCTGGCCGTTCAACGCGGCGTTCAGCCGCAACCACCCGCCTCCGACAGAGGTTCATCGGGACTGATCGACTTGTCTCGTCTCGGCACGCCCTCTACCGGTTCCGAGCCCACGTTTGTCTTCTTTGTTGCCGGTGCCTTTTCGGCGGACAGCCAGTTGCACAATCGGGATTGGCCCGCCATGACCCGAAAGTCCCTGGTGCTCACGCTCCCTGAGAGTGACGAAGCGCAGGACGCGCTCGTTTATTACCACAAGTACAACAATCTGCTCATGCGCCGGTTCTCGGCAGAGCTTTTCAAATTGATTGGCAGCGTGTGCTTTGGCGGAAACGAACGCGGACAGGCGCTCCGCCGCAAGATTGCGCCCGACGTGCGCTTGGTGTGCGGTGTCAAGGAAGAAAGCTTGCCAGTCCAAGTGCGCGAAGCGTACTTCCAGCTTGTCACGCTGTTGTACATGGAGAATGCAAGAACCGGCGAGACTGCTTCGAGCGTGGGTGTGAATACCAGCGACAGCACCACCACGATGCCCACCGGTCAGTCCGCTGTGCGCCGCGGCCACAATGGCTCCTCCAGTACACTCACTGCGTTCGGTCTGGGCACTACTCGCATGTCGGCCATGAACGGGTATGTCCCTTCTCTTGCCGAGCTGACTGGCGGAGAGTCGGACGGTGCCACCTCTGGACCTCGCGACCCTCGGCTCAGCGTCACGAGCTTGAACTCCTTGAACTCTGAAGCGACTTCGACTCCGCGTCCTGGCTTTGCCAAGCTCCCGTCGGGCCGAACCAGGAGACTGATGGAGGGTCTCAAGCAATACGTGCTGGAAGCGCTCAAGCATTTGGTCGGCGCCACGGCGGCGGGATCACGCGTGCCGAACGAGGTGATTGTTGTGGCCATGCTCGCCCTTCTAGACCAAATGCTTGTTGCAAACGAGCTGTCCGAGTCGGAGCTCCAGCGCCTGTTGGTCCTGGTTGCCCCGGAAGCACTTGCTTCCAACAAGTCCGCGGTGGTTGTTGGTCGCTCCAGTCCTCCGCCGTTTGCGGCTCCTGGAAACGCTCTGGTCCGGCTACGGTTGGGCGAGGCCACCAAGTTCCAGCTGTGCATGATTTTCAGCCATCTGTGCGACGCTCTTATTCGCGTGCGCATGTTCAAGGCATACGCGCATCTGCACCAGTTTATCATGCAGGCCAAGGACGACTATGCGGGCGGCACTCCCTTCGATCCGATTGCGTTCTCGAAAGGCCACTCGATCGGCGCGCAGCCCTTGCACGAATTTGTTGTGCGGCGGTTGGACAATCCCGAGCACCCTGCGACGTTGCGCTTGCAGCAACAGCTGGCGCTGCTCTGCGCCAACGTGGATGACATTCCGCTCATCACTGGCGCCCTGAGCGCGGCCGGAGCAACTTCTGGCCTTGCCACTGTTGTCTCTGCTGCGGCAGCCGCCGAGAAGCAGCAGAAGGGCGCGGAGGCTTCCTCCAGCTCTGCAGACACGCGTTCGCACGGGTCTGCCTTCCATCGAATCTCACCCACCTCCGCCGGTGGAGCAGGGCTGGCAGCTACCCTGCAGAATCTAGTGCACTCGTCAGTCTCGGCAATTACCGCGGAACAACAACAGTCTCGCATGAACGATTATGTTGAAGCATTGGTTAAATCCTCGGGCGCGGCTCTGTTTGGCGAAGGCAGCATGTACTTTCACGGCTTTGTCACCAAGCAGATGATGGAGTGGACGGCTATCCCCATTGCCGATGTGCAGCTCGTGTACGCCACGTCGCGGTTGTTGAAGCGACAGTTCAACTTGTCCACCGAGGTTCTTGCTGGACTCCAGCGCACCTTTTTCGTGCGGTACAAGGACGACGTTCGGCGCGTGTACACGCTACTCGCCACTGTTCGGCAAATGAACTTGGTGCTCATGGACGAAGCAGAAGCCGAGCTTGCTCAAGATCAATTGCAAAGCCTCATCTCGGAGTGCTACGGTGCCGATGAGCAAAAGCAAGCCGTTCTTCGCACGCTCAATGCCCAAGAAATGATCATTTCGGTGATGCGCAACATGCTGTCGTCTGGAGAGCAGTTTGTTGATATTAAGGATCGGATGAGAGAAATCGAGAGCCTCCTGTTCCAGCGCGTCCTGCAAAGGCATGCCCCATGCTCGTTGCTGCTCACTCAAGTGGACGACGCTGTGAGTGCCCGTCTTTCGGAAACGCCCGAGGCTTTCGCAGCAGATAGTATTCCCTCACCGCCACGCAAGCTGCTCTTCCTTTCCGCGTGGGTGGATGCCGTCTCTTGGTACTATGAGCAGTGGCACTCTGAGGCATTTGCGTCCCTTTTGCCAGGCGTGGGGCAGAGCGCAGCTGCCTTCTTGCACGCGCGCCAGACCCACCATACCGCCCACAGCGATTCTCTCCGCTCCTCTGCGTTCGTTGGGATTATTGACGATGCTCTTCGTCGGCTTGCGATGCGACGCATGTACACCCAGGTTGCCATGACTTCGACAGACCAACGCTTGGAGTTCCTCAGCGTCTCGGCGCAGGAAATGCAAGACTTGAGTGAAGTCCCTCCCGCCGTTGCCCTTACGTTTGCGACAGAGTTTATTCTTGGCAATGCTCAAGCTCAAGGCGAACCCCGCAAGTGGGACAACGACGCGCCCGCGAGCCGCTTTGAGCGTCCAGCTCAACGTGGTGGATTGCACCAACATCTGCCTCCGAATGGACTCCAAGCCCGGATTGCCGAGCTGGTTCGTCAGCACGCGTCCCATGCCCGGAAAACACTGGTTCGGTGCTGTCACTTTCTTCAGATGTTTTGTCGCAAGAATCCCGAGAACCAACGCGCCCTGTTCCGCCATTTCGACTTTTTAGTCTGCCAAGCGAACACTGGCTTGCCAGTTTTTGACGTGGCCATTGAGATTATTCGTAACAACACCGAGCTCTGCTTGCTGCTAGGCGAAGCGCGAATCAATCTGTTGGTGGAAACCATGTGCCGCTATGTCAACGCGCGTCGATACCCAGACCAGTGCATCGATCTGCTGATGCACGCCGTGCGCGTCAACCAGAGCCCTGTCGTTATCAATGCCAATATTGTGCGACAGGCTCTCGTCAAGCGCCCAGAGTGCCTGGTGCTGTTCTCTGGCCAAGCTGCCATCCGCCAGCAGCTCATTCGCCTGCAATCGCTGGTGACATCGCCTTCCAACAAGCGCACTGAGCAACCTCTCTTTGGCGTATTGGCCTATCATGTCAACCTGGTGGCGCTGCTTGCTGCCTGTGCTGCGCTTCCTGCGAGCGCCAACCCGTCTGAAGCGATTGCGTCGTCCTCACAATTGCCTTCCAGCACGACAGTCCCCACGTCCCTCTACCTGGGAGATTTGCGTGATTCGACTGCGCTTCAAGAGCAGGCTGCCTCTCGCATTATTCTCCGGAGCTTGGTCAACATGCAGGATTTGCAGTCTGTGATGGTTCATCCCGACACACCCGCGTTCATGAAGCCTCCATTCTTTGACTACCTGGTCTCGGTGTTTGGCGTCGACAATTCCGCGGTCTTTTTGATGCTGGTGGACAAGTCTTTCCTGCCAGACATGCGCCTTGTCGCTCACATGAACCAGGCTGACGTTTCTCGGCGCGTGTCCGTGTACATTTTCCAAGATATTGTGCCGTTCATTCAGCGCCATTCCGTCTATTTTGTTGGTGCCGAGCAACACGCCACGGTGATTGATGTTCTACTGCACCTGTGCTACCAGCTGGTCAAGGTCTGTCCGGGCACCCAGACTTTGATAACGGTGACTCGGTGCCTTGTCGAGCTGACGCAGGTGCTGCGCCCGTCCTTGTTCTTGCGTCTTTTGCGCGTGTTTGCGCGAGACTTGTATCCGCTCGTGCCTTACACTTCTCTGATTCTGAAGACGGTCATTGCCCTTTTTGAGCGACACACGAGCTACTTTGGGTTTGCTGGCGACCGCGTCTTTGGCTCGGCCAATGTTGAGGAGCGCCATCTTGCCGTTCTGCTGTACAGCCGGACACTCAAGTTTATCAAGCGGCACAGCGAGCACGAAAAGTACCCCACCGTCGCAGCGGATGCTGTTCAATGCCTTGCCGCGTTGGCGTGCGCCCTTCCTCCGGACTACACTGACGTGCACGACGTTACGGATGACGATTGGGCGCTGCACGACGACGAGTTGCAAAAGCGCGCCATCCGAACTCTTTCAAGCACTGGCAACGGCTTGCTCACTCGTGGAAGCGAGACTGGAGAAGACGATTTGAACTCGGACAGCAGCGGTGACGAGTGTGACGAGGGCGACGACAGCGAGCTGGAGCATCCCATGAACCGCTCTACAAGCAACATGTCTCCCAATCTCATGAATGCAGCGTCGACTGTTCTCCGTCGTCGAGACAGCACCGCCTTGGCAACGCCGCGCCGCAGTAGCGCCGCATTGCTCCGTCAGCAGTTTAGCTTCTCGAACGCCCTCGCTGATCAACATCAGCGATCCTCTTCAGCAACCTCGCCAAGTCCCGTCGATTTCCTGACCAGTTCTCCGCAACCATCGCAACCATCGGCTCCCACTGTTGCTACGGCAGCAAGCTCCGTGCCTCCAAGCTACCGACCGCGTCCAGTTGACACGTCGCAAGTGCAAGTGGATGAAGGTGTCATGCGGATTGTCGAGCAGTTTGCAGAGCATCTTCATGACAAGTGGGCCTTCTCCCGCAAAGCCGAAGGGTGGATTTACGGGGAGCAGCTGAACGACTCGCTCAAAACCCACCCTTGCCTGTTGCCATTCGCCTTTTTGACTGAAGAGTTCCAGCAGTCCAACCGTCTTACCGCAGAGGAGTCAATCAAAGTTCTTGTCAAAATGGGTTACCAGCTCGAGCAAGCCCAAGGCTTTTCGCGTCGCGGGTCTGGAATGCGCCGTGGCTCGCGCGCTGACTCTGCCGCGGTACCTGCTTCTTCCGAGCCGGTGGTTGCTTTGGGCAGCCACGATGCAACGTTGGCAGAGCCTTCTCTTCTTCCGTCCGCTTCGTCTTCATCATCATCATCCCCTGGGTCCGAGGCAGCTTCGAGGCGTGGTTCTGGAAGGCCAACGGCGATTCGCAGTCCAGCCGAGCTGTTGCGCATTGCCGAACGCTATCGTCCAAGACCCGCGGATCTGAGCGCGGTCGTTCTCGCCAAGAATGTTCTTTCCATCGCCGAGCGGCTCGCTGAAAACGCGCATGAAGTTTGGGCTGCAGATCGCATGCGTGCAGGATGGCAGTTTGGACCTTCTCGCAACAACACAACCCGCGAACATCCTTGCCTCATCCCGTATGACATGCTGACGGACGATGAGAAGGAGTACGATCGCAAACTCTCACAGGATACCATCAAGCTGTTGATTGCTTCCGGCTACCGCATTGTCCCGGCCCGGCCTCTGTCGTTCGACGGCAACGAGGCTCTGGCGCCCCGGCGATTTGCCGGCATCATGTTGAGCGCCGCAGTGGCGTTTGTGAGCCGAGCCTTTGAGATTCCGGAAAGCGTCTGGCTCGGCACTGCGGATGAAGTGACACAGAGGCTCCGTAGCATGTCCTTCCTCGCAGGCGCGCCTCCCCAGGCAGTATCGGCAGCTGCCTCCAGCACCACTGGAAAGAACAAGCTGCCCCGTTCATTGCGCCTTGTTGCGCGGCGCACTCAAGAGCGCGCCCGAGATCAGCGCATTGCGCTGGATGTCATTGTCCCGTTGCTCAACAAGTACTTTGCCATCCATGAGGCGTACTTTTCCGGAACGAGCCTGCACGGCTACGCCAGTGCGTTCGAGAAGGAGCAACTCAGTCACATGTTTGATGTCTTGATTCTCGTGGCCAAGCGCGAGCTGCCCTTGGTTTCGCTTCGTGGAGTCACGCCGACTGCGCGTTCGTCGTTCTGGCAAAATCACCGAATGCTCAAAACGTACAAGGATTGCTTGTGCACCATGGTCAGATCGCTCGACGTCGGCATGTTTGCGAGAAGCCTCGATGTCCACTACTCGGACTTTGTCCGCGTGGCCACCTCGTCACACATGGAGAGTTTTATGAGCTGGATTGCGCTGCCCGTGTTTGTCAAGTTTAGTGGCGCCTTTGGCGAAGACTTTTCGGCACTGGTAACCGGTCGCCAATCATCCACTGGCACTAGCGGCGGTACATACTCTGCTCGTGGCCGCATTGTGGCCACTGCAATGTCGGCGGGTCCTTTGGACGAAGGCCAGTTCTCGCCTGGTGTTGTCACTGCGCGTAAAGTATTGATTGACATGGCCGAGCAGATCTTGCGGTTGTCGCAGAGCCCAGAAGCGCTTGAAGATGCTCGACTCCGCTCCCTGCTCGGACGCGCTGCAGCGTGGGTCGTCATCCTTTTGCCTGTGGCGACACTCAAGACACAGCCAACTTTGCTGCAGGAAATCAAAACCATTGTTCGATTGCTCCACACGCCTGGTGCGATCGACAATGCTCGCTTTGCCGCCGATGTTGCCTTCCCTCTCGTCTCGAGCTTTGTCACACATCAGTTTGACAATCTCGTAAGTGCACGTGCAGCCGCCGCCGAGCAAGCAGAGTCGCTGTTTGTGCCGGTTGGTCAAGCCAAGAGCGTGGAAAGCGCAAAGCTCGACGACACTGCCAACGAACTCCGCTTGCAGAACGATATTTCGCGCACTTTTTCGTGCGCTTTGGCCATGATGGACGTTCGCGGCCGCGGCTGCGAGTACAGCCCCAGCACTCTGTGCGCTGGGGGTCTGCGATTGATTCGCTGCATGCCTGCGGAGCAGTTTGTCTCTCACCTGCACATTATTCTGGACCAATTCTTGAACATTAGCAACGCCGTCAAGGCTGCGCTCGATGAAGCGCGCCTAAACGAGCAGGCTGCTGCTCTGGGCCAACTTCGAGAACCACTTTCCAGCCAGGATGCCACCGAGCCTCGTCGTCCAACTCGTGGTATGGAGCTTCAGAGCAACTCAACCCGAGAAAAGTACCTTCCCAAGACGCTGGACCAACATTACGGTGACCTCGATGTTCTGGCGCAATTCGTTGCGCGTCACCTTGACCTGAACGAAGCGTTTTGGACGGGTGCGACGTGGAGCTCGGCAGACCATCAGTCGTTGATGTTGCTCATCACGCAGCTCTTCCACGTTCTTGCGCGTATTTTCCACCACCGGTTCCTTCTTGGATCGGAAGATGCAAAGCACTCGGACTTTTGGCTGCGCGAGCTCATCAAGCGGCTCTTTACCATTTACAATCGCGACTTGCAGCCCTATCTTGGAATTGTTCGGTCGGGCGTGCGTTTGTCCCCATCCGGCACACTCCAGGTGGCTGATGCGCGCAAGCATGTTCTCGATGAATTGTCCAAACGAGCGTTGGCTGACGCGGCCATTCACGAGCCTTCTCTGGCATCCCCTGCAGCTGCAAACGCGACATCGCCCTTCTCGGCCGCTTCAGAGCTGGCCGAGCGTCAGCAAATCGTGCGCAGAGTGCTCAAGCGGGGCAGCGCCGACGGATTGCGCGGATCCAGGGCTGCCTTGTTCACTGCAGCTTCTTCCGCGCAAAGCTCTTCGTTTGCCGAAGCGGAAGGTGCGTCTGTGGGATTCTCGTTGGGAGACATTCTCAACAGCTTCCGAAACGAAGGGATTCCCAGTGCCCTGCAGTCGGTGCGCTCTTGTCTTCACGCCGTGGGTGCGGGGCTTCGTTCGGTCTCGTCGAACGGGTACATTCCCTTGAGTCAAAGCGATAGTGCTAGCGGTCGACGCAGCAATAGCAGCATGGGGGAGTTGGACGACCCTTGGATGGAAGGGACTTTGGCTGATGAGAGTGACATTGACGACGGCCGTCGATCTCCTCGTGGCCTTTCGCGCTCCTCATCCTTCTCCTCTTCCGCTCACCTCCTCGATCAGCTTGGATTTTATCCGACGCCAATGTTGCGACGCTCCAACACGCTCTCGTCATCTTTGGAGGCTGTTGCAGCGGCCGTCAAGCCGTTGGAGGCAGATGAGCAAGCGGCTTCAAAAACCCGCGCGCATGCTGAAGCTCAGGAGCAAAGTACGGCAACGGCCGCCGACCCATCTCCAACAGTACGCCGATCACACCAGCGTCTGATGAGTCCACCAGCACCGGCAGCAGCAGCACTCACCCTGTCGCAGCAAAAACAACGCGACGATGCGCTGCTCACGCGTCGACTCGTTTCCCTCATCATGCTCATGACCCGCATGCGTGCTACCTCTGGCGTTGATAATGGAAGTGCATGGACCAATTTCCCGAATCAGCAAGGATTGAAGGGTGGTTCAAACGGTCTTGCTCCATTGGAGGCAAACCGACAGGATCAGTCATCCGCCCAGCAGGGAGCGTCAGGGACTCTGGCAAGAAAGCTTCCCGTGCCACCTTCTCCAGTCCGCGTCGCTGGACCGCGTCGTTGGCATCATTTGCATCATTTCGCCGAGATCAGTCTCATCTTGCGACGGCGCCTGCGTGCCGACAAGGCTCTCAATGCGGAACGGAGCAAACCAAATCGCTTGATGAACTTGGTTACCCATCGGGTTGAGCGCACTCTACTCGGCAACATTGAAGACGGCCAGTGTGACTCCATCATTGAAGCACTCAAGTCCGACCACGCCCTGTCCTTTGGCATTCTTGCTTCAGATTTCGATGTGCGAGGAGCGGGCAACAAGCGTGCTTCTCTGGCTCACTCGGCTTCGATGCCCGGCTCATTGGCCCGCAACTCGTCCTTGGCAATCGAGACTCCCAGTAGTGCCGTGGAAATTGATTGGAACCACAGCAGGTCTGGCAGCCCTGCCTACAACGCGTCGACCAACCACGCTCCTTCTCCGGCGCTTCAGCCCTCGAGTGCGACCTCCGCCACTTCCACCGAAGCTTCCGGCTCCATCAACAACAGTGGTGCTGCCAAACGCGGCGGACGAGTTCGTGTCAAGCAGCTGCTGACTTCCTTCCGTGACGCCCTTTCCACGGACGCGCTTCCTTTGGACCGCGCACTGTTTGTCGATTTGGCGCACATCTTTAGCTTGAGCTGTGCGATAGACCTGGACACGACAGACCAGGACAGTGAAGCGCTCAGCGCAGAGCAACGCGACTCCAACAAGACCGAGCGACGTGAGCGACAAGAGTTTTTGCTGGAGGCAGGCGCAGCCGAGTGCATCGTGTCGCTCTTGTCCTCCTCTGGCGGTGACATTTCCGTCGAAGTGGAAGCCACGCTCGAGTTTGGCATCTCATTGCTGACTGGCGGCTACGAGGCTGGGCAGCAAGCCATGCTGGCCTTTTTGATGCGAAGGCGCGATGTCGACTTTTTCGCATCCATTGCGACCATGATTGCACGCTGCACTGTGCTTGATTTCGACATGTGGAATCGTGACATGCTGGCTGCGCATTTGGGCGTGCAGACGGACTCTTCCTTGCTCGAGCTGGCTCGGCAGCAGCTCCCTGCTGCCAATGGCTGGACCTCGTCAAGCGCCGCCGCCGCCGCCGCCGCCGTCTCACGAACAAGCGTCTCTGACAAGCTCAGCGCGCCTACGCCGGTGGGCGCTGCCAGTCCCACGCCAGTCGCCTCGACGGTATCGGCGTCTCCGCTGCACACAGCAACGCCGTTTGCCTCCGCCACTGACACGGTTGTTGTTGGCGCGAGCACGGCGTCGCCCATCGATGTCGAAGCCTTCCTATTTGCAGCTCGCAGCTGCAGCCAGCAAAACGATGCCCGGTTTGTGTGCCACCTCTTCCGCTTCTTGCAGCTCTTGTGCGAAGGCCACAACCACGAGTTCCAAAGCTACTTGCGGACTCAGCCTGGGCATGTCAAGTCCTACAACTTGATTGTGTGCACCGTCGACTACTTGCTCCGGTTGCAGGAAAAGTTTAGCGATTTGTACTGGTTTTACTTTGACAAGCCGACCATTGACGCGCAAGGTCGCAAGCTCATGTCGCAGTCGATTACGATTGCCAAGCAGGTGTTTGAGTCGCTGACCGAGTACATCCAAGGTCCATGCATTGAGAATCAGCTGTCCCTGGCCTCGTCCCGCCTCTGGGATGCTGTGAATGGTTTCTTTGCCATTTTCGCCGGCTTGCAGGATAAGCTGTCCTCAGACCCGACCCAAGTTGAGCTCCTGCGAGAGTTTTGCTCGCTCGAGCAGTCCATGATTACGACGCTTCTGGCCATGCTCGAGGGCACTGGCAATCGCGGGGTCGAGTCCATTCCCCGGCTCATGGTGGACGTTGTCTTGGAGTGCTTCTCATCCATCGAGAAAACCTTCCATTTCTGCGACACGTACATCAAGCTCAAGGATATGGCCACGTCGCTCGCCTTCCGAGATTACGACCTCAACCTTGACGGCTGGATTTCCATGGATGAATTCGAAACCATCATGCGGCGCCAGAACATGTACACTGAAAGCCAAATCCGTGACTTTATGCTGCGGGCTGATGTGAACGGCGATGGCCGCTTGGATTACACTGAGTTTACAGAGCGCTTCCATCAAGAGGCGCTTGAAATTGGATTTTGGCTTGTCGTGCTGATCAAGCAGCTCATGGACTCTTTCAACGTCGAGGTTAGCTCTGAGCAACACGACTGGGAAGACGTCGAAGACCCTGCAGAAGGAATTGAGCCGACCGACGATGCCTCCGCTTCCTCTTCCGGGTTTGAGGTGTTCAACGCCGACCCTGCCGCCTCCCGCTCTTCCAGCCTTGAGCAACGGTTGCGCCGGTTCTGCAAGTCGGCGAGCTTCCGTCACCTATTGCAGTACTTTTCAAAGAATCTCGGACGCATCGAAGTCATCGGTCGGAACGGCTCGCCCGAGCGTGTCTACTTCCAGATCAAGACCTCCTGGCGATCTCAGTGGGAGCAGCCGCAGGTCCAGGACTCGAAGCGCGAGTTTTTGAGTGAAATGCTGGACGAAGACTCGCGCGCCAAGTTTGCCATGTTTGTTTCGTTCGCCGAGGACACCATCTATGAGATGAGTCACTCTGCCGCACTTTCCCAAACTGACAGCTCAGAGTTACTCGAGCGTGCGTTTGCGCATCGCAACATGTACTTTGACCCCGCTGTCTCTCGCATGCAGGGATTGCTGGTTGTCGTTTTGCGAGGCTGCAAGCTGATTCTCAGGCCCAGGATTGCGCTGCAAGCTCTGGCGGAACGGGTTCGCAGCGGTTGGTCTGATCTGCTACAGTCCCGCGCTGGTCCCGAGAACGATGCTTCCGTTCCGCCCGTCCTCGGCGCGGTCACCGCGGCTGGCGCAGCGACGTCCGCAGCAGCAGCAGCAGCGACTTCTGCCTCGCAACCGGCCCCCGCCTTCTCCAAATCGGCGTTGCGACGAGGCCTTAGCCGATCTCACCCTGCAGCGGCAGGAGTCGCTGAGAGCGAGGATGCCACTGCGTTCATCTCACGAAGCGATGGATCTTCCTTGTTCGAATGGATCTCGACGCGCGTTTTTGGACCCGTCAGTCCTCACCAGGCGACCATCCTGGACGATAGCGACGACACGACCGCGTCGCCTCTGATCTCTCTCGCTGGGTACATTCCACAAATTGACGCGTCCAGCCTCGGCGTGGCCAGCTTCTTTGCCAGCTTGCACCATCGCGCACATTTCCTGGTCGCCTGGCTGAGCATTCTGATCAACATTTTTCTCATGGCCTACAGGATGCAACACCACGAGGACGGTGGCGACGAGCTGCATGAACTCGATCCGTGGGTTAGCTTCTCTCTGTGGATTCTGCGGGTTGCCCATTTGTTCTGCTCGCTTGCGATGCTCGCGGGACATTGCGCCCTCAAGCTGCCAGTCGTCGTGTTCCGGGAAGAGAAGGAAATTGTCCAGTCCCTCCTTGCCGATGGCGTCTGGGTCGTCGAGCGTGAGCCAGAATCGTGGTATGGCTGGCCCCGTTTTGCGTGGCGACGCTTTGCCTTGGGCACGCGGTCCTTCCCGGGTCACTACTGGGACAAGGGGGTCAAGGATCAAGTCATGGAGCGCTACAATCGCAACGGCACCGATTCTTACATTACAAACCTGCTTGGCCTGCAACCAGAGGCTGTTCCGGCGGCGAGCGCCGCGCCGCGGACCGCGCACAACGCAGACCAAGCGGAGCCCAGCCCAGTCGACGATGCCCTCGATCCCAACACTGTCAGCGCGTTTGCTCTGTTTTCGCGCGTGTGGCTGAATCACGTTGACATGCCCTATCTTCTCTGGAGGATGGGAACGCTGTGCACAAACTGGGATTTTCTGTACAACCTCATGTACTTGGTCTTTTCGATGCTGTCGCTGTTTGTGTCGCCGTTCTTTGCATGCGTCCACCTGTTGGATGTGGCAAGGCGCAACAAGACGCTGCAACACATTCTGAGCTCGTTCACTCGCTCTGGCCAGCAGCTTGTGCTCACTGTCGGCATGATGGCGATTGTCATTTTCATGTACACGGTTCTCGCCTTCTCGTACTTCCGTTCCGACTATGAGCGCGTTTGCACGGATTCCGAGTCTTCCGGCTGTCATCCTGACGACACTCGGTGCGACAGTATTTTCGAGTGCTTTGTGTTCAATTTTGCCACGGGTCTCAGACAGGGCGGCGGCATTGGCGACGTTCTCGACGACCCCAACAATGACCCGTACCGCATCATGTTTGACATGACCTTCTTCCTTGTTGTGATTGTGGTGTTGCTAAACACGGTTCAAGGTCTGATTGTGGACTCGTTCAGCTCGTTGCGCGAGCGCGAGGCCAACAACAGCGCAAACAAGGCCAACAAGTGCATGGTCTGCGGTGTGAGCCGCGCAACACTCGAGCATGTTCCGCACGGCTTCGAGGAGCACACCATGCACGAGCACAATCTGTGGGACTACCTCTTTTTCATGATGTACTTGCGGAAGAAGCCCGAGACGCAGTACACTGGGCAAGAGTCGTACATTTCGACCATGCTTGCCGGACGCAACTATGATTTCTTCCCCGTCGGCATCCGACAGAGCGCCATGGCCGCTACCAGCAATCCGGCAGCGAGTCGCCTTGTTGCCTCACGCCCAGGCGTGAGCTCAGGCGGAAGCGCTGGACCGAGTGCCGCCTTTGGCGCTGGTGCCGATGCCGCAGAAGCAGCGCCACTCACCGCCGCTGATGTGAACACTATCGTGGTTGGCGCCTTGGAGCGCATGCTCACTTCACTGAATGATTCTGGCTACCACAGTGCTGGACAGCACACTGCGGCCAGTTCCACGGGCACCAGCACGCCGTTCGTCCTTCCCGCAGCTCGAGCCCGGTTTGGCACCTCGGGTAGCATGCGCTTGAACTCAATCATTCGCGACGCGTCCATTGTGTCACCGATTCCAACAAACAGCAGCGATCGCAAGCGCGCGCTCCCCGCGACCCCCGCCGCCGGTTCGCTGGCCGAGGCCAACGACCTTGTTGAAGAAGAGGATGCCCAAACGGCCGTGTAAAAGGAATTGCATTCTTCCACTTTGTGTTCCTTTTTGATTTGGAATTCTTCCCCACCCCTTCTCCTCTTTTTGATTGTTTTTGTTGTTAGTTTTGATTGTGTTGAATGCTTGTTTGTTTTCTGTGCTGTTATTTCGCTGTGCTTTTGTTTGATTTCGTTGGTGTTGTCTCATGATTGTCTAAAATTTGTCATTCGAATGGATCTCACTCTTGTTGAACTTGGAACAGTGCAAATAATCGTGTTTTTAAACCACCATGTCACACCGCATACCACTTTGAAAGCAAAACAAGAACGACAACAAGCGCCACAAAGCCAAAGTAGTTGACAATCTGGTGAAGAACCGAGGGAGGGGATTGGGCAGCATGAACGCGCTGCTGTGCCAGAGGCGCAGCTGGCGACGTGGCAGTAGTGGTGGTGGTTCGAGCACGAAGGTGTGCAGCTGCATGAGATGCCGTCGCGCTGGGCGCAGCCATCTGCTGTTGGTGTTGGTGTTGGTGTTGGTGCTGCTGTTGCAAATGATACTGTTGCAGCAACCATTGGCGATGTTGGTGTTGCGCGAGCATCTGGTGATGGAGCATCTGCTGTTGAAGATACTGCTGTTGCTGATACAGATGCTGATGGTAGAGTTGCGCCGGGGAGAGATGAGCGACATACGGAGAGTGACCGAACAGTTGTTGATGCTGTGGAGTGAGAGTGGTTGGAGGCGTTGGTGGCACACCCCAAGTTGGTTGGAATGCTGGTCCAGCGACGGCAGGTGACTCCACTGCGGGGAAAACTCCTTGCACAGTCTCAGAGGGCGTCTGTGGGCCGGTGGTCGGCTCGGGTGCAGGTGCTGACGACTCTGACACGGGTGCTGCTGTGGACTGGGCGAGGCTTTGAGCATCTGCTTGCTCCGCTTCCGTCACAGCCGACGAGGTACGCGAACGTGCATTGGGGTCCTCACCCTTGAATGCAATTTCGCGAATGGCACTCAAGTCAGCTGCGGAGGGTGCACTGGCCAGGTCTGGGGTTTCTGCTTCGGGCAGGAGGAGGTCGCGGTTGCACTTTTGGCAGACGGGGCACTTGAAGTGCACCGATTGTTTGGCGAGCTCTTGGCGAACGGTGGCGGCCACATCAAGCGCCCCGATCGCACCCTTGCCTTCGGTCGGCATGAAGCTGATGATGGCGAGGAGCACCGTGCGAATGGACCAGGACGGCTGCCAGAATTCCGGGTGATAGGCCGAAATGGAGAGGCAGATTTTCTTGTCCACCTCGAAGCGGCCGTTCGGGGTTGTGAGAATGATGCTTGGTGGCTTGAACGGATACTCTGCGGGCAGCAAAATGCGACCGTGATAGACGCCGTGGGCAAACGGTGTGTCTGGCGCACCGCGCACCGTAAAGTGCCATTCAAACAGGTTGTCCTCCAGCGGCTGTGCATAGTAGCTCTCTGTTGGGTTTTGCATCTCTCGCATTTCTTGCATGATGCGCTTGACTGCTGGCGACTTTGTATTGAATCGCGTTGGTGATGCAGCGGCCATTTTGTGTTTCCCCGCACAGTGTTTGAGCGCCCTTGTGTGTTACGTGATCCGCTTTTCTATTTGTTTGTGTTGGCTTGTGATCTCTGAGCACTTGAGAGAAGTAATGATGCACTGGCGTGTGGTTAAATAAAACGCTCTGTCAAGGCAGGCAACAAGCAGTGTGAGTGCAAACGCAGCAAGCAAAGAAATTCGTCCAGATCGAGTAAAAGTGAAATTCAAACACACTCATATGCTCTCTGACTCTCAGACGCAAACCCCCTTTCCCCCCAATGTTAGCCCAATGCGACTTTTAGCCAAACGTTGCCAAATCCGTTTCCAAACGCCTTTTTCCTCCCCCCCCCTCCAAATCAACCTTTGACTATTGAGTTGACGTTGCCAGTAATGTGCTGATGGTCCAGACGAGCGACTGAGTGACCGAGACAAGAGTTGCTCAAATGGAAACGCTCAACCTTCCTTTCGACTCCACTCTACAAATGCAGCCTTGCCCCCCTCCCCTGCCCCCTCCCATTGCACTCCAGGCTGAGCGTGCTTGTTCCAGCAGCACCAGTCTCTCTCTCTCTCTCCTCCCCTCCGCTCATCATCCCTGCCTCTTTGAGCCAGTTCGCCGTTTTCCACGTCATATTTGTTCCGTTCTTCTGTCCCGCCTCACTCACTTCCCCGCCTCACTCACTTCACTCACTTTACTCACTCACTTCACTCACTTTACTCACTTCACTCTCGTTCTCAGAATGGCTCGCGTTTCTGCAGCAAAAAAGTGCTTCCTTACATTGACAGAGAGTTAGAATAAAACGAAAAAAAAGAAAAAAAAAAAAAAAAGAACTGCATTGAGTTTTTCCATACAAATTTCAATGGGTTTTTCAATGGATCGAGCTTTTTCGGGAATTGGATGCAAGGGTTGCAGCTGATGCAACGCTTTTGGGGGAACACGTCGTGATACATATAATTAAATAGCCACCTACTTTTGTCACGATGAGACTGGCCAGCAGAGAACAACAATCACCAGAAATTGACACGATTCCAAATTGAACGGAGCTGCTTGTTTTCAGCTGTCCGAGGCCTGTATCGCACGTTGTAATAATTGTCTATGTATGCTTTTCTCTAGAAGTGCTCAATTTCGATGGATAGATCTACAGCTCGCTCTATCCGAAGTGCAGCGCTGTCCGACGTGTCCGACTTTCGTTCTCATTGTTCCATCTAGATCTACGCAATGCATCTCCACTCTGTGTGTCATCTCATCATCATCATGTTCTGTATGTCAATTTTTCAGTCCACACATATCAGTCGTTATTTCCTCATCTCTCAGATCATACTGGACAACAGCCGCCTTTGGACCAATGTCTGCTGTAAGGGACTGATGACGGATGTGCTTTTGTGCTCTCCCACTTTCGCCTCCCCCCTTCCCGCCACCCGCTCCACTTTACGCTGATCATGATGCGGCGAGTACCAAAAACACTGTGCTTCAGCGAGCGCGGGCCGGGATGCGACAAGAAAACAAGCCACAAAAGCAAGCTTTTCGAACAACTTCTATCCCCCCTCACCCCCCCCATCGCCAACCCGACCTCCCCTCGACGACCTGCGTGTCGGTTCTTGCTCATCATGGAAACGTTATTCACATTTCATCTCACCGAAGCCGACGAAAGACAATCAACCAAAAAAGCTCAAAACAACGAAAAAAAGCCGTTTATTCTGTTGCTCATACAAAAAGCTTACGTTTCTGTCTCTCAAACTCGGCTTCCGTTTCGTTTTGCAAGCAAGAAATCCGATTCCGGATGTTGATGTTGGGTCGCGCTTCGTATGGATTTAAACAGATCCGACTTGGGGTTGCTTATCACAATACTCGCGTTTTGTTATTTGAGAAACGATTTTTCGAAACGAGTTTTGAATTTTGAAACGGTTTCAGATTTCCATTTCCCCCCAAACAAAAATCGCAGCCCTCACTCACTCACGATAAGCTTGGAGACCAATCTCACTGTTTGATCTACTACGCTGTATCGACAGATCTCGAACGAAAACTTGTCACCGGCGGTCGTGATGCGCGCTGCACGCGAAATCCAAAAAATCCACGCAGAGCCGCTGGAGGGCATCCGCATTGTCCAAAACGAGGAGGACTTGACCGACATTCGCGCTGTCATTGATGGACCAGGTATGTTGGTAGTGCTTGTGGAATCGTTGAATTGCCAGTCACAGGCATGCTCAATGTTCGATTTCCGTCTCGTTTTGCGCTTGTTTCCATTGTTGTGCAGCTGGCACTCCCTACGCTGGTGGAAGCTTTTTGATGAAGCTGACCTTGAGCAACGACTTTCCCTCCGTTCCCCCCAAGGGTATGAGCTTGACTGCCCATTCTCGTGGACAAAATACAAGAGTCGGTTGTTTTGGCACTAAGCCTCCTTTTCTCTTGTTCACAGGCTATTTCCTCACCAAGATCTTCCATCCGAACGTGTCCAAGCTTGGCGAGATCTGCGTCAACACTCTTAAGAAGGACTGGAAGCCCGAGCTTGGCATCCGTCACGTCCTGCTGGTGAGAAGAGCGCGTTGTTTTTTGCCCAACATTGGCACTTTTTGGACGTCACCCACCTCATCTGGTTGCATGCTCCACACCCTTCTTTTTTGGTTTTCGTACAGACTGTCAAGTGCTTGTTGATTGTGCCAAACCCCGAATCCGCCCTGAACGAGGAGGCAGGCAAGCTTCTGCTTGAGGCCTACGACGAGTACGCCAAGATGGCCAAGATGATGACTGAAATTCACGCACTCAGCAGCAAGGCCGGCGAGGCATCATCAACCGCTGCGTCGTCGACGTGCGCATCATCTTGCGCTGCGGAAACCTCGGCAGCCGCAGGGAAGGTAGCAGCGAGCGCAGCCTCGAAGCCTGCCGTCAAGACCGAAAAGGCCAAAGTTGATGCAAAGCGAAGCCTCAAGCGTTTGTAACGCCGATGTTGAGGAGGTTGTTGTTGTGGTAGAAGGAACATTTTGTTGACATAATATTTTCATTTCTCTTGTGTAACTCATGGGTCCAGTGATGAACACGCATGGCCGTTTCTCTGGTGTAGAGTATTTTTGTATGATGCCCGCCGTGTCAACCTACTGGTCAGTTAGATGAGCTGATAGCCTGCGGCAAAGCGTTGAGAAAGACTTTCGAATCGACCCAAAAGATAGAGCGCAATTTTCGCCAACGACGAATAATTATGAATCGAAAATAGTTTATCATGGAATATCAAGAATTAGCAATCATTTAACAGAATGTTTTAACGAGAATTGAGAGGGCAGTTACGCGGCGGTTGGTGCTTTGGGCAAAAGCTGGAGGAGCGCGAGTGTGGTGGCTTCTCCCCACCCGTCATTCAGCCGTGCCAGCTCGTCAGAGCGAAACTTCTTCAACACAAAGTCACCCACATCGCCTCCGCTGGGACGACCAATCCCGATGCGAAGTCGTGGAATCTGAGCAGCAAAAGCAAAAGCAAAAGCAAAAGCAAAAAGTCCAATCAAACAAAAGACGAGTAAGCCACAGTAGCGCCGATTTCGAAATTCCCGGCAGTGAAGGGATTGCTCAATGCAAGGGCTACGCCACTGGAAATAAAAGGAAGGGGGGGGGGCTTACCTCGAGCGAAACACGCTGCCCGATCGACCGCACGCCGTTGTGCCCCTTTGCGCTGCCACCAGCCTTGAGTTTGAATTCGGCAAGATTCAGCTCTAGACAATCGTGCGCAAGCAGCATTTGATGTGGCTTGATGGCAAAGTGCTTGGCTTTAATTTTTGGTTGGGGCGCGGTTTTTCGAGTCAGTTTGAGCGTTTGCTGACAAAGACATTTTGGCACAAAAGAACGAGTTCGAAAACCTACCTGCAGATGCGACATTGCCTCCGCATTCGTTCATAAATGAAGATGGCTTGAACAAGACAACCGCAACATCCGCGAGTGCTGGCGGAGAGACCGGTGGGGTGACTGGTGGTGAAGCAAGGGGGGAAGTCGGTTGCAAACCTAACCCATACGCACACCAACCAGACATCACACAGGTGAGCGCTACACGACAATAGCATCAAACATCAACATATCAAACAAGCAGCATCCATGCATAGCCAAAGCAAAAAGAAAAGTGCTTTGCATTATTACCAGCGGGGCTGTGGACTGCATCGCCTGCAGCAGCAGCGGTCTTGACGAGCAGCGGTGCAAGACGAGGCTGCTTGTTGACCCGAGGCGGCGCGGGGATCCTGACGCCAGCAATCTGGATGAGCTCGAGGAGCGACGGAATGGTGGCTGCCTCGCCCGCCTGCCCAATCTTGGCAAAGCGGACGCCGGCCAGCATTGCCAGGTGGTTGACAAACAGCTCGCCTGCATTGTGCCGCGTCCCTGCGTACTGCGCGCCCGGATTGCCAAGCCCGACGATCTGAGCAAAAGGCAAAATAATTCCGAAAGTAACAATAACGTAGTTCAAAAAGCGAATCAGTCCAAAAAGCTCAGAAATTGAGACAATCGCGTCACTTTGCTTGATTAGGAAGGCAGCATGACGTCAATGACTTCTTTTACCATGTGCTTTGCAGTCTGCATCGATGAGTTGTGACGATGGATGGCGAGATCAGATTGATTGGTGAAGCGGATGAGAAAAAAAAATGGAGGTGGTTGAGCGACGAGCAGGAGCACCGAGCAGAAGGAGAGAGAGACACGGAAACGAAAGAAAAGTGACTGAGCCTGAAGCCAAGTTTGGAAGTGGCCGGTATTAGAATGCATTGAAGGCAGCACAATGAAGCACAACTACACACAGTGGCAGAAACGTAAAAAAAAAAAAAAAAAAAAAAAAACAAAAACAAAAAGATGGCGCAGGTCGGAAACCAACAGCAGCAGCAAACGCAGCTCATTTTGCGATTTTCACCTCCGCCCTCAAAGCGTCGCTTCCAACCTGTCGTTCAAGATTGACGTTCTCTATTTCATTAGTATGACAAATTTGTTGAATCGATCGCAAAAACACGAAAAGCCCCTTTAGTTGCGCGCCGGAGCAGTAGCAGGGGCAGCAACAGCAGCAGCAACAGGAGCAACAGCAGCAGCAGCAGCAGCAGCAGCAACAGGAGCAACATCAGCAGCAACAGGAGCAGCAACAGCAGCACCAGCAGCAGGAGCAGCAGCAGGGGCAGCAACACCAGCAGCAACAGAGGAGCCTAAACTAGGCGACACATCGAGCGTTCGCACACATTCAGGGTCGGACAACTTGAGGTCTTGCTTGCGCAAATGCCCGATGAGAATGAGCATGAGATCGAACAACCACGCGCGAGAGAACGCAGCGGCATCCTTTCGCATGGGTGCGACAACAGAGCCGGGAATGATCACACGGAACGGTCCAGATGGAACCTGGCTGGGTGACGACATGATTGCATTGTTGTTGACATCCTCAAAGCGCACTTTGAGGGGCTTGTCAAATCCATAAATCTCGAAACAAGTGGCCCCGAGACCAAGAATTTTCGAATACGCCACAATTGTCGCCCGCAGCATCTCGGTGGTGTAGTGATGCGGATGATTGAGGTCTACAAACGCCTCAACGTTGTGCGCTGATGAAGACAGCAACATGGTCGAGCCAACCAGCACGGCAGGCGGAGGAGCGATGGATTCGCCCAAAGTTGTGAGATCGAGTTTGATGGAAACCAACGCGCGCTGCATGACACCTTCAATGGCGTCTTTGAGGGTCGGCGCAACGTGCTCAAAGATGCGGTACCCGCCAATGTTTAGCCGCGCCTGCACAGTGCGATGCAAGCGTTGCCATTGCACGACATCCGAGGCGCGCAGCAGGGTAAACCAGCCCTCCGCCTCAACATACTCGGGCGACTGCTCGCTCGGCTTGACCGGGAGCGGAAGCGTATTGGAGACGGCACGAGGGGCACTTGGGGGAGCCGGAGCCGGAGCGGGCGCGGGCGCAGGCGCGGGCGCGGGCTGGAGCGCGGACGACTTGCTGTTGTCTGTGACTTGAAGGGCGGTGGGTTTGGCCGCGACCGCCTCCAGCGCCTCGGACGGCGGTGCCACCTCGGATACTGCGACGTCGGAAGGGGAAGAAGGGGAGTTGAGCGTGGGCTCGGGATCTTCCGCCTCGCTCTCAGCGGTGCCAACAGGCAACAGTGTGGCGAGTGCTTGCTCGTCGCGCAATCGAATCTGGGAGCCAGCGTCGGGCTGTTGCACGACAAACGAGTAGCACAAACCACGGGGCAAAGGCGAGCGGAACTGCGAAAAGGCCCGCGCGTTCTTGAAAAGGTTGCTGTCAAGATCAAATCCCATCAGTCGTCCATTGTACATGGTGCGCTTGAGCTCCGTGACAGCCTTGTTGTTTCGAGAGAGAACGAACAGGCGCTGATGAAAGGGGGGCCGGGTACGACGTGGCACAAACCGAACAAAAAAAAAAAAAAAGCCGGTCAGCAACAAATGGCTTCAACGCCGCTGTCCATTTTCCAACCAACCCGAATGCACGCAATCCAACCTACCGCAAAGATGAAAAAACTAATCCAGGCATCCTGGACGGCATAAATGAGCTGGTTGGTACTCAGGGGAATACGATTCCACGCCGACATGGTGATGCGCTTGCTTTTATTTAGGGCGACGCCACAGTAAGCAGCGAGAGACTTGAGGCCAGGCTGGGTCGGGAGATCCTTGCTGTGAATCATAAGCAAATCAAAGAAAAAAAACCGAACACCAAAAAGGACAGATTGAGTCAAACCGTGCCTTCAAGCAAAATGTTATCTTCCACCTCCCCGTCGTATCAAACTGTTGCACGTTCGTTGTCACGCACAATACAAGACGACTCCAAGTTCCAAGTTCAACGGCAGGTTCGAATTGGGTTTGCTTGGGAAGGCCAAACGCGCGCTGAACTCGCTTCAGATCGTCGGCCACACCGACACCAACTTTCAGTACGCTCGTATCCGTTAGGAGCTGGAGAGTAAGTGAGGCAAGCGATAAATGAAAGAACAAGAGCAAATGCAAGTAAGTTTCGCTCGAGCACCTCGACTCTTCCGTCAACAACCCCGAAATCACACTTTTTGTGTGCCAAGCCTACCCGAAGTAATTGCGATGGCAACGCGCCAGGTCCGTTGCGTTGGTACAGCAGACATGCCTCTTCTGTGGAAATTTGCATCACGGCAACTCCGTTGAACTCGTTCTTTTGCTCCGGGCGCCACTGAAATGTTCAACAAGCAGGAGAAGAAGAAGAAGAAGAAGACGAAAAAAAGGACAAACGAGCGTCAGTACTGAGACAACGCAAAACAACCTGGCAAGCACTCATCGTCGTCCATCCCCTACCTCTGCATCAAAGCCAATCACATTGGTCTTTGAGAAATGGGTCTGCAAAAACTCGTCGGCTGCTTTGGGCGAGCTCGTGTACATGACGGTCAGCGGCACAATGACTGCGCTGTCCGTCAAGCGCATGCCGGGAATCTGATCTTGAGGGGTCGTGAACGTGTACGTCACTTCCACTTGGGTCTTTGGCAGTGCCGGGCTTGCTGCTGTTGCGGCGACGGCGGTGGGAGCGGATGATCCCAACACTGCAGTCTTCACGACGCTCGCGGTGTCCAGCCCCTTTTGCGGGGTAGGTTCGAGCTTTGTCTGGCCCGATGCTGCAGTGGTCTGTGCACCTGCATCTGCAGCGTTCGTGGTGCTCACTGCGGCGGCGGCGGCGGAGGACCTGCTCGGCCCAGTCGACGATGCAGTGGTCAGTGTCTTGGCAGCAGCCGTCCTGGATCCAGCAGAAGACGCTGGTTTGCGCTGCGACGTCCCCGAGCTCGCCGCGCGCCCGCTCATCCACGCAGCAGCAGTGACAGTAGTAGTGGCAGTAGCAGCAGCGGCGGCGGTGGCAGGGGAGGTCGTGAGTGAGGCCGCTGCATGCACTGCGCCACGCGATCGTCCTGCGCTTGCGGCACGCGTCCAGCCTCCTGCAGCAAGCACCGAGTCCCCAACACACACACACAGAGTATCAACACCAAGACGATCAGCCTCATTCACGAGTCAGCAGCAGCCGAGCGGAGACAGAGTCAGATGAGAGAGAGAGAGAGAGAGAGAGAAGAAGGAAGGAAGGAAGGACAAGAGCATTGTCGCCGCATGGCAAAAAAAAAAAAAAAAAAAAAAAAAAAAAAAAAAAAAGCGGCTTTCATTCATTCATTCATCAATGTCAGAACGTCATGGCGTTGACAAAATCGTCAAACTTGCGTGACGTTGCAGCATTCGATTGTGAAGTTGCAATGAGAAACAGGGGGAAAAAACTTGCCTGGATTGCTTAGAATGCGATACATGGAAAAAAAAGAAAAAAAGAAAAAAAAGGGACTGAAAAGGAAAATCTCAGCAGCGGGGGAAAATACAAAAACAAAGTGGCTCAGCAAAGACACAATGGAATAATCATGAATTGAAATGGAACGGATCTGCAGGACAGCGAACGAAAACAGCGACAAAAACAATAAAACGACACCTCCACGCTCTTCGTTGAAGAAATGACAGTGTTGAGACATGCGAGAAGGCACAAAAAGTGAACAGGCGACGCGAAGGGCATCAGCGAGGAGGGGGACCAGAGCTGCTGCTCCGGAATAAACTCACACCCTCTGCTGAGCCGTCTGCCGTGGCGACAACAGAATGCTTGGCAAATAAAGACACGTCCAAAACCTTCTCGAACGACTTTACGGAAATCTGCGCATCAGGCAGCTGGACAGTGAAGGAAAATCCGAGGGCCTGGAGCGATTGATGCCGAAGCCGAATAATCGCACGCGCATTGGCGAAAATGGTAGAATTGGGATCCAAGCCGGCAAGGACGGCGCCCTTTGGCGTTGTTTCAAAGACTCGCGTCGCAGGAATGTCACGAGACAACGCATACAGACACTGTTCCGAGCCATCAAGCAGCACAAAAGAATCAGCACAAGAGAAAAACAAAAAAAATCAATGAAAACCAATTGCTCATGGAAACAGCCTTCTTCAAAAAACAAAACGTACCGCAAAAAGGAAAAAGCTGGCCCACGCGTCTTGAACGGCATAAACAAGTTGAGTGTGATTCAAAGGAATGCGGTCCCAGGCAGACATGGACACTTGCTTGGCCTTGTTGATTGCCAGTCCACACCGTGTTGCCAGCGATCGCAATCCAGGAGCACCCCTCAAATCCGAACTGTCAAACAGAGCAAAAATGAGCAAAACCTCTCCAAAGACGACGCGAGAAGGGGGGGGGGCAAGCTCAAAAGAGTCAGAGCAGCGGAATCAACTTGATCATTCAGCCCATCCTTACAAAACCAGCAGGCTCAGCGCCCCAAGGTCAAAGATGGACTCCAGGTGCACATGCCCAGAATTAATACAGGCCCGTCGAAGTCGAGCCAGGTCGTTTGAAATCCCAATACCAACTTTGAGCACAGCCCGATTTGCCAGCAGCTGAAACAAGAAAGGGCAGAATTCCACAATGTTAGCGCATTCAAACAAGAAGTTCATCATGCGGGCCGAGCTCCTGCAACACGCAACACACACCTTGGCCAATTCCGACGGCAGGCTTTCAACGCGAGGCTGATGATACAGCAGGCATTTGGTTTCGGTTGCCAACTGAATGAGAGAGACGCCATTAAATTGCTTGGCCTGGAACTCGGGATGCCACTGACAATGGTACACAAAACCAGGCGCCGGGGGGGGGGAGGGCGGGCGAGAAGGGTTAGAATCATTTTCAAATTCGTACTCAATCAACATGTGAGTGACCAACCTCGAGATCCAAGCCAATTAAACTTGTCGTGGCAAAGTGCTCTTGAATGTACTCATTGGCAGCCTGCTCGGAAGTAGTGTACAATACATCCACCGGGAAGACGGCTTTCGATTGCTGGAACAGCAGGGCTGGAAGCTGCGTCTCTCGAGTTGCAAAGGAATATGAAAACGTTAGCTGTTGGGTCTGTCCGCCGATCGACGACTCGCGGCAGAACCAGAGAGGAAGGCAGAGCCCCCGGTCGCCGCACTGTACCAGATAAGGGTGCTGTGGTGGGTGCATGAAGCGGGGCGGTGCTGCGCTGCAGCGGGAAAAAGGTGGTGATTGTGGAGGTGCGTGTTGCTGAAAGAGTATCCGGCATAAGACTTGCTTGAAAATAGATTAGCTTGAGACGTGCCGTGTTCCACAGCAGCAGCAGCAGCAGCAGCTAGAAGTCGGAATCCGACGATTCCTTCTGATGAGTCGTGGGGAGCCAGCTGCATCTTGGAAAAGTCGTTGATTTCCCATCGGATGCGACATGGCTCGAGAGTTTTGCTCCGCTTTGCAAACCTGCGCTCAGCGCATCCGAGACGTTGGCGCCAGTGGGCGTGGTCGGATTGGCCACAAACGAAGTTGTCTGAGAACTCGAGCTGCTCTCGAGAGGATGATGGAAGCTGGCGTGCTGGTGCGGTGGAGGTGCGTGCCTCCTGTGCCGTTGAGAATGTTCCGGCAGTGTCGTTGCAGCTATTCCCGACGACGGTTGTTCCACCACGGTCTGCGGTGGCGCGCGGTGCCGGGTTCTCCGACGGCGCGTTGGATTGGGAGCAGGATGACTTGGCTCGTCACCGACCGACTGCACCGCGGCAGCAGAGCCTGCAACTGTATGACCTGCAGCGAAATGTCGCGTTTGTCGAGCTTGGGGAGGATGGGCGGGAGCCCTGTTCTGCTGGGGGTGCGTCGGTGGCCTTGTTCGGCCTGGAGCGGCCGGCGACGAGGACGACGACAAAGCAGCAGCCGCAGTACCAGCAGTACCAGCAGCAGCAGCAGCAGCAGCAGCAGTAACAGCAGAAGCAGCAATGTGGTCTGAATGATGGTTGACAGTCGCCCGATGAGCTGGACGGCGACCTTGCGCTTGAGAGTGATCGTCGTTGGGATTTGGAGTACTTTCAGCAGCTCGCGTCGACGGCGGACGAGCGCGACGACCAGTGCGTCGAGAAGACCCTTCAGAATGAGCACTCAGTGGTGGTGGTGGTGCATTGGGGTCTGACATGGCAGTTTGAGCCGAACCAAACAAAAAGAGTGAAAGGGGGAGTGGACATGCTCAGACTTGCTCAGAAATGCTCAGCAATGCTCAAATGGAAAATCGAGTCCTCAAGGGAATGATTCGCAACCACAAACATTGATCCCCATCCGCCTCAAAGCGAACAACTCCGTCAAACTTAGAAATGCGCCGCCAGGTGACGAATCGAAACTTCGACAACAAGCTAATAGTAGAACTGATAGAATAAGAAAACATCACCCACACGGACACACACACACACACACACACACACACACACACACGGACACACACCCCCACACACCCACAAAAGAGCAAACACTCAAACAAACAACACATTCATGAAACAAGAAAAAGAAACAAACAACTCAAACCCAGTGGGCTTGAGCCGACTCGTCCTGCTTGGCAATCGTCTCATAGTCGCTGGACGGCAGTGCATCGGAGGGACTGTGGTAGATGGGATCGGCTTGAGCGCTGACTCCAGCGGCAACTGGCGTGCTCTCGTACACACTCTCAATGTGGACTGCCTGCGCCTCACTGGCTTTGCTGACTTGGCTGAGCGGATTGACCAAATCGTTCTGCTGCATTTCCACCACAGCCACGTCTCCTCTTTCGGCCATCGCTCGTCGATGGCGTCGGTTGGCAATCTTCGTCCGGATTACAGTCATGGTGCTCCAAAGCACCGACGAGCCTTGCACAGCAATAGCCACGTAGGAAATAATCAAGGCAGCCTCCGCTGCGGTGGGCGCCCCAGATGGCTGGTTGGGATCGTACGCGAGCAGCAACAGGAAGGAAATGCAGTCCAAAATGCAGCCGACAGATTCGCTCCAGAACTCAAACTTGCTCTTGAACGGCCGGCGTCCAATCCAGAGAAGCAGCAAGAGCAGATTCAGGCCCACAACCAGACCCACTTGCACACGAAGGGTGATGGCTGCGGTCGAGATCAGAATGGCAAAAACGAGCTTGCGAACCATAAAGGCCAAGCCGAACGGTCGGTTGAGCGCATTGTAGGTTCCATACACGACACCAAACCGCTTGTCGAAATGAGCAACTTGCTTGGGCGTCTCGTCCTTCTCGGTTGGTTTGCCCGCGTCGGAATCCGTCTTTGACTTTTTCTTTGGCTTCTTTTCGCTCTTGCCGAATCGAGGACCGAGCTGGTGCTTGACGTCGAGCTTGTTGCGATACACAATAATGTACCACCACAACAGAGGCAAGCCGGCCACCAACGCGACCAAGGAAATGACCGACGCAACGAACGCGTTGGTCTGGTACGACGTTGCGCCGCTGATGGTCAGCTGGGCAAACACAGCCAAGCACAGGCCATAGTAGGCCAGGGCCAGCACGCGCAACATGGTGGCTGGCGTGTAGTGGCGAGCGAGCGCACGCAGCTTGGCCGCACGCGAAAGCTTGCGATCCAGCCGCGGTGCACAGCACAGACGCAAGCTCGTTCCAATCACCAGGATGATGGCCACGACCAGAACAAGAGCCAGGAGCACGCCGATAATCAGCAACGTGTTGAAAATCAACTGACGCTCGTCCATGCCAAGGAAGGACACGACCTGGTCAATGTCGAGCAACCGACGCTCGCCAGTGACAGGATCGTACTCTTGGAAGCTGGTCCCGAGAATGTCAATGTGGCAATTAATCCACGCCATCATGCCGGTGTACACGACAAACGATTCCGGCAGCTTGGCGCGCAAAAAGCCCATGCTGGCCACGCGTTGCACGCGATCGATAAAGTTCCAGACATCGGACTGCAGCTCTGGGTGCTCGGGAGAGTCTTGGATGGACGCGATCGAAACCAGGACAATCACAAACACAATGAAAAAGTTCAGCGCTCCAGTCGAGTACTCGATCGCTTGGCGTTGGTCAGCAGACATCGGGATGGGGAACAGAACGACCTCCTCCACAACAGCATCGAAAAAGCAACTCGAAATGTTTGACGCAAGAACATCCGAGCAACTGCCGCTGGCACCACAGTAGTAGCACTGCGGATCGACGCTGCTGCACTCGGCTTGACTATCTGCAGGAATGTAGTCACAAGCGGTCGTGGAGGCCAGCGCGCTCGGCGCCACCCAGATGTACTGCAGTAAGCTCTCACCGCCATAGTCCGTGCTGTCGTCGCCGATGCAGAACGAACCACGCGGGTAGCGCGGCGAGGGGTTGGTCAGGAAGGTCAGCGTCAGCGGCAACTGCAGCAGCGGAACACCATCGTAGTCCAGCGTCACCAGTCCGTTGCCGGTCTGGTTGAGCGAGATGCGATACGTGTGGCGCAGCGATGTGTTGTTGTACGCAGCGACAGTGTGTGTGCCATTCGACAACACAATCACATTCCACCCAAGGGACAGGTACACCACCGTGTCCGAGTCTGAATCCGCAATCACGGCAGAGAACGAGCCAACGCACGTGTTGTTCGCAGGGCAGTTGTAAAAGTTGGACGCCGAAATCCGCACCGACAGCTCAGCCACAGTGCCGTTCGAAAACGCAACGGGCGCCGCATTGGTGGCGCAAGCGTAGTCGACCACGCTCGGTGACGTTGTGCCTTGAATGAGGTAGCCGCCAGACCCGCCGCCGTGCACAAGATAGCCAGAGCCAGAGCCAAAGGTGCCAAAGTTGGTTGGGAAAGATAACGCAGAGCCGGTAAAGACAAAGAAGGGTGCCGATGGTGTCGTCGGGCAAGAGTTGGCCGGATTGCACCAGTCGCAAGGCGCGCCGGGAGGCAAAGCGCAGTGAATCGAGCAATCAGCGCCCCAGTAGCCGGGATCACATACGCACTGTCCGTCGTGCATGCACGTGCCATGGTTGTTGCACGTGTTGCCAAGGTGGGCTGGGCACTCGCAAGCTGGGCCGCCCCAGGACAGGCTCGAGCACTGGCAAACACTTGGGTTGGCCGTGCATGCGCCCCTGTTGGAGCAGACCTGACCAGCTCGAGCAGGGCAGCTGCACGCCACTCCACCAAAGTCTGGATCCGTGCAAGTGCACACGCCAGTCACATAGTCGCAATCACCGTGATTCGTGCACGGAGTCGTTGCACCGCCGGGGCAGATCGACGCACACCCAGACACTGGGCCATAGTAGCCGTACGGACAGAAGGTCGGGATGGGCGTGTTTGACGACACTGGGGTTGCAGAAGAAGGCGTGGATGACGGGACGGTTGAGGAGAAGGGCGTGCTGGAAAAGGGTGTTTGCGATGTCGCCGACGATGCGGGAGTGCTACTGGCGCCGACCGTGCTTGATGCCGAGGACTGCTCAGAGTTCACAGGCGTCGCAGACGATGTCGTCGACACGACCGGCGTCGACGAGAATGGCGTGGTCGAAACAGGCGGAATTTCACAAGCAGAGCCGGAATACCCGCTGCTTGAGCAGTCGCATGCGCCGGTGAGGCTGTTGCACACACCATGATTGTTGCACGGCGTACTGAACCCGCCGGGACAAACACCACTGCAATCCAAACCAAAGTATCCAAACGCGCATGTGCACACGCCAGCGGCGCACGTGCCATGTCCCGAGCAGATCTGTGCCGACGAACTGCTGGGGCACTGGCAGTCCGTGCCACCATACCCTGTAGTGCAGGTGCACAGTCCGTTGGCTTGCGAGCAGGTGCCGTGTCCAGAGCAAGTGCTGGGTCCAACACCGCCTGGGCACGAATTGGCGCAGCTCACGCCCCAGTAGCCGGTGTCGCACGCGCAAGCCGTGACAAAGGGACTGCATGCACCATGGCCATTGCACGCGTGGGTTGCGTTGCCGGGACATTCACAGGAGCTGCCGTGGTAGTTGGCGACGCAGGCACACTGCGAGTTGATCACGTCACACACACCAGTGATGGCACTGCAGTTCGTGCACGAGCCAGTTGCGTTCAGAGTCACATTCACAGTGTTGATCAGCGTGACAACTGTCAGCAAGCTCGACGACGACAGCCAGCTGCCGGACACAGAGTTGGCAGTCAGCACGCGATTGTTCACATATTGGCCAGGAGCCACGGTAAATCCGTCACGGAACTCGAACGACGCATTTCCGTTCAGCGCCACGTTGCCAGACACAACCAGCGAGCTCATCACTGGTCCAGGGTAGACCTGAATGCTGGTGACGGTGGTGGCAGCCATGGACATGGCGCCCGTCCAAGTCAGAATCGACGCGGCAGCAGAGCAGCCGGGAACGATGTTGCCTCGCAGCGCAACGGATGAAGCTGCTGTGACCGTGCCGCATCCACGAAGGGTGGAGCCAGCTACCCACGCCGTTGCAGTCGACACGGCTAGAGTTCCGGCAGCGGCCACATCCATCGTGGCGTTCGCGAGCACCGACGTGAACGAGGCAGTCTGTGTCCCGGAAACAACCTGCATGGTGCCACCTTGCACAAAGATGCTGGGGCTGATGGTGGCAGACTGGAGAGTGGTGATGTTGTGGTAGTTGTAAAAGCCACCGGTTCCGGTGAACGCCGCCGAGGTGCGGTTCATGGTTAACGGCGCGAAATTCAACCACCTGCCAGGCGACGTCAGGGTGAAGCTCGTGCCACCATCTGCAGTAATCCAGGTCGCAGGGCCATACGAGTAGATTGGCAAGTTGCTGGTGAAGGCACTGGCAATGGAGATGGTGGTGCGGCTGCTCGACGTCAAGTACAGGCGACCAGGAGAGACGGAATACGTGATTTGCCCGCCTTGGATGGTGCAAAGATCCGTCACCACCACATCATAGTTGGTCTGAAGCACGCCGCTGTCAATCCACAGTTGCTGCACAGTGATGGCGCTTCGTGGCACCACGGTCGTGGTTCCACTGACTTGGAAACGCGATGGAGCAACGATGACATCAAACACTCCAGCGGTAAACCAAAGCATCGAAGTAGCATCGTAGAACGAGACGGTGCCGTTCATCCGGCCACCCGCGCTGAAAATCACCCGCCCAGCAAGGGTGCTGACGCCATGATGAGAGACAGGCGCTCCAAAATAGATTGGCGCGGGAGAAGACACATTCAACGTGCCGTAATTGAGCAAGCCCGAGTCTGCCCCTACGCCCGACCAGCCGAGCACGGTTGTAGTAAATGATGATGTAACGTTCATCCATCCATTGTTGACCAAGCGACCGTCGTAGCCCGTGTAGACCGAGTATGTGCTGCCGATAAACGTGGTGGTGCCACGGAGAATCAGCGGAATATAGTACAAATAGACGTAACTCAGGACGGGCTGAATCAGTACTTGCGCGGTCGCTGCGGCAGTGACACTGCCTGCCGCGGTGTCATAAGAGAAGGTGCCACCTCGCAGCGTCATGGATGACAGTACGGTCAGCTGCTTGTTCACCATCATGGAGCCAGCGTTGAAAATGAAGCTGCCAACTGTCTGATCTTGCACAAGGGAAACCGTGCCGCCGTCAATGAAAATGGGATCGACACCACGCCACAAGAAATGAGTGCCTCCAGTAAACACAACCAAAGCCTGAGTGTTGTTCAAAATGACCGTGCCGTTCTGCAAACCACCGGCTGCAAGATTCAGATTGCCATTTGCAACGTAGACCAGGCCAAAATTCTTGAATGCCGCCCCAAAAAGGATTGGCCCAGATGCAGACACGGACACGTTGAGCGTGCCGTAATTATGCAAGCCCGAGTCCGCAGTGACGCCCGCCCAGCCCAGCATGGTGGTGGGCGCAGTCGCGACGACATTCATCCATCTGGTATTGATCAAGCGACCATCGTAGCCCGTGTATACCGCGTACGAGCTGCTGACGAACGTGGTGGTGCCATTGAGAATCAGTGGAATGTAGTACACATAGATGTAGCCAATGGAGGGCTGAATCAGCACTTGAGAGCTGGCTGCAGCAATGATGCCGCCTGCTGCGCTGTCATACGAGAAGGTGCCACCTCGCAACGTCATGGATGACAGTACGGTCAGCTGTTTGTTCACCATCATGGAGCCAGAGTTGAAAATCAGGCCGCCAATGGTTTGATCTTGCACAAGGGAAACCGTACCGCCGTCAATGAAAACGGGATCGACACCGCGCCACAAGAAATGAGTGCCTCCAGTAAACACAACTGACGCTTGAGTATTGTTCAGAGTGACCGTGCCGTTCTGCACACCACCAGCCGCGAGATTCAGATTGCCATTTGCGACGTAGACCGGGCCAAAATTCTTGAAAGCTGCTGCAAAAACGAGGGGCCCAGAAGCGGAGACTGAAACATTGAGCGTGCCGTAATTATGCAAGCCCGAGTCCGCAGTGACGCCCGACCAGCCTAGCATGGTGGCGGGCGCAGTCGAGACGACATTCATCCATCCATTGTTGATCAAGCGACCATCGTAGCCCGTGTATACCGCGTACGAGCTGCTGATGAACGTGGTGATGCCATTGAGAATCAGCGGAATGTAATAAAAGTAAATGTAGCCAATGGAGGGCTGAATCAGAACTTGAGAGCTGGATGCAGCAATAATGCTGCCTGCTGCGCTGTCATACGAGAAGGTGCCACCTCGCAGTGTCATCGACGTCTGTACGGTCAGCTGCTTGTTCACGTACAAGCTGCCAGAGTTGAAGATCAAGCTGCCGATCGTCTGATCTTGCGCGACAGAGACCGTGCCGCCATCGATGAAAACGGGATCGACACCACGCCACAAGACGTGAATGCCTCCCGTAAACACAAGCGACGCTTGAGTGTTGTTCAGAGTGACTGTGCCGTTCTGCAAACCACCATTTGCCAGATTCACCGTGCCGCTGGCAACATAGATTTGACCGCGATTGAAAAACGCCGCTCCAAGAGTGACCGGTGTCGGGGCGGACACATTCATGACTCCGTCATTGTAAAATCCAGTCAAGGAGCCCGACGGATACCAGCTCAGCATGCTGGGAAGGCCCGGGGCGGCGACGACATTCATCCAACCGTTGTTGATCAAGCGACCATCGTAGCTCAAGTAGAGCGAGTATGTGCTGCAGATAAACGTGGTCGTGCCATTGAGAATCAGCGGAATGTAGTACAAATAAATGTAGCCAATGGAGGGCTGAATCAGCACTTGAGCGCTTGCCGCGGCAATTACACTGCCTGGGGAGCTGTCGTAATTGAACGATCCACCTCGCAGCGTCATCGACGACAGAATGGTCAGCTGCTTGTTCACGTACAAACTGCCAGAGTTCATAATCAAGCCGCCAGTCGTCTGATCTTGCGCGACAGAGACCGTGCCGCCGTCGAGGAAAATTGGATCGACACCGCGCCACACGGCGTGAGCGCCTCCCGTAAACACAAACGAGGCTTGAGTGTTGTTCAACGTGACTGTGCCGTTCTGCAAACCACCATTTGCCAGATTGACAATGCCGTTCGCAACGTAGATCTGACCGAGGTTGAAAAAGGGCGCTCCAAGCGTGACTGGTGTCGGGGCGGAAATGTTCATGACTCCATAATTGTAAAATCCAGTCACCGTGCCTGCAGGATACCAGCTCAGCATGCTGGGAAAGCCCGGAGAGGCGACAACATTCAGCCAGCCGTAGTTTTTCACGCGACCATCGTTGTACAGGTACAGCGAAGCGGAGCCGCAAACAAACGTGGTCGTGCCGTTCAGGATGAGCGGGAGGTAGCTCAAACCGAGTACCGACGTAGGTTGGATTAACACCTGGGAGGTCGCTGCTGCGGTAATGCTGCCGGGTGTGGAGGAGTAGTAAAAGTTACCCGTTCGCAGTGTCATCGAGGTGGTGACGACGATCGCCTTCTCCACATACACCGTTCCAGAGTTGAGCGTAAACGAAGCCAAAGTCGCATCTTGCCAAAAACCGACGGTTGCGCCGTCAATCAGCAGGTTGTTGGGAACGGTCCAGAGCGTCCAGGAGCCGCCCGTGAACGCCATCGATGCAAGCGTGCTGTTCAGCGTCACAGACCCATTGTACACACCACTGCCGCCGAGTTTGAGTTGGCTGTCTGCCACGAAAAGCTGGCCCTGATGGGTAAAGAAGCCGTTGAGTCTGACACCCATGCCAGCGACGCTCAGGGTGCCATAGTTGAAAAAGCCCGACCCAGCGACGGCGTTGCCAGTCACGAAAATCTGATCCGCAACTGTTGATCGCATCTCCATCCAGCCGTAGTTGATGAGCCGTGCCGTATTGTCGGTCGTCATGTAGTACGGCGAGGTGGGCGACGAGTAGTTGGTGGTTCCACGCAGCTCTACGGTCACTGAGCCAGAAACATACATGTAGTTTGTTGGCTGGATGAAAACAGAGGAGGACTCTGTCGCGCGCAGGACGCTCGCGCCGTTAATGCTTCCGCCCCTGAGCAGCAGTTGCTCGGTCACGTTGACTGCCTGAGCGAAGGTTGCCGTGCCTCCAGCCACTTCCAGCGATTGTACTTGCATGGAAGCCGCTCCGCTGAATGTGGCGGAAGACGCAACGCGAATTCGGCTCACAGACGTCGCCACGGTGGCGGACGACTGGAGCACGAGCACGGCGAGGCTGTCTCCGCTCGTCACGCTGCCACCGAGAATGCTGGCGGTGCTCGTCAGCGTGAGCGGCGCGCCGGCGCTCATGGCGAGGGTGCTGGTTCCTTGGAGGTAGAATGGCAGAGACATGGTGGTGGAGGAAGTGATGGACACCTGGCCGCCAGCGTCGTTGTACACGCTGCCGCTGCCAGTGAAGGAGCCGCCGTTCGACACCAGCAAACCAGTGGCCTGGATGTTCAGCCGACCCGTGCCGGAGCTCAGGGCAAGCTTGGCAGGGGACGACACGGTCAGCGTGCCAGCGATATTGGACGGGGTGGTGGAGGTGCCCGACACTGTCAGTTGGCAGGAAGTCGAGGCACCGTTGATGGTGAGAGATCCACCCGAGGCAATGGTGATGGATTTCACAAAATTGGTGGCTGCCGTCGTGTAGGTGACAGCAAAGCCGTTGGGAATGGTCACGTCGTCGTTCGTGGTCGGCAGCTGCGCAGGGTTCCAGTTGGCGGCAGTCAGCCAATCACTGTTGGTAGTGCTGGCGAATGTCAGGGACGCGGCGGTGGCGCCTGATGTGAACAGCCCTGCCACCAGCAGCAGCAGCAACACGGCCAGCGTGGTCGCCACAGGTATCGAGCGCATATGTTGTCTCGTGGGAGCTGCCAAGAAAAAAAAAAAAAAAAAAAGGGAGCGGGGTTTCTGGACACACAGCAAAGCACAACACAAGGAGATTAGTAAAATAATTTTTGTTGCAAAATCTTGATCAGAAAGTGCCACCAGGACACCCATCATTGAGGGAGTGGGGTGCGAAGGGCAGAATGTTGTTTTGCTGGTTTTTGGTTTTTGTTTTTGGTTTTTTAAGTTCCTCTCCCCCGCATTGCACGACTCCCAGCCACCTCAGCCACCTGTGCAGCATCAAGAGCGACACACAAACACACTCATCAACCCACTTTTGCGGGGGGCTGTCGTTGTTTTTGTCTACTTTTGCTTCAATGGCTTTGTTTTGTTCGATAACATTCTTTTTCGTATGCCTTGTATAGCTTTAAACTAGGGCTTTGATATGCTTTCTCATCATCGATTCCTTGTCATTTGCATTATTTTCAACACGGTAAAGCCGAATCTCTCGCTCGCACTAGCTCTCACGCTTCCATATCCTGTTCCAACGTCCCGGCCTTTTCGTTGCCCCCCCCCCTTTCCCCTTTCCTCTTCCCCTTTTCCCCCCTTTCCTCCTCCACGCTGTTGCTCCCAGCATGGTGTCCCCCTTTATTCTTTATTTGTTTGTTATTCTTTCGTATTCTTTTACTATTTGATTCTATTGTTCAAATATTCCCCTTTTTTTTGCATTCTCCGTTTTCTCACTCAGCCAAACGCTACTGTCGATGTGCCCCGAAATGAATCGCTTTTCCCCCCCCCCTCTCATTTCGTCATGCATTTTTATCATCACTTGTGTCATTGCATTTCCTCCACTCCCTCCTCCCGCCTCCTTCTCTCTCGCTCTCTTGGTGACGATGCGGGTTGTTGCGAATAATGCGGTGGTGGGTTTGCTCAAAGCTCCCTCTCCCAGCAGTTGCTCTTCCTCCCTGGTCCCCCGTTTCCGCGCAGTCCAGTGTGCAGCAGGACGACGGCAGTCTTGCCCTCTCTCTCGTCCCAACCAGCCCGGGGCTACGGGGTGGTGGTGGTGGTGGTGGTGGAAGAGACTCAAAGCGCGCGGCAACAAACAAACAGTGTTCGCTTTGATGCTATGGAACCATTCGCGTTAACACCACTCCCTTTCACTCCCTCTCACTCCCTCACTCCCGTCCGTCCCTTCGCTCCCTTCCGTCCCTCACTCAACCATCACATTTGCTCGCAATGCCTTCAGCGTCAACAGTGCTCTTCGATCTTTACCTTTGAAAAATCAAACACCAAAAAATACACTCAAAATAAAAAAACAATGTTACAAATAGACTGAACGGTTTTGATGCTCAAGATCCACAAAACCATCGCAGGATACGGTGCATCAACCCCCTCCCCCTCCCCCGACCCGCAATGCAAGGGAGCGAGTATATGGTCATGCGAAGGGGGGGGGTGGTTGTTATGGGGGGTTTGAAAGAGGGGAACTGTATTTAGAAGCACAAAGCAGTGGTGGGAAAAACAACAACATAAGCACCGATGCCCATTTTAAGGTGGTTGGATCTAGTGACGCAAAAACCAAGCGAAAGAGCTGAATCATTCATCATCGCGATGAGCATCACTCAGCATGACAGCAGCATCATCATCAATACAAGCAAAAACAAACACAGCAGCAGCGAGCGTTAAACCGCCCCCCCCAAAAATGCAAAAAGGGGAGCAAACGTCTTCCTCCATGTGGGTGGAAAAACAACAAAAGAGCGAGTTCACAAACGCTCCGCACAAAAAAAGCAACAACATGAGCCAAGCCGCAGAAGCATAAGAGACGCATTCCAGAACTCGAAACTCAGCAGTCTGTCGGGGGGGGGGGGCCGGGGCGGGCGCAGCGTCCGAACTCGAGTCCAGCCGAGAGTAGAAGCCGGCGGAGTTGTGGAATCGCGCTCCAGTGTGGGATTCAAAGTCTTACCGCTAACAACGCCGTCAGCTCAGCCAGCTTAATACGAACAAGCAATCACGGTGAAGCGGTGACATGTACTTGGTCTTTTTTGAAATGAACAATGGAAAGCGAGCAGGCGAGAAGGACGCGCTCGGCGCAGCGTTCCGATTGCTCAACGCGCTCGGAGCTTCAGCGAGGGCGATCGTGTGTGTGCTCGGGCAGCCGCGTACGTTGATCGATGCTGCGTACCGTGTGTCTTGGATAACATTGCATGGCATCCTCCTGTGGCGTACTCACTTTGGCATCCGGCTCGGACGTGCTTCAGTTGCGCGGTTGCTGGTGAACTGCTTGACGCACTCCAACGCAACGAGACAGGTACCACCACCGCGTGCGAGTCTAATCGCCTACTCACAGTCGCTCCGACGATTCGGGAAACGGACAATCCTCCCCCGCGACCAAAATGCGCGAAACGTGGAAAGTGGCCAAAATGGTCGTTTCCCGCCTCGCCAAGCTCGCTCGGCGTTGTACGATTCGAATCGCGTTTACATGGGATGTACTTCAACATACGAGCATCTCCATATGTGATAGAATCCGACCGTGAGACTGTTTCCTCGTTTTCACAAACGCAGAATGACAAAGAAGCTTGATTTGCTTGTCTGCTTCGTTCACCTCATGCATTCGAGGTAAATGCTGTACTGTATGCAATGAAATCCACTGCTGTAACAACACGAGTGATGTACGGCTATGTTTCCCCCCCCCCTTGAATAGTCCTTTTCTCAGAATCCAGCAAACTCTCAATCTTTGGCTTCTTTTTTTTTTTTTTTTTTTTTTTTCCCTTTTGCCCTCTTTTTTTTGTCGTTCTTGTCATTTTATTTTTGTTCTCGTCATTCATTGTCTTAGAAGATGAGCGTGTTCAATCCGTTCGACTCGCTGTCTGCCGCAGCGCAGCTCGAGCAGCAGAACCAGCAGAATCAGCTTCACCACCAGCAGCAGCAGCAGCAGCAGCAGCAGCACCAGGCGCACTTTCTGCCACCCCACCAACCCCAACCCCAACCCCAGCAACAACAACAACCACATCCACATCCACAGCAGCAGCAGCAGCAGCAGCAGCAGTACTTTGCGCCCTTCTACTTGCCAGGTCAGCAGGCGGCGGCCTCGTCGTCGTCGTCGTCCCCGTTCGTCCTCCCGCCACAGCAACCACAGCAACAACCATCACATCAGCAGCAACAGCAGCAACAACAGCAGCAGCACGCGGCACTCCAGCAGCAGCAGCAGCAGCAGCCTCAACTGACCCCATCCCAACCACAGCAATCCCAATCCCTCCAGCACCAGCACCAGCACCAGCAGCAGCAGCACCAGGCAGTCGCTGCAGCACTATTGGGTGGACAGGCGGACATGGCCACTGCCGCCGCCGTCGCTGCCGCCGCTGCCGCCGCCATGTCCAGTGCAGCGGTCAGTTCTGAGATTGGCAATGCATTGCCCATACAAATGCCCAGACAAATGCCCATGTACTGACCTCGCACACTTTTGTTGCATGGATATGTTTCGCTTGGTGTTGCATGGATATATTTCGTCTTTGTTGCATGGTGTTGTTGGAAAAAAAAAAAAAAAAAAAACACAGGTCCCGCAGCCGTTTGCTGCCGAGGCCGTCGAGGAAGAGCCACTATACGTCAATGCAAAGCAGTACCATCGCATCCTCAAGCGGAGGCAAGCGAGAGCAAAACTCGAGGCAGAGAACAAAATCTCAAAAGAGCGACAGGTGAGTGGTGCTCGTCGATGCGAAATAGTTAACAACCAAAGCCTCAGAAGGTGCTCTGGCGGCGGTGATTGCCTCAACACCCGCTTCTGCATCATCCGGCACCTCTGAGGGTGCTTTGGAGTGGAAGCCCCAGTGTAGATTGATTGGCCGATTCGTTGGTTTGCAATCGTCAAATGTACTGACACGTTGATTTCTGTGTTTTGGTCTCGATCTTTCAATCACTCAGCCTTATCTGCACGAGTCAAGGCACAAGCATGCACTCAAGCGAGTACGAGGCGAAGGTGGGCGATTCCAAACGAAGAAAGGTGGCGACGCCTCCTCAAGTAATACACCTTCGCTGCCAGATTCCCTTTCGGCTAGCCCGACACCCGAGAATGGTCAATTCCTGTTTGGACAGCAATGAGCAAGTCATTGTCGCCATTCCAATCGATTTGTTGCGTGCATTCATTTTTTCTTTCCTTGTTTCGTTTGTCCTTTCATCGTATTCATCGCTGTTTTTTTGGTTTGCTTTCGGACTTTCTTTTCGTGCCTTGGCTTGACGCCGTTTTTGCTGATCAGCTCTTTGTCGCAACGATACTCAAAAGCTTTGTACAATGTTGCCGGCTCGGGCTGATTGATTAAAAAACCATCACAAAAAAAGAAAAAGAAAAAAAAAAGCGCTTTCAAAGTTCTGACAGGGTTGTTGACGAGGATCCAAACGATAGAAGTATAGCTACAATTGAACATGCCATCCACACCAGCAGAAAACATAAAGTTCATCCCCCCACCTCTTGGCCTTAACGCCGGGTCGAGTGGTAATGCTCCTTCTCTTGCTGCCGTTGATCTGCAAGAAGCTCCTCGCGCTCAACCAATTCGCGGGCCTCATCGAGCAAGGCCTTGTTTTCTCGGTTTTTGGCCAATGCCTCGGCGACCTCCTTGGGCATGTAGTTTTCGTCGTGCTTTGCTAATACGTTGCTGGCAACGAACGTGGCGGCATTCTTGTCAAACTTGCCCTCGACGACCACCGCCTTGCCTTCGCGGAAGAGATCAGGAAGCAGCCCGTTGAACTTGACGAAAATGTCGGCATTCAAATCCGTCACGATAAACTCGACGGTCGGCGCTGCAGGCGGCAATTTCACCGAGCCTTCGAGCACCAATCCACCCAGACGGATGCTTGACTTGTCATTCAGCGTTCCCATTCGTTCCAACAGCTCGGACGGTGTCAGGTAGAACATGAGCACGTCTTGGAAGGCATACATGCCCAAAAACACACACGCACCGAGCGCAAGTCCGCCGAGCGCAAACAGGACAAACCGGCGATTGCGCTTCTGCGTGGCGAGCAATGCTCTCCGCTCCTTGACCAAGTGCGAAATTCCTGGCGCTTGAGCGGTCTGCTGGCTGCCATGATTGCTATTGTCACTACTGGAGTTTGGTGCAGGGTTGCTGGCGCCTGAAGCAGATTGAGCAGATGGAGCGCGACCAGTCAGGGTGGTCAGACCGCGCCGATGCCATGCCAGCGCCGGCGGCACAATCATTGACACTGGATGAGCCCGAGCACTGAGCTGGGCGAGCTGGCACAGGCCTCGCGCTGGGACGCCCAGGTGGCGCACGTGTAGCAGCGAACATCGTGTCTTGGCGACGAGATTCGACGACGACGACGACGGCGACGACAGCGCGATCGCCATCCGACCAGTCGCAGCACCAGCATTACTGGACGAAAGGCGCTCGTGCAGACGCCACGAATCGGCGTGTGGTGGCGACGCCGCGGAGGCGTGGGCGGCGCGGAATGGGATGGCAGAACCGGCAGCACTCAGATTCAGCGACCAGCCTGATCGAGACAGCGAGCAGCAGCTAGGCAAACTGCAGGCTATGCTTTGTACTTGTTGGAGAGTCCGCATCGACATTTTCGGGAGGAGGGAAAGGGAAAGAGAAAGGGACAGGTGTTTGCTCAGACAACGACTGAAACCATTGACCAAAACTAAAGAAAACTAAAGGAAGGAAAACTGAAAACGATCGCATTCGACCACATAGTCATCACTGCACCACCCAACGGGGAGGCCAATCAAAACATGCAAATCATTCATCGTCCGACTCGACTGCGCGCCGTGCCTTGGTCGTGAAGGTCGCGGTCGAAGCAGGCGCCGCAGCCGTGTTGGCATCATCGTCTTGATCGTCGTCCTCGTCGCGGCGGAAGACGGAGGAAGAAGGTTGGTCATCATCCGAGTCGGAGATGAGCTCTTTCGACTTGAAGACGCGCTTGGGCACACGCGACGACGACGACGACGACTTTCCTTTGTCTTCGTCCGACGAATCGGCTTCGCGCGCAGCCTTCCGAGGTTCAGCTTCCAATCTAGAGGGGAGGGCAGGGCAGGGGGGGGGGGGGAACGAAAACAAAAGAAAAGTGCTGGTAAGCATCAACCCCAAGATGATTGATAAAGTTTCCTTGTTGGAAAAACTTACGATCCGTCATCGCGTCGCCGTTTCTGCCGGCTCTTTTTGTCGGCCTTGTCGCGGCTCTGAGCCAAATGACATTCAGGGTGAGCGATACAAACAAAACAAACCACCGTCCGTCCGTTCGCCTTCTCAAAGGCGAGCAGACTCCTTACTCGCTTCTCCTTCTTGCGCGCTTCGCGACGCCGTTTTCGCTCCTCCTTGCTGGCTTTGGGAGCAGTCTCGCCATCGCCACCGTCCTCTCCCTGGCTACTGCTGGGAGTCGATGCAGCGTCCTCCTCAGACTCGTCAGAGGAGCCAGAGTCCTTGCTGCGACGACCCTTCTTGGGGCGCGAGTCCTCCTCATCGTCCACAAAATCGTCCATCGCTGTGTCGGCCTTGCGACCTCTGCTCGACTTTTTGGACGCAGCGGCAGCGGCGGCGGCGGAAGCGTTCGCTTGAAACTCGGCAAAGGCCTCGTCTGCACGCTTGCGGTGTGTCTCGGCAATCAAGGCCAAGCGAGCGTGCTCCTCTGCAATCTTGGACTGCCGGACGGCCTCGTCCGCAGCCTTGCGCTCCATCAAGTTCTTGCGCAAAACCTCGTGCTCCTGTGCCTTTCGCTGGCGCTCTGCCTCCTGCGCTTCGGCACGTCGCATGACCTGCGCAGACTGTGCGAGCATGTCGGCAACGCGGCTCGCAGACTGTGCAGCCCGCGCGGGTGTAAATCCGAGCCGACTAGATTTGGGATATTTGGAAAGGTTATCATAGATCCTGTGGGTGGAGAGAGTTGGGACAAGAGGGGGGGGGTCGGGGAAAATGAAAGATCAAACAAGGTGAGCATTTTATCGCTTGCCGAAGCGAAACCAAGAAAGCTCAAGGTTGGAACAAGCCATGCCGACATACTTGTGAGCGACTTGCAACGAAGCGATGGCGTGCGTGACATCGCGAGGGTGGAGCGTTTCTTGAGCAAAGGTGTGCTCGGCGAACGCCTCCTCGCACAACGCAAGATGGTATCGGATGACCGTTTCGTGCGGATGAAGATGGAATGCCTGCCATGGTTGAAACGCAAACGATGAATGCGGGATCAAATTACAAGCCCACCCCCTTTCTACCCTTCGAGCTGAAGCTGAAGCACATACCTGCTGCAGCACCGACTTGCAGGCGTCAAACTTTTTGAATTGGTAATGGACGCGCGCCAAATGCATGAGCACATCAAGATCTTTGTCGTTATGGAACTTGCGGAGGCAGTTGGTGTACTGCAGGCGAGGGACGCGAAAAAAAAAAACCAAAACAAATCAGCAAAAAACAAAAACAAAAAAATCTCATCTTCCAACAACGCCGATGCAAAGGTACGTACCATCTTGACAGAGCGAGTGTAGTCATATGAAGAGTACAGATGGCCGAGATTCGTCCAGACGTCCGCAGACTCGCTGGTAGTCTCGCGCACCTTCAAAAAGACATCCTCGGCCTCCTTGACGAAGCCGTTTTCCGCCATGACACAAGCGAGGCCATTTGCTGCGTAAATGTTGCGGGAATCCTCCTGCAGAGCCTTGGTGAAGAACTCTGCAGCACGAACGTAGCTCTTGTCCATCTGCCAGAACAAACACACAAACAAACAAACAAACAAACAAACAAACAAACAAACAAACAAACAAAAAAAAAAAACAAACAAAAAAAAAAAAATGAATGAATATGACCAACCCGCGTCGTCACCAGAAACTTTTTCAGAAAAAAAAGAAATCAAACCTGGGCTTTCGGAACGCTAACAGGCTGAGCCGACTGCTGGAAAATGTTGCCGAGTGCAATTAGAGGATAGGGATCGACCTTGTTTGTCTTGCCATTGTTTTTCAAAAGCATCTCAAACTTGTTCTGGGCCAGATTCCACTCGTAGCGCGAGAGATGCATGTTGCCGACAAAGCACCAAGCATCGGGGTTGTGGGGCTGAATGGCAAAGACTTCGCGAACCCATTCGGCCGCCGCCGCGATGCGGCCTTGATTTTTGGCGATGGCGGCGAGTCGAAGGTAACCTGGTGATGAAGAAAGCAGGCAAACAATACTCGAAACATGAGAATTGTGATTCAAAAACCAGCAGAAAAAAAAAGAAGAAAGAATAAAGGCGCAAGCCTTACAATCAATCAACGTCGGATGCTCTTGAATCAATTCACGGTAGATAACTTCCGCGTCTGCGGGATTATTCATGTCCTCCAACAGACGGGCACGGTTATAGCGAATGGTGACCTTGAGCCCGTTCAGGGAGCGCAAGTTCTGTGCATCAACCATCTCGTTCTGCTCCTCGTCGCGGATCTGTTGGTCCACATCCGCAGCCGCAGCCGCATTCATGTCTTGCGCCTTGTCCAATTGGCCGAGCTTGTGACGCAGCGTGGCGATATTGTTGAGAATCTCCGGTGCAATCTTAATATCAGCTTCCAACAGCAGTCGCGCGGCAGTCTGCGAAAAATGGCAACAACAAAGAGTGAGACCGACATGAACACTCCAACAAGAAGCCGACGCAAATCAATCAAACACGTCGGAGCGTCACGGACCTCGTATGCTTCCAAAGCAGCAGCAAAGTCCGTTTGCTCTTGAAGTTGAGCCAGCTCAATCCAGGCTTCAACGTCCTTGGGTTGGGCAACGGTAATCTTGTGCAACAGCTGCTGAGCACGCTGGCGCTTGTTCGAGTACTGACTGGTCACGTACAGCGAGCCCAAAATCTGCAAAATGCAACGACGAATGGCGAATGGTTGGAACGGTACGACACGACAAAATGACGCAAAAACAAACCACGAAACGTCCCATTCCAATCGCCGCCCGCCCAAACTCAACCCTTCCAAACTCATGCAACCCTTCCATGGTGGCAAACGCTCCAGCTTTCGTCTCACCTTGCTGGCTTCGTAGTTGTCGGGGAATTTGACCAAGACTTTTTCGAGATATTCGGCGGCTTTGGCAATATCGCCCTTCTTGATATACAGTTGCCCAAGTCCGAACTGGGGCAGCGCGAACGAGTCCCACAAACGATTCGCTTGGTAGTAGAATTGGAAGGCCTGGTCGTAGTCTTCAGCGGCGTGGTGCTTGCGGCCAATCAAGTAGCAGCTGATTGCCTTGATTTCGTCTACATCTGAGCGATGCAGGGCAGAGAGCGCGAGGTTGGCAGACTTGTCGAGCTCGCGGTACGAGAAAAAGTAGTTGGAGAGGTGATTCAGCAGCATGGCGTTGTCGCGATTTTCTTCCGAGCTGATCTTGTACGCTTGCTGGAGCAGTTGCATGCCAGAGGTGACGGACGCCACCGCGGCTTGCTGCAAAATCGAGGCTTGCTCTGAGATTTGGGCAGGCGCGAGGTTGGCAACAGTGGCGGCAGAGCGGCCCGTCAGCATCTCGGTGGCGCTGGCCTCCTTGTCGACGCCAGTGTTGAACTCGATGGTCGCAAGAGCAACGCAAGCTTCGAGATGGTCTGGGACGAGCTCGAGCACGCGCTTGAAGGCGAGCTGCGCGCGTTCCAAGTCTTTCAGCTTGAAGAGACACACGCCAATACCGTAGCGGACAATGGCCGCCGAGCCCGTGGGGTTGATGCGCAGTACCCGGCGGTACAGTCCGAGTGCTTCCTTGAACTGCTTGAGGTTGTACGCAGCGCACGCTTGGCCCATGAGCGCGGGAATGTGTGCGGGGTTTTGGGCTGTAACGTAGCGGAACTGGGTGGCGGCACGCTCATAGTTGTTGCGCAACAGGAAGAGCATGCCCTTGCCCACCATATTCAAAGTGCCGTGCACATCCAGCGTGTCGGCGCGGTTGAACTGCGAGGTGGCCTTCTGGAGGAGTGCTTCGCGTGTCTCCCGGTCGCGTTCTTCCACGGCCTGCTGCAAGTAAAACGCGCCGAGCGCATTGAGAATGGACAGGCGGTCTTGAATTGCATCTGCGTACTCTGGTTCCGTGGAGGCTGGAAGCAGAGTCAGGGGATTGAGTTGGAATGGTTTGAGAATTGACGACAATCGTTCACTCAACGTAGTCGTGATCAGAAACTGTACCTGCATCGGATGCCGCTGTCAAGAGCTGGCTGCACGCCTCGGGCATCTTTTGGTTGTAATATTGAATCTGGTCCAAGTCACACAAAGAGCAATCAGCGGGGATGAGTGAAACGACAAGTTTAGTTGCAAATCGCAGAGCAAGTTGCTAACTGACGCATCAAGGATATGGTATCATCAATGTTGATTTTTTGTTAGTACTCTTTTTTTTTTTTTTTTTTTTTTTTTTTGTTGCAGAGATCTCATTCGCGCGCGCGCTGGTTTACTCTGTGACTGCCCCAGCCCCACCGCCTCCCGCCTGCTTCTTCCAGGCAAACTGTCCAGCGATCTCTACCACTTGAGCCAAGGCATGTGTGTCTCCCTCTCCGATGCACACAGGACGGCCGAAATCCAACTCACAGCGAGTACGAGCCAGATGCGGAGTCGCGCCTTCTCCTGCTTGAGGATGCCGAGCAGATCGCCGAGGTCGGGCAGCTCTGCAAACTCAATTTCGAGGACTTCGTTCGAGCCACGCAGCGGGATTTCGATCGACGTCGGCGCAGGTGCCTGCATTGTGTTGCTGGCTGCGAGCGCGGCGGCTGTTGCTGCGGCAGACTGCGACCTCGGTGCGTTCGAGTACCGCGATCCTGATACTGATCCTGGTCCTGATGATGATGATGATGTTGTTGTTGTCGTTGTTGCTGCTGCTGGAGCGGGCGCCATGGGGTTGAAGGGGTAGGCGCCCCCAGAGCGAGACCTTTGCATCATGAAACAATAAGAAAAGAGAAAAAAAGAAAAAAAAAAAAAAAAGAGACTGAGCGAACGTTGAGAGTTTCTGAGATTGGGTTGTTGGTCTCGCTGCTTCTCATCTACGAATAGAATTCAGACGCAAGCAAGAATCGAAATCGCAAGAAAAAGACTTCCTCCTCGAATTCATTCACAATGTTTTTTTTTTCGGAAAGTCTCAAACTCTCGCAGATCCAACCGTCGCGATGAATCAAAATGCAAGGAGTAACAAGTAGTGAACAAGGCTGGAACGCTAAAAAGCATCGAGTGGCTCTCGCAAGGACGATTGTTAAAACGAAGCAGAAAATGACAAGCAAACAAAGGTCAATGCACGGAACAGACCAACGATACAAACATGACACAGCGTCTTTTGCTGCTTCTTTTTGTTTAGGACGACGAGCCGTCGCTAGGGTGCGAAATAACCATCGATGATTCGGGAACAAGGTCGTACTGCTTGGCAAACTTGACGAATCGGCTGGTGAGCTGCGTTTGTTCCTCAAACTTGTCGTAGACTTGCCGGTGGTGGAAATAGGTGTGCGCAAAGATTCGGTAGAGGCGACGAGCGATTGCCTGGAAGTGCTTAACAGATGTCTTTTGAATCGTTACTCTGTCCAGGCGGGGAAGAGGGAGGGTGGGGATTTTTTTTTCGGAATTGAGTCAACGGCGCTTTTCACGCCACCGAGAAAACCCTCGCCAAATAAATGGAAAACAAAAAAGCCAAGCGACATACCGACTTGGGAAAAACTTGTTGCTATTCAGCTGGGCTGCAATGCTGTCCAGCGTGTGCACAATGTAGTCAATGGCGCTGCACTCCAGAGGTTGCTTGTGTGCGGCGCACAGATACAGCAAGTCGTCTGTGGCTTTCATTTGCGGGCACGATCCAGGCGTGCAAGTGTCCTGAATCAGAAGCACGAGCGCGTTAAGCTCGAGGCAGAATTGTCTACCGGCAACAGAGTCGAGGAGGCGGAGGAGATGAAACACACACAAAAAAAAGTGAGTTTCACCAACACAGGCATCAACGAATAATTCTACGCGTCAGTAGCGTCCCTTCGCATGCTTGGTGACTGTGACTGCCATCAATGTCATGCCCACAAAGCTTAAACAACCTCGAGCTGAGAGACACAACTGAATCTGGTTCGAAAGCCAACTCCAAATCACCCCACCTTCCACGATCCACCCTCGCTTTGATCAACCTGAAAGCTCTCCGGCTTCGGATGTCCTGGTTTTGTTGGGCTTACCGCAAGTGCTCGTACTGCCACACGTCTGCGTCCTGCAGCTCGGGGAGGGCAAGCAGCAGCTCAATCTCGCGGTCGACCGCCTCGTCGTAGGCCTCGGTGCTGGCAAACGAAGCCTTCTTTGCAAGCAGCTCGGCGAGCTTGGCGTAGTGCGCACGGACGCCCTGCTGGATGAACTGCTGCACAGCCAGCGTCGTGTCCATGTCAGCGAGCGGCTGGTCGGGCCAGTTGTTGAACGCCTGTCGTCCAAACACAAACGGACGCAGCAAGTCATCCAACACGTCAGCAACAGCCAGTCAGCAACGACAACAGGTGCGCAACGGCCGTCCCAGAGCAGAGCGCTTCTGCCAATGCTCAGGCAGTCAAAATTCAAAAAAAAAGAAAAAAAAAAGAAAAAGAAAACGTTGTTTATTTTATTTATTGTTGATTTTTTTTTGTATGGAGTTTGCATTACGCTTCTTTTTTTTTTTTTTTTCTTTTTTTGAATTTTTGGTGTATTGAGTTTGCATTACGTCCCTTTCCGTTGGGTCGACAGCAACCCCCTGTTTCCCTCCATCATTGAGGTCGAGCAATGATCAGAATTCCTCGGTTAATACGAGTATGAAAGTGGGGGGGGGGGAATTGAAGTACCTCGCGCGTAGTGCCTGGGCGATTTCGTCGAACTACAGCTGCAGCAGCCATTGCTATAAAATAAGAAAAGACTAAACCCATCGCATCAGGAAAGGATCAATTGAATATTCAGGAACAAAAGGTTCGACGAGGAACACTGCGTGCAAGATGCATGCTCATAACAAGGTGTAGATCGAGATCTAGTGATTACATTTCGCGTCCATCAGGCGCTTGCGACAAAATCACTCCCACCAGGCCTCCAGACCGAGACCACTGTCTGACGCAGATCCAATCACCATGTATGGTCGTTTGTACGGGTCCTCTGCGCTGGCCTGTAGGGGGGGGGGAAAAAGAAGAGAAGTGCAAATGTAAAATGTGCGATGAGCTGTTGTTTGGTTTAATCGACCGCAGCAAAAAAGGTTGCCCCCCCCCGTCCTTACCACAGTACGAGTGACGGCAATATCATTGTCTACAAAGCGAGGAGCTTCGGTATGTACTGGTGTCAGGTCTGAAAAGCGGTCTGCAACAACACGAAACCGAATTCGCGAGTCCGCCTCCATCCGCAACTCTTGCTCGGCAAACGTCCAAACGAATTCTTGCAGATCTGGGTTGCTGCATGGTGCAAAATTGCCACAACGCGAGAAGTTAGAGACGAGCACATTTCAAGCGCTGCGCTGCGAGACGATAAAACCCCCCCGCGCCTTCTTACAAGATTGTTCCCGGCTGAAGATTCTCTGCGGGGATGAAAACATCATCAAAAAACGTGCCGATATTCACTACCGACCGCGCAAAAAAAAAAGGCACGTTAGTTCACAGCAGCCAAAGCGACACGAGCAAACAAACAAGCGCTTGCTCACCAATGATGCCGCTAGGAATGCTCCGTCGGATGGTGCCGGAGACGACCTCGCCTTCGAACGGACGGAATACAATTAATCGAAAGACCACTAACCAATGCCATAGATTTGTCATCGATTTTGTCGAGTGAGTGAGTGAGTGAGTGGTCAATGTCAATGGTCAGTGAGGCAATCCAATGGTACGGATTTGCTCATCGCCCCCATTCTTCTTGGATTCCCTTTTTTGCCCGTTGCGCCACCTGGCCGGGTCATCCCAATGGATGCATGAGCCAACCCCCCACCACACTGTGTGCTCTCATGTACGAACGCAGCAGGGCAGGTGGAAAAACGTTCGCTGCTCTGCGCGCTTTGGCTCGGCTGGTTTGCTCTGCAGCCCCTTCTCGCCCTCTTCTTACCCTCTGTTCGTGTGGATCCGTCCGATGAGACAATGTACGCGTCGCCAACCTCGGTCAGATCGTACAAGCAGATGCACAGCCCAATGTTGAGCACGACCTGCGCCACACAGAGTACGACTGTGAGCCAAACACACATGTCGAACGATGCATCTACACTCACCCACTCATTCACTCACTCACTCATTCACTCACTCATGCACACACTTACCTTGTTGGCGTAGAGTCGGTTGATTTCGTCTGCGATCGCCGTTTGAGGATCCTTTGCAAAGTCAGCGGGATGAATCCGAATCGTGTTTCGGAAGGTCGACACGACAAACATGCTTTGGAGGTGAGCGAACAAAGTGGGACTGAGCACAGACAGATCAAGATATAAGAGACTGTGCAACGTACTGTATGCAATTGTGGAAGTCTGTAGAACGGGGGAAATTCAACATTGGAAGCGGCTCGATTTACTATGAACGAATGCACAGTCATTCATGATCGTACCATGCTAGTGAACCACCAGACCTCATCTCGTTCCGTTGTGTAGAGTGGCAGCTAGCTTTGAGCCATTGCCAGACGAAATCGAAATCCCCCCACAGTTTTAGTCTACAGTCTACATTTACAGTGTTCGGCAATGGTGATGGAACACTCGTGCGGAAAGATTGAACGAGTGGACTTTGGTATTGAACACACATGTTTTGAACATTTCTTAATCGACATTGCTGCAATCGGTTTTGAACAATGTGAGCATTGGACAAAGTTGATCCGGACAAAAATGCAAATAACTTTGAACAGCACCCGTTGAACAGCCGCTTTTGAACAACAAGGTCCGAACGACACTGCGACATTGAAAAAACCGTGACTCGCGATTGGACAAAGAGTTTTTCACATTGAACACTGCACTCTAAATAATGAACGCTGCCTACTTTGGCACCTGAACAGTCCTGCATTCGCCAACGAGTGATGCCCGTACACGCCAACGACGACCAGGAGATTGCCCAAGCTACCCCTCGCAAGCGCCAGCGCATGTCCCTGGACTTGCGCAGGCAGATTGTTGCATTGCGCGACGAGGACTTGTGCACCTTTCGCGAGATTACAGACTATCTTGATGTCCCGGTCGCAACCGCGCACAATGTGTGCACCAAGTTTCGCGAGACTGGTATCATAGAGCCTCGTGCCTCCAAGCCGCCCAATCGGACAGTCGTGACGAGGGAAATGGAGGAATTCCTGGCGGAAGAAATCGACAAGGACTGCGCCGTGACCAACGGCATGCTGGCCGACAAGTTGCACGAGAAGTTTGATGTGAAAGTCAACGCGACGACAATCGGTCGGCATGTCAAGCGCATGGGCATTGATTTCAAGATGATCTATGAGCAGGTCACTCGCAAAAACTCGATGGTGGTCAAAATGAAGCGCCAAGAGTGGTTTCAGGACTTGGCCAATGCGAACATTCCCCAATCGCGCATCTTCTACGTCGATGAGTGTGGCTTCAACATTAACATGCATCGCAGCCGTGGGCGTGCTCCGAAGGGCAAGCGCGCGATCAAGAACGTCGATTCCATTCGTGCTCCGAACTGGACACTAATTTGTGTGATTGGCGATACGGGTGTCGTGCACTACGACATCCACCACGGCCCTGTCAACCAGCATGTATTCCAACGGACGATGGTCAAGTTTATTCACGTGCTGGAACTTGAGCCACACACTGCCGGCGACTCCTTCCGCGACGACGAAGACCACGGCGCGAGCGACGATGAGCACGATAGCGACCAGGCTCCAGAGCAAGAGCTCGAGGATGAAGGGTCTGCCAAGTATGTCGAGTTTCACGGGAAGGTTCTGAGCGCAGTGGAGCCATCACAGAGCGAGCACAACAACAGCAATCACACCCACCACCACCACAACCACAACAACAACAGCAGCTCGAGTGCTCCAGCGCCCTCCTCTTCTTCTGCCCCTGCACCTCCCAGTACCGGCGCTGGGACATCGATGCAGCATGCTGGACCATCAGCGCAGCATGCCGGCACGTTGACGCAGCATGCCGCAGCCTCATCCACTTCGGATCGTGCTGCAGACGGTGTGTCGCTCCATGCACAGCAACGTACGCAGCCGCGAGATACTCATGCGGCGTCGGAACTACTACGACGCCGGCGTGGTCGGCTACCGCGAGGGCACCATCGCTCAACAGCTTTTACAGACGACATCCAGGATGAGGACAACTCTGCCGACGACGTTGGGCAGTGGTCTTCCGCAGCAGCAGCAGCAGCAGCAAGTCACCCAGCATCCTCCACAGGCACCTCTTCCCTGCGACATCCAATGCGGACGCGTCGTCTCCAACAACTTGTGCAGCCGTCATCCCAAACTTCAGCCCGCGCTGCAGCACCCAGACGCACATCCACCTACACCTACCCTCCCGCTGTTGAAGCCCTATGGACGAACGATGCCGACGACGACGACGATGATGATGATGACGACGATGAGGAAGCTTATCACCCTTCCCAGGCCGAATGCTTTCAAGACGAGGCGGAGGAAGGCAACGACAACGCAGATTTGCTGATCGCATCGGAAGAGAAGTACGGCCGCTCTTTCCCGCGAGATGGCAGAACGTACAAGGCGTGGATTGTGATGGACAATGCGAGCTTCCACAAAACAGCCAGCCTGCGCAACTACTTTTGGCGTAGGAACTACCGTCTGCTGTATCTTCCGCCGTACTCGTCATTCCTCAACCCGATTGAATATGTTTTTGGCAAGATTAAATCTTGCTTCAAGCGCACTCCTCTGAAAAAAGGCGAGAAAGTCCATCGCCGCATTGAAGATGCTGTTCGCCAAGTGTCGGCGCAAAATTGCAGCCGCTCCATTGTCCATGTCAGCAAGTATGCCTTCCCTTGTGCGCAGCTCGAAGATATCAAGGATTAAATACACTAGCTTGATGCTCTTCCAACCGAGCTTTCCAGCGAGGTGATGATGACTACAGTAAAAAAAAAAAACCAAAAAAAAAAACCAAAACCCAAGCGAGAATAAAAAAATTCTGTGTTTTGCTTTTGCGTGCTTTTGTAAATATGATCTTTTTGACATGTCCACCATGCTTGGAGATGCCGGGAAGCTGCGATAAACCACTCCTTTGAGATTGCATGACTGTTCAATCTGGCATGTTCGGTGCCGTGGAGAAGCTTGTCCAGTCATTGCAGAACATTGTTCAATTCACTTGGTTCGATTGCCATGGGCAGGTCGTTCACTTCGAATTGCAGCAACGTTCAGTACGACTATGTTCACTCCCACGTTTGTTCGGTCAGAATTGTTCATTTTACGTTTGTTCAAATCAATTCTGTTCAATCGCCAAACGCACAAAGTTCGATTGGTCCGCACAAGTGTTCCATCACCATTGCCGAACACTGTATCATACTTCCCTATCTATTCAGTCCAACAGAAACACACACAACAAAATGACAGACGAGCTGTCTGGACAAGCACCTCCACCACCGCCATTGGACGCGAGCACCGTGTTTGCCAACAAGATTACTTCGGGCATCGATCACGGCGCCGTCAAGGACATGCTACGGCAGCAGCGGCTAATGTGAGCACACCCCCCCCAACTCTTGTTGATCTTGCGATGGGTGCACCCGTCGGACGCAAAGCGGGGGCCGCAAGCAACAGCGGGAGGGACTGCACTGAACTTGGGGCTTGCTTTGGGCTGGAGCAGACTCGGTCGCTTTGAGCGGACGAACGCGCGGCTGTCCCGCTTCAACGAGCATCTGGACAGCGTGCTTGGAGCTCACACTGCTCGGTTCAAGTCATACACACACCAGCTGGTGGACGCCAAGAAAGACCTCGAGTCCATCTTTCGTCGCATTCGGTGAGGCGCTTTTTGTGTTTTGTTGTTGGATCGCGTTGATGCTGAGCATTTGTTCAGTGAGGAATTCAACAAGAAGGATGTTCATGATTTCAACAAAATCGAGGCGACTCTGTTTGTTGATACTTGGACGGCGCCGAGCGTCGGTGGATGTTGAACATCTCTCATCACTCACCGCGAGTTCGTTCTCTGCTGTCAGTGCATTGCGGGCCAAGCTCACTCAGCAGTATCCCGAGGCCTTCTTTGGGCTGGAGATGCCCGGCAACATTTCAGATGACGACGATGATGATTATGGCGACGAGGACGAAGAGCACGACCCAAGGTCGAAGACAGCTGCACGACCACAACACCCAGTCGAGCAGGAATCAGCCGCGACCGAGTCAAGCGAGGTGGCCGCTCCAGCCGATGATGGTGCTGCGCCTGATTCGGCGTGAGAACTGCTGAGGGCCACTTTGGCGCACCCGACACCAGACCAAATGCGGTTCATTCGAGTTGAACTTCATGCTAACACTTTCAACACACTTCTTCAGCCTTCCAATCCCGCCGAAAGCCTTCTGAATCGCGCCATCAACCTTACATAACGAGTGACCTTCGATCTGGAACTTTGACACGCCGACAGATTCATTCCTTGTTCAGTTTTCAGGTTGTTCGAGTTCTGACATCTCAATGAATTGCACGGCGCTCTGGCATCTTCCAGCCGCTCTTCTTGCTGAACGTTATCTGCACGAGTTTCATACTGCAGAGCCAGTTGTTCACTTTCTGCTGCGCGGGCGGCTGCAGCAAGCTCGTTGAGGCGCTGGCGTTCCTTTCGGTCGGCTGCAATAGCTTTCGTCATTTCAGCGATCTCTGCTCGGAGTCCTGCTCGCTCGTCGGTCACCTCGTTGGGCGGCTGATTGGCTTGCTGGTCACCTTGCCTGGCTGGCTCGTTGACTGGCGCGTTGGCTCGCTCGTTGGCTGGCTGCTCCGCTGGCTGCTCGTCTGGCTGCAACTGGTCTGCGGCTCGAACTGCTTCGCGTGTTGCTGACTCCTCCAAGCGAGGGCGCACAATCTCATGTGGTGGGCGGTCTTGAGTGGGCGAGGCAAGTCGGCGAAGTTGCTGCTGTGGGGCGCTGCTTTGGCTGCCTTGGCTGTATTGGCTGGAATCAGACATTTGGGGGGGGGGGCGGGGAATGACTGACCACCCAATGCAAGTTCAGTGAGAGTCCAATGGATTCCCCTGTTTGGTGAGCAGCCGCTTGGATTTGGGGTCGATGTGTTGACCAGCATTTGAAGGGAGCGGTACCGTTGAACAACCGCTCCGTCTCCGCCCTCCTCCAACAAGGTCTCTTTGAATGCACTTTACTTAATACGACAGAAAACAATGCCAAAGGTGGGATCAGCGGGTTGTAGGGGTTGGGGGGGATCCTGCGCGTGAAGGAAATACACAAAGCAAATTGCTGAACGCGCTGGACATTTGCAGGTATTGCCTGTCTATCCTGAAACACGTGAGCATCGATAGTGTGGTATGGCTGCTCCGGAAAAGTCTCGAAAATATCCACGGGCACCACGAAGTACAGTTGGGGAACGCGATCAGCTGGCATTCGTTGAATGGCCTCGCTCAATCGTTGCGCTTTGACAGGATGGTCTTGACTGACGGTCATCTGCAGGAACGTGTGAGGCGAAATGATGGCGTCGATGGCCGGATGGTTGCCGGAGGATGGACGAAAGTAACGGTTCTGGAGATGGAGATCAACGTCGTCAAGTTTGTGAAAGCGGACATATGTGAGCTGCGGAATGGTCAGAGAGGACTCAGGCGCTTGGGCGTTGGACAAGTTACGAATTCGGAAAGTGCCACCCTGACAGATGAGACGATGGGCGAACCTCTCAAGCAGATGTCCGCGAAGCGCCGCAGTCTCTCCAAACGCGGCAGACGCACTTAAAAAGGTGATGAGATGATCGTATTCGGCTTCATACACACGATCCAGAAATCGGTCGGCCACCCAGTCAGACGCAAACACGAGGCGGGGGCGCTGGAACGGTTCGGACTCGGATTGGAGATCGATGTGAAGGATTCGGTGGGATATATCCTGCTCTCCAGCGATCTGACCCACGGCGTCACGAATAGCCGCGACCGTGCAACGGTGAAGCGCCTCCTGTAAAAGCCATTCGGCCATCTCCAGAGTCATATAAAGATTGAGCACATGTCGTGCGATGCCGCCCCAACGATGAAACCGCTCCTCGGCAGCTTGCACTTGCTCTAGATCCAGGTTTAGCTGGCGCATACATGCAAGAAGCTCGTCCCACGACCACACTGGCATGGACATCATGGGATAGGAGGTGTACTCGAGCTCCTTGTAAATTTTGCGGCATAGTGGTGTGACGAGCAGGGTGTAGGCATTGTAGAAACCAGGTGCGTGGCCATCGACAAGGTACCAGACGTTGGGGCGACGGTTCTGAAGGATGTCTCGGAAGCTGTCGAAAGTGCCCAGCAACACATTCCCATCCGTTTGAAGAAGGTATCTGTCCGTGGTTGGCTTCACTGCAGGCTCGTACACCACAGTCAGCGGACGGTGTTGCTGAAACAAGCGATAGACAAAGTATGCCGAAAAGAAGGTCTTGCCAATGCCTGGATTGCCGGTGACAATACGCCCGTTTTTTTGCGCAGGATTCGCAGATGGGTTGATGATTGCGTCGAAAAGTCCATAGTAGCAGCTGCGGACCATGAGGACTGACCCCAGCAAGTAGTTCCCCAGCCAGAACACGCCGTCAGGAAGAGTCAAGAATCTCGTTTCATTGGGTTGAAGCGGCTGGTCTGGGTCACCATTCACCTCGACCATCTGGTTGGTGACAGGATCCAATCGAAAGACCCGCTCGGTCACTTGGCCGGCGTGAAGGGCTTGCCAAAATCTGACAAGCGGGTCAGTGTCTGGCACTACCCAAAATCGCGAGAGCAAAAGTGAGCACTTTTCAACGTCGCGCCTTTCAGCACAAGCATCTCGATAGAATGGACGGCATACATTGATTCGAGGGTTGGAAGGCTGGGGCTGGGGTCAGGGCGAACAGGCGTATGCGAGTTGCTGCAAGTGCCGCGCTTGTGCTGCCGATGACTGCCATGACATCGTCTGCGCGAGTTTCATACTGCAGAGCCAGTTGTTCATTTTCTGCTGCGCGGGCGGCTGCAGCGCGCTGTCGGAGCGTCTGCCTTTCAGCTTCGTCGGCTGCCAGAGTTTGGGTCATTTCAGCGATCTCTGCTCGGAGTCCGGCTCGCTCGTCGGTCACCTCGTTGGCCGGCTGATTGGCTTGCTGGTCACCTTGCCTGGCTTGCGCGTTGGCTTGCGCGTTGGCTTGCGCGTTGGCAGGCAACTCGTTTGTGGCTCGAACTCGGCCAGCTTGCATGTCTGTTCCGCGGCTTGCGTGCTCCTCCAAGCGAGGGCGCAAAATCTCATGTAGTGGGCGGTCTTGAGTGGGCGAGGCAGGTCGGACGGCGCCACGAAGTTGCTGCTGCTGGTCGCTTGAAGCTGTGTGGCGGGACAGGTTGAGATCTGCCATTTTTGGAAGACAAAATGAACAAAAACAATGAGCTATTGATACCTCAACATCGACCACAGCCCCTCTTCTCTCGATCCCAATACAAGTTCAGTAAGAGTCCAATAGATTCCCCTGCTTGGTGAACATTCGCTTGGATGCGGGGTTGATGTTGATGGACATTGGAAGGACTGTATCACTGAATTCGAAAAAGAGCAGAGGAACGCACCACCTTTTCAGCATGAACCCCGTTCGAATTCTGTGAAAAGGCTTTTATTCGACATAACAGGAAATGCAAAATTGGTGGGATCAGACGATAGCAGCAGGGTTTTGATTCGGGACGATTGTGAACTCGATGCACAATGCAAACTGCCGGGCGTTCTGGACATTCGCAGGAACAAGACGAGGATCTTGATACGCGCGACCTTCGGTAGTGTGGTATGGCTGCTCCGGAAAAGTCTCGAAAATATCCGCGGGCACCACGAAGTACAGTTGGGGAACGCGATCAGCTGGCATTCGTTGAATGGCCTCGCTCAATCGTTGCGCTTTGACAGGATGGTCTTGACTGACGGTCATCTGCAAAAACTTGTTGGGCGAGATGATGGCGTCGATGGCCGGATGATTGCTGGCGAGCGGCTGAAAGTAGCGGCTCTGGTCACCGAGATCAACGGCGCCAAGGTGGTTGAAGGAGACGTGGGTGAGCGGCGGAATGGTCAGAATGGACACAGGCGCTTGGGCGTTGGACAAGTCACGTACTCGGAATCTGCCGCCCTGAATGATCGTTTGATGAACATAATTCTCAAAGATAAGTCCGCGGTTCGCGGCATGCTCTGGATGCCAGGCAGACCTACGCAGAAAGGCGAGGAGCTTCTGGCGTTCCTCTCTTAGCGCACGAGTCACAAATTTGTCGACCACCCAGTTAGACGCGAAAATTAGGCCGCTGGCTTCGAAACTGTCCGGTAATACCTTGATGTGAAGGACTCGGTGTGAAATATCTTGCTCACCAGCAATCTGACCCACGGAATTGCGAACAGTCTTGACATTGCATGCATTAAGCGCCAGGTTCAAAAGTATTTCGGACTGAGGCAGAGTCAAACCACCATCGAGCACGTGACGCGCGATGCCACCCCAACGATAAAACCGCTCCTCGGCAGCTTGCAGTCGCGCTTGAGTTGCATTCCTCTGGCGGATACATGCAAGAAGCTCGTCCCACGACCACACTGGCATGAACATCTTGGGGTTGGAGTCTTTTTGAAGTTCCTTCAAAATGTCCTTGCGTGGTGATGTAACGAGCAGGGTGTAAGCATTGTAGATGCCAGCGGGATGGCCATCGACAAGGTACCAGGTCCTGGGATCCAGATTCGAAAGCTGGTCGGAAAAGGACTGCAGCGGAATGCTGCCTGTGTGGACGGTTAGGTTCGGCTGCAGCCGGTATCGAATATCCGATCCGGGCTGAGCAGGCTCGTAAACCACAGTCAGCTGAGGGTGTTGCTGGAACAAGCGATACACAAAGTATGCCGAAAAGAAGGTCTTGCCGATGCCTGGATTGCCGGTAACGATCCAGCTGTTTTTATGCTCAGCATTCGCAAGTGAGTTGATGATTGCGTCGAAAAGTCCATAATAGCAGCTGCGGACCATAAGGACTGATCCCAGCTTGTAGTTCCCAAGCCAGAACACCCCGTCAGGCAGCGTCAAGAACCTCGTTTCATTGGGTTGAAGCGGCTGGTCTGGGTCACGATTCACCTCGACCATCTGGTTGGTGACAGGATCCAATCGAAAGACCCGCTCGGTCACTTGGTCGTCTTGAAGGGCTCGCCAAAATTTGACAAGCGAGTTGTCATCAGGCACTACAAAAAAAAAAAAAAAAAAATCGAGAGAGCAAAGTGAGCATTCTTCATCATCGCTCCTTTTCCTAATACACGCATCTCAATAGAATGCAAGACATACAGAGCACCGGGCCTTGTGCTGCGGCTGGGGCTGGGGCTGAGTCGAGACGAGCTTCCAGACGGTTGAGACGCTCGTTGGCCATGTTGAGTCCTATTTGGATCTGTCGCGCGTCTGCCTCATACTGCAGAGCCAGTTGTTCTTGTTCTGCATTACGGGCGGCTGCATTACGGGCGGCTGCAGCAAGCTCGTTGAGGCGCTGGCGTTCCTTTCGGTCGGCTGCAATAGCTTTCGTCATTTCAGCGATCTCTGCTCGGAGTCCTGCTCGCTCGTCGGTCACCTCGTTGGGCGGCTGATTGGCTTGCTGGTCACCTTGCCTGGCTGGCTCGTTGACTGGCGCGTTGGCTCGCTCGTTGGCTGGCTGCTCGGCTGGCTGCTCGTCTGGCTGCAACTGGTCTGCGGCTCGAACTGCTTCGCGTGTTGCTGACTCCTCCAAGCGAGGGCGCACAATCTCATGTGGTGGGCGGTCTTGAGTGGGCGAGGCAGGTCGGCGAAGTTGCTGCTGTGGGGCGCTGCTTTGGCTGCCTTGGCTGTATTGGCTGGAATCAGACATTGAACCAGACATGGAAAAAGAGAAAACAAAAATGACCGACCTCCACGCTCGCTGGTGATGTTTTATGAAAGTCAAAATTCATTTATGCTGACTGGAGCAAGGGGAGGGTGCTGGGGTGGTGGGAAGGGTCGAAAAGCGCGCGGGGGGTAACAACCTGGCGCAGATTGCATCGTTCGATACTCGTAGTGAGCGCTCACAGTCAGCTCATGTTATGTTGATCACCAAGTCACCACCAACAATCATAGACCAATAGGCAATCATAACAGAGGTCGATCACGAAGAATGGCCCTGCATAATGGGAATGCAATGGGAGGCAGTCCTTTCCCAACTTCACACAAACACATGAAGTTCAATAGCGCAGAGCCCGCTCTGCTGCAGCGGCAACGCGAGGACATGCAGATCGACGACCGCCTTGCTGCCAACCGCGTGATGCAGGCACATCAACGTCGCCTCGACTTTGTGCGTCCGAGCAAGCCAGACACGGCCATGGACGCCCTGCGCAAGCTGTATGCGCCGATCAACGACCAGCCACATGGCAGCCAGGCTCAAACCCAAGGGCAAAGCACGCATCATGCTCATCAGCCACACAAGCCGCCCGCCGCGACAGCCACGGCGAAGCAGCAACAGCCACATGCTGGCAAGGGCATGGCAGGCTCGAACGGCGCTCCGGTGAACGGGCATCTTAGCGCACCGAAACAGAACGGGAAACCGAACGGCGCAGCTCAGCCAGCTCGAGTCCAATCGCCCGGGTCAGGTGCCAAAGCTGCTGCTGCTGCTGCTGCTGCTGCTCACACGACCACTGCCAGTACCACCACAAGTGCTACGACAAGCGCTGGCGGGCTGCCGTGGTGGTGGCCGTCGGACGGAATCTCGCCGCCGGATCAGCTCAAGACGCTCTTCCCGCCAGAGATTGTGCTCAAACACCTCAAGTGGCACTCGACGTTCCCGATTGGCTCGGGCCTGTCAAACATGGGCAATACCTGCTTCTTGAATTCCGTGCTGCAGTGTCTGACGTACACCCCTCCGCTCGCATCGTACGCGCTGTCTGGCGCTCACTCCCAAGCCTGTAAGTCCATAACTTTGCTGCGCTTCATGCTTCTTGTCGCTGTGGCGCAAAAAACAAAAAAAAAAAAAAAAAAAAAAAAAAAGAGGTTGCATTTCCCCCCCCCCCGCTCCGCTCCCGCCTTGTTTCCCACTCTGATCACTAATCACGAGCGTCAAATCTGCTCCCAATGACCTGTCCTTGCTCGCTGCTTGACTCAATTCAGGCCGTCTCCCGGAAATCTGCATGTGCTGCGAACTCGAGCAGCACATTCGCCGCGCGCTTGTGCATCGTGGCAATATTGCGCCCAAGCCAATCATTCGACAACTTCGCAAAATCGGCTCCTTCCGACTGGGTCACCAGGAGGATGCGCACGAATTCTTGCGCTGTCTGATGGAATCGGTCCAGCAAAGCATCCTCAAGTCGTTCGGCGGTGAGAAGCGGATTGCTCATCGCGTGCAAGAGACAACCCTTGTGCATCAGATGCTTGGTGGCTATTCGAACAGCCGCGTGCACTGCACCAACTGCAAAGCCAACTCGGACACCTACGAGGCCTTCCTCGACCTCAGCTTGGATATCGGCAACTGTGCCAGTGTGGCTGATGCGTTGGCCAAGTACACTGTGATTGAGCGTCTCGAAAAGAATGCGTACAATTGCGAAAAGTAAGAAAGCCCCCCCCCCAAAAAAAAATATGTCGTGTTGCTTGAATTTCTGTCTGAATGCGTGACGTGATTCTTTCTTTTTGTTTTGCCCATCTTATTTGGTGTGCTTGTGAACTGACTGTCTACGTTTCTGCTTGGTGCCCGACTCAGATGCAAACGTAAAGTCACAGCAACAAAGCAAACAAGTATTCACCGCGCTCCAAATGTGCTCTCGCTTCACCTGAAGCGCTTTGACTTTCTCCGCTCCCACAATGCCAAGATCAACCGACCCATCAGGTTTGACGAGGAGTTGGACCTGTCTCCCTTCATGAGCAAGGGCTTGGTAAGCGTCCAAAGCGCTGCACGTTCAATTCATGTCAACCCCTGTATTTCACCATGCATTTTCCAATTTTTTTTTGGTTGCAGCCTCAACAAAACCTGCGGTACCGCTTGTATGCAGTGCTGGTGCATGCAGGCCATTCGTGCCATTCGGGCCACTACTACTGCTATGTGCGCAATTCCGACAACCAGTGGTACGAGATGAACGACAGCCATGTAAGTCAACCTCAGATGGCAGCCATGTTTGACCTGAATGACTCTAGAGAATGATAGATGCTGTGCAAAACGAACGTCGTCTCATTTTCGCATTGACGGCCAATTTTTGGCGTTTTTGTTTTTCTGCTTTTCAGGTATCAAGAACAAGCGTCAATAATGTGCTTCGGCAACAAGCATACATCCTGTTTTATACTCGGGTAGATGCTGCCAGCACATTCAAGGCATCTGCCGCTGCTCAAGCGACGGCATCACAGCCAGCCCCTGCCACGCACGTCTCCAGCAAGGCGGCTGCGTCGCCAGCGTCGCCAGCGTCGCCAGCACCGACTACCGTCGCCTCGAACGCCGCGACCAGTCAAGCAGTAGCAGCTCCAATGGATACCGACAGTGGAGACGACTTGGGACGTCCGATTGATCGTTCCAAGATCAAGCTTCAAATCGCCGCTTCGACACCGGCGGCCTCCCCCAAACCGAATGCTGAAATTGTCCCTCTTCCGCAACGGCTGCCCAGTTGGCTCACCCAGCCAACACCGCCGGCGTCGCCAGGATCGAAAATGCCAGCGCTTGTCGCGCTCGATAACATTTTCGAGATAGAAGAGTTTGCGCCTTCGCGCTCTCCTCCGCCTTCCGAAGATCCCGCGCTTGCTGGCGAGCGCAACGACATGGGGTGGAATGTATCAACGTCCGACGAGCAACTCGACAAGTTCTGGGTCGAAGCCATCAAACAGCGTCGCGCCGAAGTCGGAATCGAAGACTCAGACGCCGAGGAGGCGGATGACGACGAAGCCGATGACTTTTGGAGCCGTCTTCAACCCTTCCACTGCACTCCCAACCACTTGTGGACCGAAGAAGCTCAAGTAAAGCTCTTTGAAAAGCTAGAGCTCGAGTATGTTGCTGCTCAACGTCAGTTGGAGCAGCTCCGTCGCCGTCAGGACGATGACGACGATTCGGACGACGAGGATGATGAGGATGACGAAGATTCGGACGACGAGGATGATGAAAATGATGAAGAAGATGAAGACGAAGAAGACGAGGAAGACGAGGACGATGATGACGAAGAAGAAGAAGAGGACGACGACGAAATCGGCGCCCCCTCTATGCCAGCTCCCAAGAGTCAACCAAAGGCCACGACGCCCTTCCAAGGTGCAAGCGTGATTGCAGCAGCAGCAGCAGCAGCTGTGCCAGCGGTCAATCTTAACAAGCAACCCGCGACAACTGCTGATCAGCCTCGCAACGGAACTTCTGCCAAGCGAGGTCTGTCTGAAATGATGGCTGTTGCCAAGGCACCCGCCACTTCCAACAAAGATGAGAGCGAAGTCAGCGAGGATGACGAGCCGGTTCACGTTGCCAAGAAGCCACACGCGCTCGAGTCGTCTGCCGCTCCCGCACCAGCCCGGGGCATGTTGTCCGCGTCAGCGCCCAAACCCGCCAGCAAGCAGCTGCCACCCCAAGATCTCTTGGATCACTTGCACGAACGATCGTTTGACCGCTTGGGACAGGATGGTAAGTGTTTTGTTTTGTGACGGGATGGGATTCTCGTTGTCGTTGGTTTTCTGACACTATGGCTTTCCGTTTATTGTGATTCCTTTCAGTGCGTACTTGGGGTGACACCCCTAATAACACGGATAACTCTATTGGCTTTGGGATGAAAAAGCGCATGAAGTACAGCCAGATGGATCGCGAGATTGACAAGGGTCGCGTCAAGAAGGTGAAGACGCACAAGCGTGAGCAAGAGCAAGAGCAGACCGATCAGCCCGCAGTCAACCCGTTCCAAGCTCAGTTCGAATTGAGCAAATCCCACAAAGGTAGGCGAACGCGGGAACGGAGGACTGGTGTTTTTTTTTTTTTTTTTTGGGAGTGGGTTTTTAGGGGTTTTTTGTGGATGAACGAGCACTGACTCACGCTTCTTTCTTTTGTGTTGCAGCTCATGCAGCCCAGTCTGGTCGCCGCGTCGACGACGATCACGGTAGCTCGCGAGGTGGCCGCGGAGGTCGTGGCGGCTTCCGTGCTGGCCGCGGTGGTGGTCGAGGAGGTGGCCGCGGTGGTCGTGGCGGTCGTGGCGGCGGTCGAGGTGGTGGCCGCGGAGGTCGAGGAGGTCGAGGAGGTCGATCATAAGCGCCTTTGGTTCTTCGCACGTCTCGTCGTGACTTGTTGTCGTGTGTATTTTGAAGTCATGTGGGGTTGGTTTGAATCTTTGTGGTTTGAAAAATGACTGTCTCCGCTGGTGATGTTTTATGAAAGTAAAAATTGATCTATGCTGACTGGAACAAGGGGAGGGCGCTGGGAAGGGTCGAAAAAAGCGCGGGGGAGCCTGCCCTGATCCAACCGCAAGAGCTGAATCTCTTCACATCCTCAATCTACAGATTCCCGCTATTGCGAACTGTACGAAAACGGTCTCGATGGTTACACCCGAGAGGGAGGTATAGGTAGACACGAAGTCTATTGAGCACCGAGCTACAGATATGGGTTGGGGTGTAACAGAGCAATCATCCGAATCTAAATCCTGCCGACCCACTAATCCCACCAATTTGGCATTGTTTCTGTCGTATTAAATAAAGCGAGTTCAAAGAGACCTTGTTGGAGGAGGGCGGAGACGGAGCGGTTGTTCAACGGTACAGCTCCCTTCAAATGCCAGTCAACACATCGACCCCAAATCCAAGCGGCTGCTCACCAAACAGGGGAATCCATTGGACTCTCACTGAACTTGCATTGGGGTGTTGTGTGTGGTCGATATTGAGGTCACTCATTTTTTTTCCCCCCAAATGTCTGATTCCAGCCAATACAGCCAAGGCAGCCAAAGCAGCGCCCCACAGCAGCAACTTCGCCGACCTGCCTCGCCCACTCAAGACCGCCCACCACATGAGATTGTGCGCCCTCGCTTGGAGGAGTCAGCAACACGCGAGGCAGTTCGAGCCGCAGACCAGTTGCAGCCAGCCGAGCAGCCAGCCGAGCAGCCAGCCAACGAGCGAGCCAACGCGCCAGTCAACGAGCCAGCCAGGCAAGGTGGCCAGCAAGCCAACGAGCCAGACAACGAGCGAAGACTCAACACAGAGATCGCTCGATTGAACGTTCGTATTGAGCAGAACGAAACTCGACTCAGGCGCTACGAGCAAGATGCTGCAGCCGCCCGGAATGCAGAACAAGAACAACTGGCTCTGCAGTATGAGGCAGACGCGCGACAGATCCTGGCAATCATCGGGAGCGCAACCGCTGATCTGGCAACGACTCGTCAACGACTGTTCGCCCTGACCCCAGCCCCAGCCCCAGCCCCGCGTCAATGTATGGTGATCCATTCTATTGAGATTCTTGTATTAGGAAAAGGAGCGATGATGAAGAATGCTCACTTTGCTCTCTCTCGATTTTTTTTTTTTTTGTTTTGTTTTGCAGTGCCCAATGACAACTCGCTTGTCAAATTTTGGCGAGCCCTTCAAGACGACCAAGTGACCGAGCGGGTCTTTCGATTGGATCCTGTCACCAACCAGATGGTCGAGGTGAATGGTGACCCAGACCAGCCGCTTCAACCCAATGAGACGAGGTTCTTGACGCTGCCTGACGGGGTGTTCTGGCTGGGGAACTACTTGCTGGGGTCAGTCCTCATGGTCCGCAGCTGCTACTATGGACTTTTCGACGCAATCACCAACCCATCTGCGAATCCTGCGCAAAAAAACGGGCGTATTGTCACCGGCAATCCAGGCATTGGCAAGACCTTCTTTTCGGCATACTTTGTCTATCGCTTGTTTCAGCAACACCGTCCGCTGACTGTGGTGTACGAGCCTGCAGTGAAGCCAACCACGGACAGATACCTTCTTCAAACGGATGGGAATGTGTTGCTGGGCACTTTCGACAGCTTCCGAGACATCCTTCAGAACCGTCGCCCCAACGTCTGGTACCTTGTCGATGGCCACGCACCTGGTTTCTACAATGCCTACACCCTGCTCGTCACACCACTATGCCGCAAAATTTACAAGGAGCTCGAGTACACCTCCTATCCCATGATGTCCATGCCAGTGTGGTCGTGGGACGAGCTTCTTGCATGTATGCGCCAGCTAAACCTGGATCTAGAGCAAGTGCAAGCTGCCGAGGAGCGGTTTCATCGTTGGGGCGGCATCGCACGACATGTGCTCAATCGTGCTATGACTCTGGAGACGGCCGAACGGTATTTACAGCAGGCGCTTCAGGGTCGCACGGTCGCGGCTATTCGCGACGCCGTGGGTCAGATCGCCGGAGAGCAGGATGTATCACACCGAATCCTTCACATCGCTCTCACATCTGGGCCCGAATCGTTCCTGCTGCACCACACCCGCCTCGTGTTTGCGTCTGACTGGGTGGCCGACCAATTTTTGGATCGTGCGTATGAAGCCGAGCGCGAAAACCTGATCAACTTTTTACGTGCGTCTGCCGCGTTTGGAGAGACTGCGGCGCTTCGCGGACATCTGCTTGAGAGGTTCGCCCATCGTCTCATCTGTCAGGGTGGCACTTTCCGAATTCGTAACTTGTCCAACGCCCAAGCGCCTGAGTCCTCTCTGACCATTCCGCAGCTCACATATGTCCGCTTTCACAAACTTGACGACGTTGATCTCCATCTTCAGAACCGTTACTTTCGTCCATCCTCCGGCAACCATCCGGCCTTCGACGCCATCATTTCGCCTCACACGTTCCTGCAGATGACCGTCAGTCAAGACCATCCTGTCAAAGCGCAACGATTGAGCGAGGCCATTCAACGTATGCCAGCTGATCGCGTTCCCCAACTGTACTTTGTGGTGCCCGCAGATATTTTCGAGACTTTTCGGCCGCAGCCCTACCACACTACCGATGGTCACGTGTTTCAGAATAGACAGGCAATACCTGCAAATGTCCAGCGCGTTCAGCAATTTGCTTTGTGTATTTCCTTCACACCCAGGATACCCCCGACCCCTGCAATCCGCTGATCCCACCAATTTGACATTGTTTCCTGTCGCATTAAATAAAGCGCATTCAAAGAGACCTGGTTGGAGGAGGGCGGAGACGGAGCGGTTGTTCAACGGTACAGCTCCCTTCAAATGCCAGTCAACACATCGACCCCACGCCGGTCAAGTGACCCAGCAGGTGGTGCGACTGAATTTCGATACGAACCAGATGGTCGAGGTGGATCCTGCCGCCAGACAGCCGCTTCAGATGGATCGTGTTCCGAGCCGGGTCGCCAACTTGGTCGACATCCACCTCTTGACTCTGCCTGAGGGCGTGTTCTGGCTTGGACGGCCTGATTTGGGATCAGACCTCATGGTTCGCGACTGCTACTCTGGGTTGTTCGACGAGATCACGGCGCCGAAGTTTGCAACGCAGCTTCGTTGGGTTGTCACTGGCAATCCAGGCATCGGCAAGACGTTCTTCTCGGGCTACTTTATCTATCGTCTGCTTCAGCAGAATCCCCAGCTGACTATAGTTTACGAGCCGGCGCAGCAGGACACCAAGAACAGATACCTCCTTCAACCTGATGGAACAGTCCTTAGTGGAGTTTACTCTCCAGCCGACAACTTTGTAGATGAGTGTTTTCGGACTCGTCGCGACGATGTCTGGTTCATTGCAGACGGACACACACCAACATTTTATGGCAACGCGCGCACCCTGCTCGTCACTTCTCCCTGTAGCAATTTTGACAAGAAACTGTTAAAGGAATATGCTTCCAAACTGTACATGCCTGTGTGGTCCTGGAACGAGCTGTCGTGCTGCTTGCTGCACTCTCTTCGTCGAGAAAATGCGGACAGTGCTCGAATCCTATCCGCAATGGATTCCGCGAATGAACGGTTTCGACATTGGGGTGGGATTGCCCGCGTAGTGTTGGGAGCGGTTTTCGGCTCGGACGAGATCGATTAGCTGAAAGACCTTGAGCGTGCCATCCGATCCTTCTCGCTGCAGTCTGTCGCGTCTGTAGGTCAGCCCGATCAGGACGATTTCGTCCTGCACCGCGTGCTGCACATCGAAGTTCTTCCCGCATCGTGGGAGGATGAGCGTGGCAACACGCATCCTTCATTCTTGAAAAGTCGTCTAGTCTTTGCGTCGGATTGGGTTCGGGAACAAACCTTGGAAAGTCTCGTGCGAGATGAGCGCAATCAACTTTTGCTGTTTCTCAAAAGGGTGTATCGGCAGGAAGAGTTCGCCACGCTTTACGGACTTTGTTTTGAGAAGTATGCTCATTTCGTTCTTCAGCAAGGTGGCGCTTTTGAAGTTCGGGCCTTGTCCGCCAACCAGCCAGCTGGCGTGACTACTTTGAACGTTCAACCACTCACGTACCGCCCGTTTGCGAGCCTTGCACAAGTCAATCTCGGGACGCCGAACAGCTACTTTCAGCTATCTTTCAGCAACCTTGCGGCCATCGATGCCATCATCTCGCCCAACAAATTCTTGCAGATGACCGCCAGTTCAAACCACCCTGTCAAAGCGAAAGGATTGAGTGATGCCAATGCTCGTATGCCAGACGACAATGCTCCCGAACTGTACTGTGTGGTGCCTTCTGCACTCTTCCCCGATTTCAGGGCGCAGCCATACCAGGGGGTCGATGGCCACGTGCTTCGTTTGACTCCTCCGAATATTCAGCAAGTCGTCCAATTTGCACTCTGCATCTCTGACACATCTTGATACTGCCAATTCTGTATTTTCCCTGTCCAATAAATCGTGCATGTCCCAGGTCCCGCCAGAACCTCCTTGCTTGATCGCTCGGAGTTGCGTTGGTCGCGCGGGTGATCTGGGAGTATCGCGGAAGTTGGAGACTTGACGGCGTAATGGCAGCCGAGATTGTGTCCTTGCGTTAGCTCATCTGGAATGTGCGCGAACGCAGGCAGGTTGATGATGGACGAGATCGCAGTGCCATTTAGTCAAACGTCGACGCTTCACCTCTTACAATTTGAATTTCCTGTTTTGTGTGGTTCCCCCCCCCCCTTTTTTTTTTGCTATGCTCAGTTTTGGTTTTTTTGAGGTGGTCTCGAAAAAAAAAATGGTAAAAAAAAAAAAAACTTTGTCAATGCAAAATTTTCAAAACGACTAACTTTCTGGCTTTTTTTTTTTTTTTTTTTTTTGTGTGTGTGTGCTTCTTCTGTGGTCTGGTCTCTGTTGTCGCGCGCGTTCTCAAACAACGCTGACACACTTGCAGCCAATGTCTGCCGGCGCGGAGCAGCAGGGTATCGACACCCGCGGCGTTGTGGCGGCCGCGATTGCAGATCCACTGCGCGTGAACGAGTTCTATGCAGCGCGGCTGCTCCCCTTTGCCAGCGGGGCTGCCGAGCACCAGGACCCCGCCGCGGCTGCCGCTTTGCACGGCGGCGATGACATCACCAGCGGCAGCGCGGCAGGCGGCCATCCGAGCCCCTACGACGCCAGCAGCACAGCCCGAGTCACTGGCGCCGCCGCTGCGCACTTCTTCCGCAGCGCAGGCCTGCCCGACGACCTGATGGCTCAGGTAACTCTTCCTCTCTCTCTCTCTTTCTCTCTCTCAGACCCGCTACGTCGCCGAGTAATGTCGACGGACACACAGCAGGACCAGCAAGGGAAGACACCACAATCGAGATTTGGGAAACCCAAAAACCGAAAAAAAAAAATCGCCTGCTGCTCAAACAATAGCAATTGGACAGCAATTCTGCCAAAAAAAAAAAAAAAAATTCAGAGATCTGGCTGCTGAAAAATTCAGGATGCTTGTTTGTGTTTTTGAGATTTATGACAAGATCAGTTCAGCATGGGGACGCAATTGGAGCGGGGGGGGGGAAGTTGAGAGTTGATCTGCACCCAACACAATTCGATTTTAGTAGAACAAACATTCGACCGGTTGCTCACCCCCTTGGTATTGCATGCATTCTTGTCGGATTAGATCTGGACATACTGCGACCCGGAGGCCACAGGATCGCTCGACGGCGCGGCGTTTACAATGGCGTTGGGGTTGGTCGGACGAGCGCAGAAGATTGTCATGCGATCGGGACTGTTGCACCTGCCCCCGGACGCCATGGCGGCGGGCGCAAGCTTGCCTTTGCCGTACTTTGCTGGCGTGACTGAGAGTATTACAGCAGCCCTGTCAGCTGCAGCAGTCGACACGTCAGCTGCCAATCCATTCGCAGACCAGTACTACAATTCTGGCATGACGACGCACTCGGCTGCTGCTGCGGCCGATTCGGTTGCATCCTTCAATCCGTTCGGCATTGCGACCGACTCGCCTTTCGCCGAGTTTCATAACACGCAGACCAGCCAACACCACGCCTCACAAGCGCACCTCCATCACTTGCAGCAACAGCATCAACAGCAACAACAGCAACAACAACATCAGCAGCAGCAGCAGCAACAGCATCAGCAAATGACGCATGGAGCACCTCGACACCATGCTGGATCTGATTGGATGGTGACACCCGATGAAGCCGCGGGCTACCGACCATTGTTTGACGGGCTTGGACCCGACAATGGCGCCGTGAATGGCGCTCAGATTAAGGAATTTTTCGACCGGTCATCGCTCCAACCGCATGACCTCTCTCATATTTGGCGATTGGCTGATTGCACTCACGACGGCTTCTTGACCTTTGACGAATTTTGCGTTGCCATGCACTTGATTCACGCCCGGCTTCGCGGCGAGGAGCTTCCAGATTCGTTGCCGAGCCAGCTGATTCCTCCATCGATGCGAAATCTTTTTGCCTTTCCGTTCGCTGCTGGTGGCTCTCACGACAACAGTGCTCAAGTTCACCAATACCAGGCAGCAGCAGCAGCAGCAGCAGCACACACGCCTCAAAAGCACCAACCGTACGTTGCGCAATCCCAGCCTTCACCAGCAGCTGCGCGAGCAAGCCTCGAGCACCTAGCTCATGCTGGCAGTGAGGCTGTTCTCGGCTCTGTAAGTGTCGGTTTTTTTTTGCCACTTTGTTGTCGTTAAAGTGGGTGGGTTTTTTTTTTTTGTTTTTGGCTTCATCCTTGTTGACCGCCATCTCTTGCTCCTCCTTGCCAGACACCACCAACCTGGGAGAACTTTGTCAGTGAACGCGCGACCATCCAGCGCTCCTTGTCAATGGACGACCGATTGTCCGGGTCTCCCCCGCACTCGCCGAGGGATGAATCGCCAATCAGCGAATCTCCGCACGGCCAGCTTTCGCCCCAGCATTCGCTCCAAGAGCTTGATCGGAAGGCGATGGTAGCCGCTGCCCTTGCAAACATGAAAGAAGACAAATTGCACGCGGCGACCGCAACGCCCGTCAAGGACTCGTCGTTCCGGGATGGCAATTCTCATCTCCACCCAGCTGCCGCCTTGCCATTGCCGGCGGCTATCGCGTCGCCATCTCATCGCACCTCTACACCGAAAGCCGGCACTCCCAAGAAGGTCGAGCAGGGCAAACCCGCACCGCTCTCTCGCGGTAAATCGCTTCGAGACAAATTCTTTGGCAAACGCAACACTTCGGAAGACCGTCACCACAAACTCGCAGACGATGACGCCAACGAGAACGAGGAGAATGGCGAAGGAGAGCGGAGCGATGACTCGGTCATCGCGCATGATCGAGACGCAGACAGTGACGACAACCTTTCTGGCGATCACCACCCCTCGATGGCCGTGAGCCACGCATCGGGTCATGTGGCTACTGCAGCCATCCCTGCAGCCTCGCAGCATCACCCGTATTCCCAGCATCAGCAGATGCCACAGCAGCACCCTCCACATCATCACGCCAGCTCCTTGCCACCTCCGCAACTGCAACCGCCGCACGCGCAGCAGCAGCAGCAGCAGCAACAACAGCAGCAACAGCAACCAGAAAAGGCACCGAGTGCCATTCCACCGTTCCTGCAACAGCACAACCGCCAATCGTCGTTGGGTGTGCTGAATCTGACTTCGGCGCTCAAGGCACCCTCCCCACCGACGAATATTGCTCACCCAGAACAATCCCATCATCCTGTGCAACTCCCATCGGCTGCCGCTGTTTCCCATGGGCTCAGCGCTGTGGAGCCTGTCACAGCTGCGCATGCTGCTGCCACTGCTGCCACTTCTGCTACGGCCGCTGCTGTGCCACCAGCAACAACCGCCCCGGTTGACTCGACACCCCATGTTCGGTTCGATCCCTCCATTCCTGTAACTCCTGCGGCGCCTCCGGTGCTGGAATCTCCATTCACATCAACCTCGACACCCTCAAGCGGTCATGTCAACATTGTGATTGGTCCTGCAGCAGGCGGCGCGGCGGCCGCAGACGTCTCCAGTTTCCGTCTGCCGCCTCCGCCGACAGAACGACTGGCCCTTCCGGCGTCCACGGATCGGCGCCAGCGCACGGGCCATGCTCGGTCGACTTCACTGGATACAGCATCCGCGATTGCGATTGTAGAACCGACCGCTGCACCCAGCGCTAGCGCAGCAGCTGGCACGCCCTCACGACTGCCACCACCAGTGGTTCCTCCCAGGACCAACCGCGCATCTCGGGGCTCCTACTCCGGCGAGATGGACTTGTCCCTTGTGCTGGCCGCAGGCGCCTCGCCTGCGCTGACCTTGACTGCGCCCGGCTCACCCCGCGTCGTTCGGCCTCCTGCTGCCAACTTGCCATCTGTTGTTGGATCCAACCGCAACAGTAAGTCTTCTGACATTTCCGACCACTCTGCCACGAGTGAGAATGAAGATGCTGCCGCTGCTCCCGCGCCTGCTCCAGCTCCAGCTCCAGCTCCAGCTCCAGCTCCAGCTCCAGCTCCAGCTCCAGCTTTGGACGCCGCTCTCTCCGTCCCAAAACCAGGCGGACGCAAACCACCGCCCCCGGTGCCAAACCGTCCGGGCAGCCAGGCGCCCTCCTTCCGTGGTGCGCTTTCCTCCAGCTCGAGCGAGCACGATGAAACCGCGCCCGTCTCAGGGCCTGGAAGCATGGATGTTCGGACGCGAAGGCGCAATTCTATTGGCAGCAACGTGACGGACCGGGATGCCGACTTGGACGACGTCGAGCGTGCGGAGGGTGGGCGTGTTCTTAGCGCCGATCACAGTCGCGACGCTTCGGACGACGACGACGACGACGACGACGACGACGACAAGGCTGGCGAGCCCAACAGCGGGCAGGCAACTGCCGGCCAGCTTCGCAAGCAAGCCATACTTTCCTCTGCCGCTCGCTCGCCTGCTGGTGGCACTTTCAACTCTCGCCCGATGAAGCCGGCGAATGACGATGAAGACGATGTCAGCCTGGACGAAAGTCTTCCGCCGCAGCCTCCGCCACGACAGGGAAGCGACATTCGCGGTGCCGCCGAGGACCCCATCGCTCGCTTTGATTCGGTCTCTAGTCTGTCTAGCAGTGTTGTTGATGACGCGCCACCGCAGCCACCACCTCGCTCGCGCTCTGTCGGCGATGCTGCAGCGGGTGCTCCCCAACTTTCGCGGCTTCGCTTAACGACCGAAGTCCTGAAAGACTTTGGGCCCCAGTCACCCAAGCTGGACCATCCCAACAAGACGCGCCCGCGCAGGCCGTCGGCCAAGCTCCCGCGTCGCGTTTCGTGGACAAACTTCCAGATGAGCGGTCCTGCACGTGACGTGGACGGAGATACGCTCAGCATGAGCGACTTTGATGATGACGTGCAAGGTGATGGAGAAGATGACGGCGATGGCGATGATGCCGGTGCCGAGGATGCCGCCCCAGCCAACAACCGCCGGTTGAAGGCAGCGATGACGTTTGCCGAGACGGCAGCTGCCAACACACCGGCAGCAGCAGCACTGCTCGTGTCGCCGGCGGGTCAGGGGCATGCGTCCGCAGCGCATCCGTCCGGTGCTCGGCCAAAGGCCTTCCCGGCCGTCACATCGCGCCCCGTTCAGCCCGAGCGTACTGTGCGCGTGCTTTGGGAAGACGAGACGTTCAAAACGTTTGATATTTCACCCGAGGCCACTGCTGGCGAGCTCGTTCGCGCCGCTCTTGGGCGCAATCGACGTGAAGCGAGTCGCTGGACCGACTACAAGTTGGTTCTGAAGCTCAAAGATGGAGGTAGGCAGAGTGTGTACACCCATCGATGTTCGTTTGGGCTTCTTCATGTGCCCGTTCTAACTTTCACTCCTTGTTACAAACACAATCTTGTTCTTCTTGTCTTTGTTTTCAGGTCGAAAGCCGTTGAAGAATCATGACGTGGCCATTCCGACAGACATTGCTTCGTTTGAGGTGCCAGACTTTTTGTGCAAGCGCGTCACAAAGGCCGAAGATGATAAGATTTCAGACCGCGAAAAGCAAAAGCAAATGAAGGAAGTGCGGGTTGCCATCAAAAAGCTCAAGCTCCGAAACGACGCCATCACCAAGCTCAATTTGGAGCTCCAAACGGAACTCAAGAAGGAGAAGGAGGTCCGTCTCTTGCTCGAGCAAGAGCTCTCCAAGTACAAGTCAACTGGTGCGACCGTTTCCAGCTCTCGATTGTGATGAACGAGTTGTGTTTATGAGAAGCATTGCGGTTTTTTTTTTCGACCTCGTTTTGTGCACAATTTGTGTCTTTGGTTGTTGTTGCTTGCTGGTACAAGTCAGAACTCTTTTTAGCATTGTTACCAAAAGCAAAAATCCAAGTCCAAGAAGAATTCCAAGAAAAAGCAAATGGAGCAGGCAGCCACAGCAATGCAGCTTGATGTCTCCGAGATCGTGAAAACGGGTGGCTGGGCAGCCAAAAGCAGCCAGCTCGCAGCAAGCGCACGAAGGTTTCCTCTGAATTTTCTCCCCGCCGTTTTTTTAGGATGCAAGTTCGTAGATGAGAAGAAACGAGAAAGTGGTGCATGTGGTTGAGATACCATCTGTTGGGACGTTGTGTTTCTCGTTGGTCGTTTGGGGTTTCCTCTGAGATCCTGAAACCTCAAACCTTTGTCTGTCTCTATCAGCCAAAAAAAAAAAAAAAAAAAAAAAAAAGCTCATCAGTCAGTGACATGATGACTCAGTCTTTCTTAGTTGTTCCTGTTTTTGGGTGTTGCTGAATTCTTGTTCTCAGAATGTCTCGCGGCGTGTACAAACCGCTCGCTCAGGTCGATGTGGACAACTTGGATGAGGAAGCGGCTCTGTTCATGCAGGCAGCGCCATCTCGGTCACTCGACCACACTACTACTACTACTACTCCTACCACGACTACTTCTCCTCGTGACGACGACTCCACGGCTCGACTGGCATCAGGCAGCGCGGAAAGCACCAGTCAAGCACCCGTCGGGGCTGGGGTTGTGGCTGCTGCATCGCCCTCGCTGGCCGTCGCATCGGCCGAGCCTCCGAAACCAACAGAGGTCAATGTGCCATTCTATCGCCCGAGGCTGCAGAAAGGGTCGCCGCTCGACGTGGCGGCCGCGCGAATCGGTTCGCTCGAGTCTGAGCAGCGAAGACATCCAGGGTCGATTCGCCGCTTTCGACTCTTCCTGGGGAACAATCGCATCCTGTGCAATGGCAAGCTCATCACTGGGCCAGAGCTGAACGCCAACGTCGTTGCGGTATTCGTGATTGTCCTGACCACGGTGCTTTTTGTCGCATTTGAGTAAGGGTTTTGGGCGTTTTTTGGAACTCTGAGCTTTGGTGCTCAGAATTTTCGTGTTTTGGCACAAAAACTGGGCGAGAGCTCGTTGTACTGGAATGAAATGATGGTTGATCGTCATTGGTCATGCTTGAGCAAACAGGAAGAAGGCTAACTGAATGCCATTCCTCTTTGTCGACAGAGCGCCGTACTTGATGGAGCACGTTTCACCCGCCGTCCTGCCTGGTGCATTGTATCTGTGCTTCATGACAAGTATGAGCATGGCATTGACAGCATTTACCGATCCTGGCATCTTGCCGCGAAACTTGGATCTCGAGGGCTCGGCCGCCACCAACCCCCTGCCTCGCGCTATCGCGCCAAAGCCCACCGATTGGTTTGGCGACACAATGCTGCTGAAATGGTGTCCCACATGCAGGATACATCGACCACCTCGCGTGTCGCACTGCTCGACCTGCGACAATTGTGTTGGTCCGTATTCTGTGTGTTACTTTGTGGTGCTGTTCGAAATGGCTGACGTGGAGAGGTCTTTTTGTTGGTTGGTTGCTGTTTTGGCTTTTCTCGGCTCAAGAGCGATTCGATCACCATTGTCCATGGGTAAGTGTGAGCGCAGATTTGGACGGCAGAATTTTCTTCAGTTGCTCAATGAATGATACCTCTGTTCATTTTAGGTCGGGAGCTGCATTGGGCGACGCAACTATCGTTACTTTTACAGCTTTCTGGTCTTTACGTCTCTGAGTACATTGTACTACTTTGGATTCGCCCTGTATCACTTGCTTCTCTTGCAAAACGTCAACAGAGACGCTGGCGAAAAGTCTCCGTTCTTGAAAGCCATGTCGGACAGCCCGTCCAGGTATGTGCCTTGTGCTGTATTTGATTGGGGAGGTGGGTGGGTAGGGGGGGGAGTTTGAGCTATCGTGCTAACCGGCCGTCCACGTTTTTGTTGCCCACGTTTTTGTTGCGCTCAGTCCCTTGTTGATGGGAATTGTCTTCTTCTTTGGCCTGAATGTGATTGGCTTGTCGTGTTACCACACTCATCTGGTATTTTCAGACCAGACGACAAACGAGATGGTACGTATTCGCCGAAACGCGACTGTCAAGTTCGTTGCACGATGGATTGCTCACCGTACCGTCCCTTCCCTAGTTAAAGTCGATGCGGCAACATGACAATTCCGCAAGCGTTCACTGTGCTAATTTTATTCGCGTGCTATGGGGCCCATTACCGCCCAGGTATGCATCTCTCGTGGTGTTTGCCTTCCTTTCTTTGCATGCGTCAAGCTCACAAGTTGGTTCTGCTCGATAGTTTCCTTCAGCTCACCAAGCCCGTTCAATCGAGCGAGATGGAAGAATTCGCTGCTCATGTGCGCGAGCAGCATGCATTGAGAAGCCTTACACCAACATAGCACGGTGGGGGGGGGGAAAGTGGAAAATTCTTATGCTTTATCGTATTCAAAAATCATGTAATATCGAGTCATTTTAACAGAAAGCGAATGAACCAAACGTGCGCTCGGGCGTGTACTGCATGCTCAAGCTTTGGAACCTATTATGCCGCCAAAAGGGTGGAGTCGGTTAGAAACAAGCGAGACGAGAGGTCACGAAAATTAGAATCATTCGTGGATGAGGTTACCATTCCGAGTTTTGGTGGTAGTACAGCCCAGAGATCGTCGAGGTGCTGCGCTGGAAGCAAATGTAGTAAAATCCGGCAAACGACGCGCCGCTCACAGATTTAATCCGGTGATCGGGGACGAGGAATTGCTCCTGCTCGGAACGAGAGAGCAAAGTTAGTTTTGTTTCAAGAACATGAGTCACAGACGGAACACAGCGAAATCTACTGTCGACTGCAGTCTTTGCTGCTTTCTCTGAAACTCTTCATGCGCGACACACAAGCAGCACTCACCTTCCAGCGCATAAAGACAAAGTCCTGGTTTCGGAAATCGTGTACATAGTTCGGATCCGTAATGATGGAACGCTGTAAAAATGCCGCCGATTGCTGTCCAGGCTGCTGCCCTTGTGGCTGCTGTTGCTGCCGCTGCCGCCATGGGTGCTGCTGCACTTGCAGATCGGCATGCTTGGCAGTCCCTCGAGGAACAAGGAAGGGCGGGAACCGCGCCCAATGTTGCAAATCGACCTCTTCAGAGGCTCCCCAACGCCCGCCCGTCATGAATGAATGCTCGGCGCCAATGATTTCAGCCTCAAAGAAGGTGGTGAGGCTTGGCAGTTCTTGCGCGAGATGCTCGATGGTGAGGTAACCGCACAAGCTCGATTTGTCCAGTTGGACGTCCTTCAGCGTGACCGAGACATTGTATCCCGTGGTTCCGCACCGCTGCACTCCAGTAAATCGTGCGCCAGCTCGGAGTCCCGAAGATGCCCAGGCGGCAGCATGTCTGCAGTGCTCCTTCTGCAGCTGGAGCGGCTGAGAGGTGGCAAATTGAGACGCAATCGGTCGCGCGTCCCTTTCCGCGGCGTGTCGGTCGTGATGCTCGTGATGATTTCGATGAGAATAATGCTGATGATGATGGTGGTGGTGGTGGTGGTTGTGGCTGTGACTGTGGTGGTTGGGGCTCGGTTGGTCATCACAGCCACTGTCGGCGTTTGGCCAAGTCGGGACGCGTCCAAGTCCGCCAGCTGCCGTCGCCCCGCTGCCGCCCCCAGCAGGATCTACCAGACCATTGCGAAGGTGATGTTGCAGCTGAGCTGGGTCGGCCTGGATGCCACACCAGTTGTCACCGTTGCTGTTGTTGTTGTTGTTGTTGTTGCGGTTCAGTTCAAACCGCTGATTCGGCGTCTGCCGATCGTGCCGCTGCTGCAGCTGCTGTTCTGACGCTGCTCGGATGCCTGCCTGGCTTGCGAATGTTCCTGACGATGCAATGTCTGCGCTGATAGTGCCCATCGGCAGGGTCGATGGCGAGCCGCCTTCGTCGTCGCTCAGTCGGCCAAATCCGCCTGCGGTCAGTCGAGGAGCGGCGGCCATCTTTCGTTTGTGGATTCAAGACTGGCTGGATCGAGCGAGCAAAGGCATTGAGGCCTGTTTCCGTGTCCGTTCGCAAGTCGATGCACAAATAATCCTGCAGTTTTTGGCTCGAGACGACACTTGCAAGATCCATCCGAGCATCTCAGAAGTAAGGACAACAAGGATTCGGGATTGCTGCTGATCTTTGTTTTCTTTCTTTCCTTCTCTCTTCGTTTTACATGTGGTTGCATGTGGGGTCATTGGGTGTACTGTGCGACTGTGTGCACATGTGTGTCTTTCACACCGCTTGCTTGCTCAGAGCGACCCCCAGATGTCACACTTGTTCAGCCCGCGTGCGCTTCACCTTTTCTTCTTGTTTCTTCATTTCGCGCCAACTTTCTCACTTTCCGCCACTCTTCCAATCTTCCGCTCTATCGCTCTGGACTGGATGTACTAGTACAACTTGCCAACGCGTCTCGATAGATGTGCATGCTGACAATCTGATTCAGTCGGCCTCCCTTCTTTCGCTCTGTCAGTCTCTTTTTTTTTTCTTTCTTTGTTCCTTTTCGCTGCAGTTGCCTTGACTTGTCTCTCCCGACGCTGACCTGCCGAGCAACATCGAGTTCCAGCTCTCTATCGATTGAGATTGATCCAGCGAACCAGAGATCACAGAAACCAGAGTGACAGAGAGAGTGACAGATAGAGAGAGAGAGAGAGAGAGACAATGGCGTCGAGACAAGTGTATTCGCCTGGGCTCAACGGAGCGACGCCTGTCCTGCCGCCTCGCAGGTACCGCCACCAGATCATCCCCCCCCCTTGACTCTTCCCCTTCCTGATAAACCCCCACTGATACCTGCCTGGCACCCCACTGATGCCCAATCCAACATCAGCCAAACGCTGGACTTTTTTTTTTTTCTTTTTTTTTTTTTTTTTTTTATTCAGGTGTTGATCGGCTTTTATTTTTGCTTGGCTGAACGAGAGAGAGAGTCCACAATTGAGCCAAAGCCGGATATCCATCGAGCGAGAGTTGAGAGCTGAGAGCTGAGAGTCGAGTTGATGCGCTTTGGACGAGAGAGCAACAGCAATAGCAGCAAATGAAATGGGCTTCAAAGTGAGAAAGCGAAAAAAAAAAAAAAAAAAAAAAAAAAAAAGTCAATGCAAACACAAAGGAAAAAACAGGTTTTTTATTTTATTATCTTTTCGGATTTGTTGTTGTTTTTATGCTTTTTTTTTTTTTTGTTTGGGTTTTTTAAGTCCCATCGTTTATACTGGCTTGTTCACTGCCATCCTTTGATTCTCTTCACTTCTTCACGCTACTTTTCGTTGAGAGATTCGTTCGTTTTTGTTCGTTTCTCCCCCTCCTTTTTCCCCTCGTTCTCTCGCTCGCTCTCAGCCTAAGAGCTTCTCTATCCCTCTCTATCTCTCTCTTTGTGTCTCTCTCTCTCTCTCTATCGACCCGTTGCACTGCACGGCTTGGTCGTCACTCTCGCCCCTGCACCTCTTCGCCCTCCTCTTCTTCTCCCTTTCCCACCGCCTTCGCCTCCCCTTGCACCGCCCTTCCCTTCATCGCCACACCTTGCCAATCATCGTCAGCATCGATCATCGTTCTCGACTGCTGCTCGGCCACCCTGACCACCAACACGACTCTTTTTTTCAGTCATCATCGCTCTCATCATCATCATCATCATCATCATTCACTGCCATCATCATCATTCCCCTTCTCACAAACTCACTTTCTTGTTCTTCTTCTTGCAGTGGCCTTGCTTCCCCCGGTGTGCACGAGGTCGAAAACCCCACCCCTGCACTCCCGCCGCGCGCGCCTGCAGCCCTGCCACCGCTGGCCGTTGCGCTCAACCAACAGGCACGCAGCCCGGCCGTCACTCCGGTCGTCACTCCGGTCGGATCGCCGTCCGCTGCCGCCCTTGCGTTCCATCCGCGAGCAACCGCCAACTTCCCGGCAAGCGCACGCCCTGCGTCTTTGGGCGCCTCTCCGCTCGGCATGCCAGCACCACAGCTGCCGCCACGCACGAATCTCTCTCGCACAGATTCCATGAACAGTGGCTCCATGTCCCCGAGCGCTGCCAGCCTGGGATCGGTGGGCGGCGAGCGCATCCTTCGCTTTTGCGTCGATTATGCCAACAACCTGAGCAAGCCATCCGTCTTCCGCAATCCTTCGCCGTTTGTGCAAGTCAGCGTCAATGACTCGGAGCAACAATGGCGAACCAAGCGCGTCAAGAAGAGCGCCTCCCCGTCCTGGTACCAAGTTTTCCGCATGTGAGTAGGGTATTTCTTTCTGTGTGGTGGTGTCGTCTTGGTTTTCTTGTTTGCTTCTCTGCAAAATGGTGGTAGTCACACACCATATGCTGATGGGCGGCACGACACTCATCTGTTCTTCTGCTTTATTTTTCTTTCTTTTGTTTGGAATTCGTTTCTTTCTGTACCGCAGCTCCGTGCGCCCTACCTCCGTCGTCACCATGACCGTTTACAACAACCAGCAGTTCAAAAAGAAGGAGGGCTCTGGATTTATGGGCTTTGTCACCATTCCCATCCAAAACATTCCCTCCTTGGACCATGGCAAGCAGTCGCTCAACCTGACCTTGAGAAAGACGGCACAAAACCCCGAGACGGTGACGGGCACGCTTACCGTGACCATTTCGCTGCGCGATGACATTGACGACGACTTTAATGCTGGCTCGGACAACCCGTCGCCCAATTCGTCGTCCAACCATTTGCCCGAGCGCTCGTCGCCCAGCCCCACACCCACCACCCCGTCGTCTGTCGGCCGCCCAGCCATGCCCCTGCCGCCACATGCTTTGGCAGCAGCGGCTCCTAGTAATGCAGTGCCAATCCCTGCTGTGCGCCCGCGAGGTGGCACGACAAGCGGCACGACGGTGAGCACGGGCTCGTTCTCGTCGTCACCCTCGAGTCGGCCAACACCGCAGCCACCAGCGCGATCTGCCATTGCTAGTGCGGCGCTTGCCAACCACCTGGGTCGCATGAACTTTGGAGAGAACAACGCGGCTGGCGCCACTCCCGCGCTCAACCGGCGCCAGATTGCAGACATCAACGCCTCGCTCCCAAGCGGCTGGGAGGCGCGTCTCGCTGGCGGGCGCTTGTATTACTGCAACCATGTGACTCGCAGCACCCAATGGGAGCGTCCAGTCGCTCCCGCTCAGCCCGCCGCTCCTGCCGCCGCGGTCGAGGATCGCGCCCGCAACCAGTATAACGCTCGTGCTAATCTCGTTCCCCAGTCGGGCCCTCTTCCTCCAGGCTGGGAAGCGCGCACCACAGCCAGCGGACAAGTCTACTACTGCGACCACAACACTCGCACAAGCACATGGAACGATCCTCGTATTTCTCGCGATGTCGATCCCCGGGACGCCTCTCTGGGTCCTGTAAGATGCCAGACATGTTGAATTGTGATGAAGTATTGGGGATACGGGGTGGGTGGGGGGTTTGATTTCATCTCACTGCGTTTCATTTTTTTTTTTTTTTTGTTTTGTTTTGTTTTGTTTTGTTTTGTTTTGTTTTGTTTGTTTGTTGGTTTGCTTCCGTTCCATTTTTTTTCAACGTCTGCAGCTCCCAGCTGGCTGGGAAATGCGCTTCACTCCGCAAAACCGCCCGTACTTTGTCAACCACCAAACACGCACGACGCAGTTTGGCGACCCTCGTCTGGCAGTCCCGCCGTCGGCGGAAGAGGAGCTGCCGCAGCATAAGCGCGATCTCAAGAACAAGCTCAGCCACATGCGTTCCATGCTGCGCCAGCACCAAGGCACGTGCGACATTCCGTGCAGGCGCAACAACATTTTCGAGGACTCGTACAATGTCATTCTGCGCATGAAGCCGGAGGACATGAAGAAGCGTCTCAACATCAAGTTTGCCGGCGAGGACGGTCTCGACTATGGCGGTGTCTCTCGCGAGTGGTTTTATCTGCTCTCGCACGAAATGTTGAATCCTTACTACGGCCTCTTCCAGTACACTGGCAACGACATGTACACGCTGCAAATCAATCCCGAGTCTGGTGTCAATCCAGACCATTTGTCCTACTTTCACTTTATTGGCCGTGTCATTGGCTTGGCTCTGTTCCATGGCTACTATATTGGTGAGAGAGTTGCTCTTCGAGATTGTCCTGGGATGAGGGTGCTTGAGCGCTCACTTTTTTTTGTTGTTGTTGTTGTTGTTGTTGCTGTTGTGATGTGTTTTGTTTTTGGCTATTGCTGCTGTCCTGCAGATGGAGGCTTCACCATGCCCTTCTTCAAAATGATGCTGGGAAAGCCGCTGGAGCTGGCGGACGTCGAAAGCGTCGATCCTGAATACCACCGATCGCTCAAATGGACGCTGGACAATGACATTACCGATGTGCTTGATTTGACGTTCGAAGCCGAGTATGATCGCTTTGGTCAGCAAGAAACGCAAGAGCTGAAGCCAGGTAACAGCACTCAACAAGATAAGATGATGGGGAGGGGGTTTGGGTTTTCTGCAGTTGCTGGCCTCTTGCTCAATCAATTCGTGCTGATACATTCCTCCTCCTTGTATCTGCTAGGTGGCAAAAACATCCCTGTGACGGAGGCCAACAAGAAAGAGTACACGGACTTGATTGTGCAGTGGCGATTCTCGCGCGGCATCAAGGAGCAGTTCCGCTGGTTTATGACTGGCATCACGGAATTGGTCCCGCTGACCATGTTGCAAACCTTCGACGAGGCCCAGTTGGAGCTCGTCATTGGTGGCCTTGGCGAGATTGACGTGGAAGACTGGCGCAGACACGCAACCTACAAGAATTGCAACCCGAACGACCCAGTTGTCCTCTGGTTCTGGAAGGCGCTCGAGTCGTTCGACCACGAGAAGCGTGCGCGCGTTCTCCAATTCGTGACTGGCACGTCTCGCGTGCCTGTGAATGGTTTCCGAGATTTGCAAGGTGAGCTGGTTGTTGCAGTGGTGTTTGCCGTGGTTTTGGAGTCGTTGGTGTTCCACCCTCTGACCTCCGATCTCTGATCGTTTCGCTTCTGTTTCGAGCGCAGGAAGCAACGGTCCCAAGCCGTTCATGATTGAACGCGTTCAGCTGTCCGACAAGTCCCTGCCTAAAAGTCACACTTGGTATGCCCTTTGCTTGTTTTTCCATTGGTGCTGAGGAAGTCTCGTCACGGGTTTGGACCGCGAGGCCCATGGGTTTTTTTTTTTTTTTTTTTTTTTTTGGGTCGGGCGTGTGGCAACAGTGTGCTCACTTGACTCTTGCTCGTGTGTGTCCAGCTTCAACCGCATTGATCTTCCCAACTACACTGCGTACCAGCAGCTGCACGACAAGCTGTCTCTTGCCGTTGAAGAGACCATGGGCTTTGGCATCGAGTAGGCGAATCCCAAGAGCGAGCTGGCTTGTTGTTGGCGTGGTTTCGTTTGCATTCCGTTTTTTAAAATTGTTTTTTTTTTTTCATTCTTTCTTGTTCCTGTGCAGCTTCATCTACTCCCCTGCATGTTTTTGTGTTTGTAGTTGTTGTTTTCTCTGCTGCTGTTGTTGTTGATTCTGCCGTCGTCTTCATCGTGGTCGGCGGTATTTCTGTTTGTTTGGATCTCTGTGAGTTGTTTGTTGTTGTTGTTTTGTTTTTCTGTTTAAACACACTTTAACCCCCGCCTTCAATCCAGATTCTTGCTCCTTACAGCGCGTCCACCTCCCTTCTTTCTCATTTGCTTGGATTGCCTGTATTTTTTTTTTTGTAGCGCTCGAACGTTGCAGCAAGACAATGCGCTCCGAAAACAAGGAACGGTTTTTGTGTGGTCGTGCGTGTGGCTGCAAAAAAAAAAAAAAAAAAAAAAAAATCGCGCCACGAGTTCGGATCGAAAAAAGAAGGTCACAAGGGGTGAGTTTTTTGCGAAAAAAAAAACCGTCCATCTTGCTGTCGATTCTCACCATTACGTCATTTTAGTGCAACTGCTACAACGACGAAGAGCGATCGCTTTGTTGGATGTGGAGAAAGCGCGCGAGAGAGGGGGAGGGAAGAAGGGATGCGCAGCGAGTTTGGCGACCCACTCGTCGCGCTCCAGTGCGTTCGTCGCGTTTCGATTTCTCAATCCGATTGGTGTTTTGATTTTTATTGATTTTGTTCGATGCATGTTGCTCATGTTCGCTCACACAACGGGTTTGAATATGATAGCATAACATTGAGTTTTTTTTTTAAAAAAAAAAAAAGAGGGGCAAAAAAAAAACAAGTCGTGTCTTCCCACGACCGCTTTTGTCGCACCACTCGCTTCTCTGCTCAGGCCATCGAGCCACCGTTTAGGACGGGGCCGTGCACTCTTCCCCCAATCGTCCCCCAGTTCTCCTCTCGATCGCTGCCATCGAAGCGCAAGTGATCCGTTTTTCTCCTGCGTTTTGTTTATTCGATTTTTTTTTGTATTTTTGAGTTTTTGTTATTTTTTTTTCTGTTCTATTGAAAAATCCTTACAAAAAAGACGAAAATCATTCCTTTTTTTTTTTTTTTTTATTCTTTTTTATTCTTTTTTATTCTTTTTTTTTTTCCCCCTGTTTTTCGCTTCGTCTTTCTCTCTTCGTCTTTTCGCTGCTGCTCGCCTTTCACACGCAAAAGCACTCTTCTGATCAACCTCCACGATGGCTCTGCGCGGCCGTTCCTGCGACGGTGGAGCTGCTGGTGCCGGTGCTGCTTTGAATGGCTCAGCTGAGCCAACAAACAAACAAACCGCTTCTTCTGCTTCTGCTTCTTGGCTGCGTCGCGGCTCTGCTGCCGCTGCTGCGTCGTCCCGCGGCCGTCCCGCGACCGCCAACCAACTCCGCAATGTGTATCTCGCCGCCCTCGCATTTATCGCTGCATGGCTGCTGGTCGCGTCGCCAGGCGCTGCGGTGCCTGGGGCCGCCTTCCTGCTGCCGAGCGCCAGCGCTGCTGATCCCGCCATGTGCACAAACCTCAACGCCCTGCTTGCCGCGTCGCTCGCCCGGCCGGTCGACGGCGTCGTGCAATTCCCGCTGCTCACAGACGCGTCCTGGCTCGCTGCAGACTCGGGCTGCGCAACCGTCTCGGGCGACTCGCTCTCGTACAACTCTGGCAGCATTGCCGTTGACGCCAACTCGGTCGCGCTCCAGCTCGGCGGGCTCGCGCTCAGCAACGCGCAGACCGCCGGCTCGGTTGCCGGCGTCACCGTGACCCGCTCCCTGACTGCCAGTGTTGCTGCTGGTGGCGCATACTCTGCGTCCGCCACGGTCGAGGCTCACCTGCTGCTCTCGAGCACGGCCAATGCTGTTCCGTTTGAAAATCTCGCCGTCACGATTTCGATTGCCTGCGGTTTGGCTGCCGCTCCTCTGCCCGCGGGTGCCGTCGCGCACACGGAGGTCCCTTGCACGGTAACGCTCACCACCGACGCGCCCACCACGGTCAACATTCGCGATGGTAACGCGCGCGACGGCCAGTCGGCTGCCATCTTTTACCCAAACCCCAACGCCCTCAACCCGCAGCAGGTCGCCTCGCTCTTGCAGGACGCAAACACGCTCCAGAGCCGCTTTGCCAACACGGTGCTGCTCGGTGGTCCCATTGCCCTGCTTCCGTCCACCCTTGCCGACACAACCATCCGCTCGGCCTTCATGGACGCGAACAAGCTTCCCGCGTTGGCGGAGCAGCAGACCGGTGTTGACATCCAAACGGGCACCCTGCAGCAGGGTAGCACGCAGCTTGCCTTTGGTCTGCTCATCCAGGCCGAGCACGAGTGCCACGATGCTGACTGCGTCGCGCAGTCGTCCGTGCTCTGGCCCTGGCTCTCGGCGTTCATGCGACAGCAGGCGTTCAACCAGCCCGAAACGGACGCTGCCGTCCAGGCCTGCCTGGCCAGCATTGCCAGCAACGACCAAGACCTCATTTCGCTCTACTCTCGCACCACCCTCGATCTGTTTGTCTCGTCGGGTGCCATCGTGCCTCGCTCCGTCTCCACCTACACGCAGATTGTGCTCGAGTGCGCCGACGCGCAAAAGCAGGCCAGCGGCACCCTTGTCCTGACCCTCGGCAACGACGCCGTGTTTGATTCGACCTCTCTGCCGTGGAGCCGCGGTCTGTACTTGCCCAGCAACCCCCAGCAGCCCGAGGACGGTCGCATTGCTGCCGCCATGACAAAGTCCCTGTCGACCACCCCGTACGGCACTCTCCGCGGCGCCATCAGCACCCCTTCGCAGCTGTACACCTTCCTGCCGGGCAACCTCTTTGGCTCGCAAGTTTCGGGTCTGGCTGTCGCCGACTTTGATCTTTCGGCTGCCATGCCCAAGATCACGGCCGCCTTTGCTCAGCTGCAAGCCGCGCTCAACTCGGACTATCCTGCCCTCAATGCCGCCGTCGCTGCGCTCATTTCCAGCTCTGCCCTTGCCGCCCAGCGTACTGCCTACGTTGCCCACGCCCCCCAGCCCACCATGAACGGCTTTATGGCGTGGCTTGGTGAGCATGTTCACGGCCTGTCCTTGAGCGCCATTCCCGCGACAGACGATGCTGGCGCGTTCTCGGTTCGCCTGACTGCCGCCGCCTCCCAGGATCTCGATGGCTCCCAACTCGCGCTGACCCAGCTCAACGCCGTCCTCGCACACCAGCTCTCCGGCCTTATCGTTGCCTACGATAGCTTGGCTGCTTCCCAGCTCGTCCCCAACGCGACCCGCGAGAACTCGGTCGGTCATCTGTCCGGCCTCTTGTCTGCCACTGCCACCGTCCGCCACGTGCAGTCCGGCTCGCCCGTGGTCACTCTGACCTCGCCGCTTTCGGTCGCCGTCCACCAGACCATCAACTCATTCTTTGGCTACAACAACGACGACTTGCTCTACCAGAACGTGACCTTCCAGATCAGCTTGGCCGCTCCCGCCACCAAGTTCCACGTTGAAGCGCTGGCCGTCATTCCTGTCGATGAAATTGCCATTTCGTACCTGCGTGTGGCTCTGGATAGCGACTCCCCGACCGAGCTCCTCGTCGATGCAGTTTGGGACTCTGCGTTCGTTTCGCTGCTCCAGTCCCAGTGCCAGCAGATGAGCGCGAGCATTCAGGAGGATCCCTCGATGAACAAGGCCCTGCAACCTCTCAACGTGCCGCTCCAGACAGTCTCCCCGACCGTCAACTGGAAGACTGTTCTCTCCACCCTCTGCAGCAGCATCAGCACGTTCAACGGCGACTCCAACTTTGATGCCGCGACACACATTGTCCAGTCCATCCAGGCTCTCAGCGTCAACTCGGATGTCAGCACGTTGGGAGTTCATCTTGCGATCGCCACCGTCAGCAGCAGCCCTCAGATTCGCGTTCGCTTCCACTTGCACGGCCTGTACCAGCAGACTGGTCTTGTTTCGGACTCGATCTGGGGCTTCAAGACCGCCTTTGATCGCATCCAAGTGCCCCTGCTCATGGCCTCAGAGCTCCAGTTTGTCGTCACCCCGGCCATCGCCACCAGCGCGACCTTCCTCTTCTGCGGCCAGACCATTGTTGACTCGTTTGCGCTTCCCGTCGCCTCTGGCATGTTCTCTGGTTCCAGTGTCGTTGCCGCCTCGACCGCCACCACCACAACGTCCGCTCGCTTTGCCATTGACATCAACCTGCCCAACGCTGCGACCATGGACATGGAGCTCTATGTCGCCCCTGGCCTGCTGAGCAACCTGACCGCGCTGCTTGGCAACAACCTTGACATGACCAGCTCTCCGCTCATTCACGCCGTGTTTAGCGCCACCAACATTGGCATGGACGATGCCGCTTCCAACTTTTTCGTGGATGATGTGGCCTTTGCCATCGAGCCCGAGCTCGCCATGGGTCTCTACCTTGACGGCTCGCTCCAAGCGCCTGTCGAGATGATGGCTGGTGTCTTTAACGTTCGTTCGACCGCGTTTGTGATCAACACGACCTTCGCCTCCATCTCCCAGGAGCAGCAGTACGTGTCCAACGTTGCCCCCTGGGTGGCTTCGTTCGACACGACCGCCCCTCTGGCGATTCTCCCCACCACCTGCGCCAGCGTCCTTGCCGAAACCCCCGAGCTCACCATCAACTTTACCCTGAACAATGGCGGTGCGTTTGTCACGTGTGTCATTGGCAATCTCGACGCTGCCCAAAACTTGAACGATGTCGTGTCGCGCATGAACGCTGGCCTTGCCTCGTGCATGCCTTTGATCGAGCTGCGCGTGGTCGAGTCTGATCTGGCCGCCCTCGACTGTGGCATGCTTGCAGTGTACTCTGCCATGCCTGGCGCCATCTGGCAGCTGGAGAGCGTCCAGGAGCCTTCGGATGCCAACCTCACGCTTGCCATGTACTGGCAGTTGCCGTCTGCGCCCTCTTTTGCGTCATGGACGGACATGTCGTGGCTGGTGCGCACCGTGCTCGGCCAGGCTGCCACTCCCACCTTTGTCCTGCCAACCATCCAGCTCGTCACCGAAGATGAGCTCGACTTCATCCCGGATGAGATGGAAGATGTCTTCCCAACCGCCTTCCCCGTGATGAGCTTCCCCATTCTCCACCAGTCGAGCGAATCGCTTTCCGCCCCTCCAGTCATCAACACGCTCACCACTGGTGACGGCATGGTCCGCCTTGATCTCGACGACGACTCTGTTGAGGCAGGCACGACAGTCCAGCTCGTGTACACCACTGACGGCACCTTTGGCGCAGTGTTTGGCGGCCCGCCGCCGACGGGCAGCATTTTCATCAACAGCAACCTGACCACCGACCAGTCTGTCAACGACCCCGTCCCGGCCGCGCCCAACAACACGCTCGGTGTCGCCGTGTCGTCGCAGCTGCGCCAGCGCATGTCGGATGGCAGTCTGCAAGTGTCGACCGAGACGCTCTCGTTCAACCTCGTCTTGACCCCTGGTGAATCGACCTTCACTGCTCTGTTCAACGCCATCGCTTCTGCCGTCACTGGCACCATCTTTGCCCCCGTGCTGAACGCCACGATCGCTGCCGGTCGTCCCTCGCTGAACATTTCCGACCAGCTCTCGATTGAGCTCGTGCAAGCGAGCATCACGCCGCCGACGAGTGGCGCGACCGTCGCCTGGCTCTTGCCGCTGTCCATTCAGATTACTGCATCGACGCTGCCGGCCTTCGGCACGACGCGAATTGCTGTCGCGACGACGCGCTGCGTCTTGGGCAACTTGAACATCCACACGACTGCTGGTGTTCAGTCTGCCGTCCCGGCAAGCGCTGGCGTCTCTGTCGCACAGGGTTATGTTGGTGTTGTCGACACGACTGCAAGCAGCCTTGCCGCGCAGTCGCAGTCTGACTTTGATCTCGTCTTCCCGGGCTTTGCCTCGGCGCAATTTGTGACTTCGGCCCTGCGTCAAAAGAATGCCACTTTTACGCAGTACGTTGCCACGTTCGCTGTGGCTACTGCGGCTGACGTTTCGACCCTCTCCTTCTCCACCACCGAGTCGCCCTTCCCCTCAGACGCGTCTCACCTCCTCCGATTCGGCATGAATGTGGCCAAGACGACGCTCTTCAGCGTGCAAGACCTGACAGACCTGCTGTCGAACTTGGCGTTCGAGGTGACCACTCAAGGCCAGGCTGACTTCACCTCGGCCATGCAAACGCTCGCTGCCACCTCCCCGGTCACGACGCTGTGCAACCTTGTGAACGAGGCCACCACCATGTTTGAGGACGTGATTGCCAAGGATCCTCGCCTGGCCCAGCTGCTGCCCTTCCTCGAAAAGACGCTTGCCAGCTATGCCGGCGACGCGTTCTTGCAGCAGTTCCAGACGATTGTCGACAACCTGTGCCATCGCCAAGCCGGCCTTGCCACTACCCTGGCAACGTACGACTCTGTTTCGGACGCTGCTTTTGCCACCGATGTTGCTTCGGCTGGCAAGTTGTCCGGAACCGAGCTGCACTTCCAATTTGACTTGAAGCTGTACCACCACACGTTCAAGACGTCCTTCCGCTTTGATGCCAACACGCTTCTGAAAAACCCCGGTGCGCCTCTGCCGATTGGCATTGGCAGCAGTGGCGACTTTTCCGTGGACGTGAATGTCGGCGCGCACATTGACTTTTTCATTGATTTCAAGAACTTTGTGCCGTCGCTCCGCATCGGCCAGGACACCAACCTCACCCTCGCCGTCAACTTGGACAGCACCGCCATCCTGCGCGCATGGCTGGGTCCCATCTCTGTGACGTTTGGCAACGCGAACGTGGCCATTGGTACTCCACTGTTGCTCACGGTCGCCGTCGATGGCGTCTCCTTGGTCGGAAATGCACGCATGTCGGCTGCTCTGACCGTGCCCTCGCAACCCATCTGTGCCTTCACTGTCACGATCGCCGACATTAGCGCCTTCTTGCAAGATCCCTCCAACCCGAACGTTGTCTTCCTGCAGGACTGCCCTGATCAGGCTGTCGGTGCGCTGGAGCTTGCCATGCTCGACGCTTCTTTCCTGCACCTCCTGCTCGAATCACGCCACGTTCGCGACCTGATCAACATGTTTGTTGGCGGCTTCCTCGCGGAGGACTTGCTCGGCTTCAATGGTCTCAACACCGACTTGACCCTCCCGGTGATTGGCACTTCGTTGCAAAAGTTTGTGGTCAAGGAGCTGATGGATATCGCCGGCACCGACTTTATCAAGGAGTTTACCATTGCCATCACCCACTTTACCCAGAACATTATCCACGAGATTGAGCAGGACATTGAACAGCTCGCGCTCAAGGAGTTTACCGAAATCATCTGCCACGCCTGGCGCAACATTATGCTTGGCCCGTGCCCCGCGGTGCCCAAGCCGAGCGACAAGCCCATGACCTGGGACTTCCACCTGGGCCGCGTCTACAGCGAGCCGGTTGTCAACCTGACCTGGGACCTCGGCGCCAACCGCCCCGCCTCGTTCGAGGTCCAGTGCATGGAGGAGCTCGTGATGGAGTGGCAGTTCAACTTCCGCATGACCTTTGACACGCGCCAAGGCCTGCAGTTCTCGCTGCCCTTCACCCCCGTGTTCAAGGCGGACACGACCCTGTCGTTTGAGAATCCCTGCTCGATGACGGGCAAGCTGTTTGTTGTCGAGGCCGACTTGCAAATGACTGGCGGGTTGACTGCACAAGTGTACCTCAACCCTCCGGCGACTGCTGGTGGTCCCTATGTGGGTGACTTTGGTCTCGATGCTCAGCTCAATGCTGCCGCGGTCGTTGGCTTGGCTGGCATCTTTAGTGGCGAGACTGTGACCTCCTTGCCCAACTGGGAGGTCGACATGTCCATTGTTGTCGATGTGAGCAAGGAGCATCTTGATTTCACGCCCAACATTACCTTCTCGAATGGCAAGTTCTGCGTGGGCAGCGTCATTCAGCACATGCTCGCTGGTGTCGTTCAGGAGGCGCAGCATGCTCTTGGCCCCGTCAACAAAATCCTCGGCCCGAGCAGCATTCTTCGTCGCAAAATCCCGGCCACCAAGTACCTGTTTGGCCGCGAGCTTGTCGTCATTGAAATGCTTGATGTGCTCGCCCGCTTGTTCTGCCCGCGCGACTGCATCTTTTCGAACGTCTTTGAGGCCATTGAGGCCTTTATGACGATCGACGACCAGTTGAACGCCTTCCTCAACATTGTCGAGCAGATTGACTGCACCTCGCACATTGACCTCGGCCACTTTAGCGTTGACTTCCATGCCGACTACCCGGATCCGTGGTTCTTTTTGCCAATGCCTGACTTTAACGACATTATCTTTGACGATCCCGATTCCCACGAACGCGATTCCGTTGTCAACGCTTGGGCCAGCGTGACCACCCAGGGCCAGTTCCAGGTGACCTGCCCTGCCTGCCACAACCCCGTCAAGTTCCTCATCAGCGCCATCCTCGGCAAGAACGAGCCCATCATTCTCATCCAAATTCCCGAGATGCTCGTTTCGCTTGGCTTCTCGTACCGCTTCTTTGTCTGGGCCGCCCCGCCGGTTCACGTCAGCGTCGGCATCTCGGCCTCGCTTACCGTTGCCGTGCCGCCGATTCAGTTTGACACGTACTGCATTACTGCCGCTGTCGTCTCGCGCAAGGCTTCCGAGCTCTTCACGCACATGGAGCTCCAGCTCTACGACGCCAACCACAACCTGCGCTGGCCCCTGCGCGCCTCCGTCACCCTGACTGGCGGTGTCGGCGTGAATGTCTTCATCTTCAAGGGTGGCGTGAGTGTTTCCATCACCCTCGAGGGCATGATGCGCTTCCCCGACGTCAACGGCGACGGCCTCATCACCTTTGACCAGGTTTTCGCCATGGTCAAGCAGAACGGCCTGATGGAGAGCACCGTGACCGAGCTCGACTTGATTGGCGGCTTCAACCTTTACATTGAGGCCTGCATCCACTTCCCGTGGGGCCACAAGCATTGCTGGCATATCGTCAACGTCAACCTGCACGACCGTCTCTGGGGCGAGACCATCAACCCCAAGAATGTCGGCGCGGTTGCGGACGACTCTGGTGCCATCTTGCTCAACAACATCAACCTCGCGGCCACCTCTGGCGCCTACACAATCATGCTGTACCAAATGCCGACGGAAATCCGCGTCAGCGGTGCCGATGACGCCGAGCCACGCTCGCTGACTCGCCCGCTCTCGCTGACCACCTCCCTGATTTCCCTTGCTGGCCAGCTCGACAGCTCAATCCACCTCACCTTTGACATTCGCACCATTGGCTCGCTCATCCAATTCCCCTCCACGCCCAGCAGCGTGGTTCGCATGCACATGGATTCGTACGCCGTCGGCTCTGTCGGCCCTGCCAACGCCCCCGGCGGCGGTCTGGCTGTCAGCATTTCTCCCTCGCGCGTTGTTGCTGGCTCGACGTCTGGTGTCCAGCTCCTTGGCGAGTGCGGAACGTTGGATATGCAAGACCCCGTCTCCTTCTCGACCGTGAATATTGCCGGTCTTGGCTGCGCCAACACCCTGCTTGCGACTCTCAACACGAACGTGACGATGGTCGGCACTCCTTCCCAGTATGCGGTTGGCCCTGTGACCATTTCTGGCTGGACTCAGACGCTGCAACTGCAGGTGTCGGAGGTCGCGTGGACTCTTGAAGACAACACTGTCACTGGCGCGCAAAACACCCGCGTGATCTTGGACGCCGATGCCGAGGTTGGTCTGGTCAATGTGATTGCCAGCTCGGCCGACACAACCTTCACCATCAACAGCGTGCCGCAAGGTCGCTCTGTCGTCTGCATGGGAGCGGAAGGCAATGACGTGTTTGTCATTCCCGACATTTCCAAGCTCACTGGTGACCTCTCTGTGAACGGCGGTGCCAACATGGCCAACCGTCTGCACTCGACGCACTACGCCACCCCTGGCCAGCCCTTGAACATTGTTGCGACGCCATTCATGCTGACCCAGACGAACGGCGTTGCGGACGCTGCCGTCAACATTTCCATGGCCATGACGTTGATCCAAGAGCTCTACTTTGACCTGCACGGCGCCAGCAACGCTGCCGTCACCTACTCGCTCACCGGCATGAACTTGGGTACCTTTGTCGCGGTCAACTCGATCGGCACTCTGGGCGCGAGCATGACAATCAACATTAACGACTGCGACGCTGGCTCTGCCGGCCACGTCAACTTGACCAGCGACGGTGACCACACGGTTGTCTTTGGTGTCAACGGCCTGATCTCTGGCCACTGCACCTTCTACGTGTATGGTTCCTCGAGCCCCGACTCTGTTTCGACCGTCATTTTCAACGCTCCCTTGGATGGTCGCCAGCTCGTTTGGCAGTTCAAGGCCCAGACGGCCACCGTGTACGACCCGAGCAACCCCGCCACCAACGTTTTCCAGATCATTTTCGAGTCTGTCGATCGCATGCTTGTCAACCTTGGTAACGGCACCACCGATGTGACTGTCTATCAAGGCACCTACCCGACCGAGTTGGTGATTGCCTTCCCCGAAGTGCCCTCCGCTTCCGGCGTCACCTCGTCCTTCACTGTCATGTCTTCGGCGCAAGTCTCGATGCTGGTCACCGGCATCTATCAGCTGGCCATTGTCGGCTCTGAGAGCCGCCAGATGAACACTCCGCCGCTCGACCTCTTGTACGGCACCGTTGCCCTCGCTCCTTCGGCTCTGGCCAACACGCTCGTCTCGCTTGACTCTGGCTCTCTCTCCAGCGTCAACCAGTTCTACCTCATGAACGACATGTGCATCTCGCGCACCGACACCAACGGCGTCCCGTATAACATTTCCACGCCTCCCACCGCGTGGATGTGCGACCAGATGGTGGCTGCTGGCTTTGACGCGAGCGCCTGCTCCCGTCCCTGCCCAGTTCTCTTCCTGAGCGATCGTGGCATGGCCTTTGACATTGTCACTGGCTCTGGCGAAGACTTGTTCATTGCCGACCAGGTTCAGGTCCCGCACAGCGTCTCGCTGCAGCAGGGTGACGATCGTCTCGTTGTTATTTCGCCCACCATGACTGCCACGCCGACCTCGTACTCGCTCGGCGCCAACGAAGACAGTGCCCTTGTGTACACTTGCGATCACGACGCTCCTGCCATGTCCTTGGACTTTGGCGACGACTCGTTTGCGGATGAGCTCCAGCTCTTCTTGTCTCCCGACCGTAACGCGCACGTCAATGCCTCCACCGTCGGCCCGCTTGGCCCGAACGCAGCAGTGGATGTGCTGACTCTGCTCGAGTTGCATAGCGCCGACCGCATCATTGTCAAGCCGTGCGCGCTCTTCCCGTCCTCGTCTGTCGGACACGCTGTCATCCGTGCTCCTCGCTTGAAGACTACTGCTACTGCTGCTGCTGCTGCTGCTGCTGCTGTGAACGATCCAACGGTGATTGATCTTTCCATGCCCGTGATTGGCCAACGTCTCACCGTGTATGCCACTAGCGATACAGTCTACAACTTGCAGCAGGCTGCCGAGGGCACCATCCTCACTTTCAATGCCATTGCGCAGCCCACGCTGCCCGCGCCGCTCAACTGGACGCTCAATGTTGTCGTTCCCCAATTGTTCCTTTCCAACCAGGTGGACGTGTTTGGCGTTGCGGGTCAGGATGCTACCTTCACGCTCAACGTCCCCGCCGACAACACTCAGCACAACGTTCATTTGTACCAGCCGTCGCAACCTTGGCAGGAGCAGTTTGCCACCATCTCTGTGGATGGCATGCGCATTACGCTCCGCGGCGTGGATCACACTGCCGTCACAGTCACCGATCCCGCCCGTGGCTCCATCTTTGACATCCAGGGCAACCCGTGCAACGGCGACCTCTTGCTGCAAGCCCCGACCAACGAGACCCAGTACTTCTTCAACGGACCCATTACGAACGACGTGCTTGTGCTTGGCGGCGGCACGCCCATGGCTGACTTTAGCCAGCAGCTCCCGAGTGGCTTCATTCTCGCCTTTGTCGGCGACAAGATTGACATTCCGCTCCAGAATCTGTCGTTTGCCACCCAAGTTTCGCTCGTTCAAGGCTGTCTGCGCACCGCCAACCCCGTCACTCCTCCTGGCCCCACGGCTGTGACTTGGTGGCTCGCCCAAGCCATGGCGCCCCACGTTGATCCCGCGGCCGCCAGCGGATGCGCTGCTTTCTTCTACGACATCAACACTGCCCGGTTCCAAACCCGTGCCTCTGGCGTCCTCCTCTCTGGCATTGAGCACACCACCAAGCTGATCCAGGTCACTGGTGCGCAAACGCTGGATTTGCTGGCGACCGACGTCCCGTGGACCCAGGCTACGCTGACCTCAAGCTCTCTGCTTGTGGCCGACTACCAGCTGTTGGTTGATCAGGGCACCCGCGTGGCCGTTACTGCAAATGACAACATTTTCCTGCTCAATGGAACCTCGCAACTGACCTTCAACTGCCCTGTGATTGCTGCCGTGACGACCTCGTTTGAGTTTGGCCCGACCTCGAACAGCACGCCTGCTCTGACCTGGTCGACGCAAGCTTGTCGTGGCGCCGTCTCGGCAGACGCCCATGGAAGCTACTTCCCGAGCCTGACGATCGGCCAGCAGGTCGCTTCCGTTGAGCTCGAGGTCGACCTCGTCTCGCCCACTGGTCAGGCCGTGCACCGCACTGCGTCGATCGACCACACCCAGATTGACTTTACCAGCTCTGACGGACGTGGCATGAAGCTGTCGTGGCCAGCCTCGGCTGCTTCGGCCGTCCGCTATCACTTGCAGTTTGACGACGGCACCAACGACGTGGCCTTTGCCCAGTCGCTCACCACCGCTGGAGCCTCGCTCCGCTCTGGTGGCTTTGGCTCGAACGCCAAGGGCACGCTCAAGTTTGATCCCAACTCGGCTATCACCATGGGCCCGGGCTCCAGCCGACCCACCTGCGATGCCACCTACCGCAGCGTCACCCCGCGGTCTGGCAGTGACTCGTTCTGCCTCTGGCCTCGCCAGCACTGCCAAGCTGCTTCGTGGACGGATGTGGCCGTGTCGGAGAGCTGCGTGTTTGACCAGCTGGAAGACGCATGCCACTCGGCGGTGATTGCGACCTGGCGCGCACCCTGGAACATTCCCTTCGACTGCTTCCCCGACCCTGCCGTCAAGCCTGCCATTGTTCTGCACGTGCCCGCCATCGATGCTGCCAACACGGACGATTTCAGCAACCTGAAGGCTTGGCGTGGTCTCAGTGTCACCGGCCTGGTGATTGGTGTCGCGATTGCCTTGCTGTCCTTTGGTCTGTACGGCGTTGCCATTCTCGAGCCCATCTTTGCCTACGCCCTGACCTCGTCGTTCTGGAAGACGGACTCTGACGCGGGCGACTGGTCTCTGACGGCTCGCAAGCTCGTTCAAGTCATCAACGTGACCATCTCTGGCTGGACGGCCAACAACGCTCCCGGCACCGTGCTCGATGCGATTGTCGCTCTGCTTGCCATCTTCACCGTGCTTTCGGCCGTGTGCGAGTTTGTTGCCAGCCGCAGCGATGAGACCGCGCGCATCACGTCGTGGCTGCGCGTCTGCAAGCGCATGCTTGTTGCGACCATGCTCTTTGTGCTGATTCCCGTCTTTGTCTTTAGTGCGTCTAGCGACCGCATCGATTCGGCCGCCGGTGGCTTCTCGATCTTTTTCTTTGTGGTCGCCTGGATTTGGATTGGCGTGTCTGCCTTCCAGTTTGTCCGCCCGCTCAGCAGCCTGAAGACCAACGGTGCTGAGGCGCAGCCCTTCGCTGGTGGCTCGGGCCGCGGCCCACAGGAGCCTGCGACGCGTGCAGAGGTGTTCTTCCGCGTGCTTGTCCCGACGGTCATGGCCATTCTCATCCTGGGCGCCTGTGTGCTGGCTCACCCCGAGTACGAGGTGACTGCTTCCGAGTTTGGCGCCACGAGCATTGTTCTGCTTGTTTTGTCAAGCCTGTGCTCGGCCATCAACTGCTGGATTGTTGCGCGAACGGCGTCCGATCGCGTTCGTCGCGCGCTGCTTGTCGCTCTCGTGCTTGCCCTGATCTTTGGCGTGTCCCTTGTCGCCGTTGTGATGAACATTGAGAACGTCTCTGGCGGCTCTGTCGTGGCGCTGTGGATTTTCTGGGCGCTGCTCTGGCCCATCCTGCTCATTGTCATTCTGAGCTACGTGCACTTCAAGTCGGGCGCCACTGGCTATTCGACCTATTCAACCGTTGATCAGCCCACCATGCACGACATTGAGATTGAGCACCGCGGCGGCGCCAACGATCGCCACTCTGGCAACAATTATGGCGAGATTCCTTCCTCTTCCTCCGACCACGGCTCGGGCAAGGCTGCTGAAGACGACGATCATGTCGAAAATCCCTTCGGTCGCTCATAAGGGGCTCAATGTCGCTCTATAAGCTTGAAAAAAACTTGAACTTGTCTTGATTTCGTTCGTTGTTTTGAAAAAAAAAAAGTGGTTTGTGTACCGTTTGCTTTTTGTCGTTGTTTGTTGGCTTGTTGTTTTTGTGTGTGCCTTGTGTGACCAACAAATGAAGCTTTCCTCGCTCTTTGATTTCCAGACGTGAGCGTACGAAGTTTTGTTCTGAGATTCGGTTATGTCTGTTGGTTGTCATCTTTGTGGCCCACCTAACCCTTCTCTCTCTCTCTCTCTCCCCCCCCCCCGCTTCGGCTTGATCTCGTGGCATACGTTTCCAGCTGGCTGATGTTGTCAAAATGTCGGTGCTGCTGTTTTGAACAGAGAATGGGCCGCTGACGGTGTGGGGTTGCTTCTGCTCTGTCCGCTTTGGCTTCATCTCTCGGTTCACTTGCCCACCTGGAGTTGTTGTTTGCTGATGTCGTTGTTGTTGCTGTTTGAACAAGCGTTGCTCTCACATTTTCAGACCACTTGTCCATGTTTGGGTCTTTGGTTTAGTCCTTTTTTTTTTCCTTTTTTTTTTTTTAGTATTCATAGTAGTTAAGATGGAGTCTGTGGCGCTGCACGATTTCAATGCGACTGCGGTCGACGAGCTCTCGTTCAAGGCCGGGTCCATTGTCAAGATCATGAAGATGGACGACCAGTCCTGGTACAAGGCCGAGCAGGACGGCCGCGTCGGCTTCATCCCGTCCAACTACATTCAGCTGAAAAACCCCGAGTAAGGACATGCAAAAAAAAAAAAAAAAAAAAAAAAAAAAAAAAACGGCAATGCAAATCCCATATAAAGACGTGGCTTTTTTTTTTTTTTTCTTTTTCTTTTTTTTTTTTTTGCTTCATTTTTTCAATGGTTTTTGGCTTTGTTTATTTTGTATTTTTTTTGTTCTCTTTTTGCTGTGAGTGTGCTTCGCCCCTCCCTTCTGTCACTCCCTGCCTTCGTCGTCGTCCCTTTGACTTCTCCCTCCTCCTCCTCCTGGTTGTCGAGCTGGCATTTGCGCCGTGACGTTGAGCGTTTTGTTTTTGGCCATTTTTTATTATTATTATTATTTTTTATTTTTTCGTTTTGCCCTTTTGTGTTTTGCGTTGTTGGGCTGCAGCTGGGGATCGCCTTTCGCTGACCCCGTCTCCCCCGCGCACGCATCTCTCTCTTTCCCCCGTTGCAATGCAAGGGAGGGGGGTTTAGTGTCTGTGATCAGGCCGCGCGCTTCCCCTCTTTCGTCTGTCTCGATCGTCGCATGTTGTTGCCCCTTTTTTTTTTTCTTTTTTTTTTTTTTGATCTTTTTGATGCCTTCTTTCGTCTTTCTTTCTTTGTTTGCTTGCGCTGCGCCATTCCCACCGGCAAGTCTCTTCACGCGTAGTGCGCTCGAGTGACGACCGTTCGCACTGTGATCGCGCTGCTCCACTTGTTGCAAGTTTGGCCGCAATCATTGTTTTATCAAAGTTCATTGTTTTTCGTTTTTTTTTTCTTTTTTTTTTTTTTTTGAAATTGTATCATTCAACTCTTTTTTTTTTTTTTTTTTTTTTTTTTTTTTGGTTTGAAATCATCATCATTCTCACTCAACGTTTCATTGCTGCATTGATCAGTTTCTATCACGGCAAGATCAGCCGCCAAGTAGCAGAGCAGACGCTCCTGAACTGCGGCGTTGAGGGCGGCTTCCTCATCCGCGACTCTGAGAGCTCGCCCGACGACTTTTCGCTGTCGATCAAGTTTGGCGACGGCATTCAGCACTTCAAGATTCTCCGTGACGAGAGTGGCAAGTACTTTATCTGGGACGTCAAGTTCTTCTCGCTCAACGAGCTCATCGAGTACCACAAGAAGGCGCCTGTCAGCCGCAACGCCGGCAACGCGAGCATGGTCCTCCGCGTCGCCGTCGGTCTCGGTGGCGTCATGTCCTCCATGGGCGGTGCCGCTGTCCCGCAGGGCCGTGGTGGCTTTGGCCAGGCCAACGCTGGCTGGGGGGCTCCTCCGAAGGTGAGTTGTTGTTGGGGTGGGCTTTTGCGAGTGTTTTTTGGGGGTTTTGTGGATTTTTGAGGTTTTGGGGCTCTCTTGTCACTCTGGTATTCACTTGTCTTGGGATGGCATTTTCGCCCCCCCCCCCTCTTGCAGCAAACGGCACGGGCGCTGTTCGATTTCACTCCCCAAGAGCCGAACGAACTTGGCTTCCGCAAGAACGACATTATCGAGATTGTCGACGACAGCGACGCCAACTGGTGGCAAGGCAGCTGCAACGGCCAGACTGGCCTCTTCCCCTCAAGTAAGGAGACATTGTGGGCAGCGTTTTGGGGTCTGTTTGATTTCGAGCGATGTGTCGACTTTGTTTCCTCACTCTTTGTTTGTTTGTTTGTTTGTTTGTTTGTTCTTGCAGGTTATTGCCAACGGCAGTGATCATGCCTCCAAACCATCACTGGCCTGCTCTCTGTCGGTGACTTGCGAAACTGTCAGCTGCCTTTCCCGGCGATTGACAAGCTTTGTCGTCATGCTCGTCTTTTGTTTTTCTTTTTCCCTCCCCCCCCCGCTATGGTTGTGTACTTGTGTTTGTGCGTGAAAGCAAAAGAATCTGTCAGTCACTCAACAACAGGCTTTACATTCCATGGAACGTGAACGGAGGAGGTGGTGGGTGGGGAAACAAAGATCTATATTGATCACCTTTTGACACAACATCCAAAACAACAGGCAAGAACGAACGCATGACAGGAGCAAAACCCCTCGTGTGGGAGCTTTTGGTGAATTTCCTGCAGTGCGGTGACAAAACGAGTACTTTACTCGCCGAGCAGCAGAGGTTGCAAAATGCGACGGCGAGCGTTGATAAACCAATTGTTGACTTGGCTCACATTGAGGTCGGTGGCTTGTGCAAGTGCATCCTTCTCGATATCGGTTGGGTAGGGATTGGATACATGATCCAAGAGCCACTGTTTCAAGATGGCAACGGATGCTTTTCTCAAGTTCGATCGGCGAGGAGTATTGTCGACCAGCTCCGGAGCCAACGTGCTTGAGCTTCCCGGAGAGCTGGGCTCGTCATCGTCATCATCAAAGCGGAATCGCTTGTTGTCCGACTCCCCGCGGCTTTCAAACGGAATCGTTGTAGTAGTCGCAAACGCTTGAGTTATCATTGGATGCTCAGCTGCTAAGCGGGCTTGGGAGAAGGAAGGTTTTTGCGAGGGTGATGTACGACTGTAGAACACAATCAAAAACGGGGGGCGCTTGGCCACAGTTCGATACAGGCCGCCGGGATGTACAGACTTGTATACAACAAGTCCGTTGCAACAAGTGTAGCCTTTGTGGTATGGCAGCCCGTCTCGAACCCTCGTCACTTCTTCCCAATCGAAAATGAAAAAGTCGCCGTCTTTGATGTTCTGCCGCTCATCCTTGGTCAAGTGCGCGGTACGCACGCATTGGGGATTGTCGATTGCGTATTTCGAGTACCAGTCCGGATCGAACCGTTCAGGGGCGACGAGTTGCGGAGTGCTATCACGAACAGACCGATCATCCGACCTCGCCTTGGACGTCTTGTTCCCGCCGAGCTCTGTTTGACCAGCTGGGATCAGCATCGACCCTTCTCCAGCCGAGACACTGGCAGCAGCGGAGCTGCCTGAAGAGCCTGCCACAAGTGCTCGTGCAGATTGAGAGACTGCACTGTTGCTCGCAGGAGTGTTGTTGCGAATCTGTTGGGCGACGTATGAGTTCGGACTGACTGGACGAGGTGCCGAAGTATTGCCAAAGAGTCCTTTTCGAAGAATGGCCTGGCAGACAGGTTGGTTCATTGGACAGCCGTTTTCCTGCGCCCACTTTAATGTTTCACGATAGCCCAGCGCAGCTGCTATGGTGCAGATGGACTCGTCCCATGGACAGCCATTTGCGCGAGCCCATTGCAGCACATCAAGACGTCCTACACGCGCGGCTGTTGAGCACACAGACGCGTCCCACGGAAAGTGGTTTGAGTCCGCCCATCGCACAAGCTTGAGATCGACATGGCCTGTTTGCTGCGCCATTGCAGCAATGTACCCTTTCCATGGATTCGTGTTGTCCAATCTGTCCAAAATGGCTTGTGCCTCCTGCAGCTCCGACTGCGGTTCAATGCGGCATTTGGTACTCATGGTCTCGGCCAGATTGGTCTCAGTCTCATTGGATTCCGCAAGTGAACCTGCTCAACCATCCATATTGCAGTGAGTGACATGCATCGTCAGCTCATCAACGTCATCGAACAGCGCATTTTGCTGCAGAAGGCTTCAGGGTTTTTTTTTGTAAGGTTTCGTAAGGTTTTAAGCTGGTTTTTTGGGTTTTTAGCTTGCGCGAACACTCCCTCTGTGACTGAGCCAGCAGCAGGGCGCGGTCGTGCAGTGGATTGGCAGAAGCATATGGCTTACGTTTATAGCCTCTCGGTTCACGCCAGCGGTTGGAGAGGGCGGCGCGGTCGTTGGTCCCACAGGAACTGAACAGCCCGCAGTGGGACGCCGCCTGAATCAGCATGCTCGTTGCGAGATTCACGCCATTCTGGTTGCTGTGGATACTGGTCGAGGTGTCCATGCTGATATGCGACATGGCCGGACGGAAGGCAGGGAAGGAAAGGGAAGGCAAAGGGCAATGGAAGGGAAGCGAAGGCAATGGAAGAGGTACTGAAAAAAACGAAAGCTGTCCCGAAAAAAAAAAAAAAAAAAAACGTCAGAGACAGCATAAATCGGTGATGCGGACGAACAATTTCCACACAGCTAACCAACCGAGTGGCACAGCTTAATGTTCTTTTGTTTGCGGGGGCAGGGGAAGGCTGGTCGGAGCGTTGTTAGCGGACCGCTGCAAGCAAGTGTACTTGGGGGAAGGTTGTTCAACAGGAAGAAATGCAGACTGCACTGCTGTGCTGGATATATGGGGGGATGAGGGTATGGAGCTTGCCAGAGAGTAAACCATCCCGCCATCATCATCGATCATCGACTCGGAGGACAATCTACAGTATCTCCCACAGCCACCGTGGTGCCATGGCCGCCAAAGTCTGGTAGTGGAAAGGGCTCAAAACTCTCATTTTATTATCGTGATGGCTCAAACAGAACGATGAAATCTTTGCAGGATCAATGTTCCTGTTCATTCGACTCTCAGTCCATCCAAGCTTCAACCCGAGCTTTTTGCATTGAGGAGCTCAAAATAAAAGAGCCACGCGATAGATTCCTCGAAGAGAATTCATGCAAAAGATGGACGCGCGACCTTCAAAGACGGCAAGCTGCAACATTTGAACTGTAATCAACGCTTCGTGCAGCAATCCAGCCCTGACAAGCTCGGCCCGAAGAGTACCAGGTAGAATACCAGCACAGAGAGGTGGCGTAATCCATCGCACATGGCCATCAGCAAGGGTTTCGCGAATCGCAATGTTGGCGATGGCCGCCTCGGTGACGTGCTGCTGGTCGTTGACGAGCAGCACATCAAAGCAATCCGACCCGACGCCGGCTTTTGCGCGATCGTAAATACCTCGCTGGATGGTCTTGTGTGCCAGTGCCGGGTTGGCGGCACGCACCCAGCACTCTGGAGGAGCGATGCGAATGTTGCGAATCGGGTTTGGTGTGGCCGGATTGTGGAGCAAGCTGTGAATCAGCATTTCCATGGGATGACTTGCAATCTCGGCAGCAGTGAACACGACGTCAGAACTGCTTCGTTGTTGGTCTGGTGACGGATCATGTTGATCGAGCAACTGTAGCAGCTGTGGCAAGTTGGTTTCAGTCAATCCAAGCGGCCACAACTCGGCTTTCGTCGCCACAACAATCGGTGGACTTTGGTCGTCCGGATTGCATTGTGCGCTTGAAGATGATGCTCCAGCCTCATCGATGGCGAGTGTGCTCGACGACGTGACGCTGAACTTGACTCGAAAGCAATCTGCGCGAGGAGTCGTCCGATCGGTCGTAGCTGCAGCATCCCATTGCGCCATAGCATCGTGCACAGCGCTCAGAAGGGTATCTTGGACAGCGTCGCGAGACTCGAGCCTGGCTGCTCTGCGCGCGTGGATGGGAAACCAGCCAGGGAGCTCGTCGAGTGACTGGGCGAGTCGCGTCGCGTGCGCCACTGCCAGGGCGACGGTGCCAATGCGCTGTGCCAAAGTGCCAGTCTGTTGGGCATCACTGGGTACCAAGCGAGTGAACGTCGACACGGCAGCCGTTGCAGGCGATTCGACGCACAAGAGCATTGTTTCAAACAAACCTGCCATTGTGTAAATTCTTTATGATTTGCTCAGAGACTAAAAGTGGCAGAGATACATGTATGGTCGACACTTTATGACAAGAGGACTGGAGTTTGTTCTATGGCAAGTTTGATCATTGGGCATTTCTATGCTGGAGCTGCTGCATGTTCACCGCCAGTCGATCGAGTTGTTGTGGTTTTGCGCTGTCGAACCATCGATTCAGCATACAGTAATTCGCTCGGTAACCTCACGCTCCGAGCGCTCAACAACAAAGAGCACTCACCGATTGTCCCTACCCCGTTCACTGCGCTGGCCTTGCTCGGAGTATTCCCTAATCGAGTCAGACGTCACACACGTTCACAACCAAACTCCAATTCCAGTCCTTCTTTTTATTCTTTCCTGTTGAATCCTCAACCCCCCTTCAACCCCCTTCAAACCCCCCAACCATCATCCAGCAATGAACCAGATCTTCATCCGCACCCACAAGGGCGAATACGGTACCAGCGCAACAGTGATGCTTCGGTTCTCGTGTTGCTTTGTGCTTTTTTTTTTCCCAAGCTCCTTTTGGTGCTCCGTTTCATTGTTCCGGCTTGTTTGTTGGATGCTGCGAAATGCTCACTGCTTGTGTGTGATTGTCGATCTGCGCGACTGCAAACCCCCCCCCCCATTTCCCCCCTTCTGTGCATGTGTGTGTTTGAATTGTTCCAGTCGGCGGTGAAACCATTTATGGGTAAAGTCGGTGCATTTTGAATTGATCGAGCTTTTTAATGGTGTTTTTTTGTGTTTTCGCTTTGATTGTTCCACATGGCAAATGCTGATGATTCCGTGTGTCGACACAACAGAACCGTGTACCTGAACCTTGCCATCCCGCTGCCGGCCAAGAGTCTCGAGCTCCGTGTCAAGGGCGTCGAGCGCAGTGAGTTCGATTTGGTTTTGGCGGTTTTTTTTTTTTTTTGGTTTTTTTTTTTGCGGGCTTTGATTCTCACTACGCGCCTTGCTATGGTTCTGGTGCTGCTGTTGCTGCTGTTATAGCGAAATGGAACTATGTGCACTACGAGTCCGTGTCCGACGGCCAGGGCGGCACGACCCAGCGCCGTGAGATTCGCGAGCACGCTGGCAAGAAGGAGTTTTTCAAGGTCAAGATTGTCATGTACGAGTACCCGACCATCTTCACTCCAGGCTACTTTGCCTACCCGTTCCAGTTCACGCTGCCTGCGAACTTGCCAGGTGAGCGAGCGCGAGGGACCGCGAGGGGACTGCGAACGTGCCGTGAGAGTGCGCGAGAGCGCTTCTCACACTGAGCGCAATGCAAATGCAGCTGCCAGCCAATGCTCACCTTCATCCTCTCGTTCGGGTTCACGCTGAGCACAGGTGTCTTTATGAAGCACAAAAAGTCGCGCGAGGACACCAGGATGAAGGCTGAGATCTTTTACAAGGTTTGGGTGCTTGTCAATTTGCTGCTGGTTTCCACCCCCTGCCTTTGCTCAACTCCTTTCAAAAACTAATGTGCCTCGCTTGAATGCTTGCTTTGATGAATGCTGCGTAGATCAAGGCCACCCTGGACATCCCCGGAACCAAGCACGACCTCAAGATCACGCAGCCGCTTGTCATTCACGAGCGTCTTGATCTGGCAATTGCTCCGCAGCACTACACCAAGAACGGCACTGTGCGCCTCTTGTGCTGCATTCCGCGTGGCGATGTCAATGTCGAGGCATGGATGGACAAGAATGCATACATGGCTGGTGAAACGGCCCAAATCCACGTTCGTGTCCAGAACGGCTCCAAGTCCAACATTGACAACTTTGCCGTCAAGGTATGGTTTTGTCTGGTGCATCGTTGATAGAAGGGGCAGGTCCAAGGAGGAGCTTGTAACTGTGCCTCACAAACGATTCCAACAAACCGCCGCCACTTGCTTTTTTGCTCTGCACCCGTAGCTGATGCGTGTCATCACCATTACAAACGGACATGGCGCTTCTAAGGTCATCACCGATACAGTTGCTCAACAACAGTATCCTGGATGCCTTGCTGGAGAGAGCAAGGAGAGGTATGTCACAGTGTCTCCTTCGCTCGCTGGCCATGGTGCTTTGTTCTGGACAACTTGCTCACTCTTCTGCTCTTCTGGTTGACGTTAGTGACATTCCTCTTCCTCTGGTCTCGAAAAAGGGTGCTCGTGGCGCCATCAAGCCTGCGACGACGGCTGGCCTGGTCAAGGTGATTGTTTATTGGTTGATATTTTTCACCTTTTTTTGTTTTTCAACATCAACTCATCACGTGCTACTTTTTGGAATGGTTACTTCGACTTCCCCGCTCCCGGCTGCGTCCTTCAGTGCGTCTATCATGTCGACATCGAGATGCAGATTCCTTGGGTGAGTGATGACTTGCTTTTTTTGCTTTTTTTTTCTTTTTCTTTTTTTGGTCGGTTTTTTTTTTTTGGTTGTTGTTTCTGTTCTGCACTTCAACTGACTTCTGGGCAACACCTGTGGGTCAATCACGGCAGGCTCCTGATGTGGAAATCCACGCTCCGGTCAAGATTTACGCGCCAGCCAACTTTGCTTGGGCTCAGTGGCAGCCTCCGCAGTGGGCCGCTCAAGCGACCATCCAGCCCGTGATGGGCGATCTGTCCGTTCCCCAGGCAGTCCTTCGTAAGTTAGGGAGCAAACTACTTTGAAGGATGCGAGTGAATTCTTCAATCGCTCATTGCTTTGCTGTTGTACGAACTTGACTTCTGCAGAGACCCAGTTTACCGGTCTGCCCGCCTTCTGATGATTTTTTTCAGTGCTCTCACCCGTGCGTGTGGGTGAGTTGATGTTTTTGTTTTCAGGCATGTCAACGTACCATGAGTAAATCGATAAGAGTAAATCGCTCGATGACCATAAATCACAAATCGAACGAAAAAATCGATCAATTACAATAAATTACAAATCGAAAAACACAACAAACAAGCGAGAAATATACGGGGAAAGCAAAAACTGCAATTCATAAATACGAATTCTGAACAATGGTGAAGGAATCCACCAGCGAGTGGTCGACGGCATTGTATTGCTCGACTTCGAGGTGGGTGTCGTTCCAAAACGTCAAACGTGCCCAGCCGCGAGCGTAGCTTGCGTCCCAAAAGGCGTCGTACTCACGTGGGGGAACAGTGAAGGGATCTGGGGAGGCAACGCCACCAACACCGCTCTGGACATGCACGACTCCTTTGCCACGGAAATTGACGTAACTGCGCTGGATCAGCTTGCCCTGGGCAACCGGATGGGTTCGCATGTAGTGGTGCGTGTGACCAGACAAGTACAGGTCCACGCCATATTGGAGCAGCAGTCGCTCAATGCCATGCTGCGGGTTGCCAAACCCATACCGAATGGCTTCGGCTTCGTCGTTGCACTCGGCGTCCGCGGCTTTCGTGCAGTACATGGCTCGATGGCCCATCACCACAATCCAAGGTGTTTCGGATCGGTCGACGGAGGCCAAGTCCTTTTCCAGGAACTGAATCTGCGGTTTGACGAGCGACCAAACCTAAGAACAAGCAAGCAGGCACAAGCAGTCAGACAGTGGTGTTGTTTGAAATTGTCGATTCGGGTGACGGGGAAATGAATTGGCTTACCTCGGGAAGAACCCATGCGTCCGTGTCCAGCAACACAAAGTGAACGCGCTGAACATTGAAGGAAAAGTAACGAATGGAGGACGAGCCCGAGGCGGCCGCCAGGGCGTGCTGCCCGCCGTAGCGCATGAGAAAGTTGTGATACTTGTACCGAGCAGTGTGGTTGGCGGCTTCGGACTCTGACTCGTGGTTGCCAACACCGAAAATGTACGGCACACTCGCAGCGATAGGCTGGATGTCGTTCAGAAAGCCGTCGCTCGACGCACCGCAGTCGTTCGGAGGACCGTAGGCAATGTCGCCATAGTGAATGACGAGATCGTGCGCCCCAGCCTTGGTGTCTTGAATGAGCATGGGAATAGAAGTCACGTCCATCTGAGATCCCATGTCGCCAAAAACGGACGCCACCAGTCGAGGCGCGGTATGGTTGACCGTTTTGAGCGCAAAGACGTCGCTCCATGGTCCGTCCGCATGGCATGCAGCACGATAGTACACGGTGGTGCCTGCAGTGCAGACATCGAAACGTGAGTGCAAGTCGCGCTCTGGCAGATTTGACTCGGGTTGCCCAAACGAGAATCTCAAAAACCCAAAGTCTGAAACAGATGTCTCTCAAACCTCGCAAAACAACAAAAAACCTCGAAAACTCAGAAACACACCTTGTGGAAGGTCGTTCAAAACAACCGAGTGCAGAAACCGCTCGTGTTGCGCACATGGTGCTGCTTCTGACGATGCTCCGTCCGCGTCTGTGAACAGGACTGGCATGTCCTCGCCCAGCACGGTCGTCGTCAGCGCTGCGGGGTCTGGCGCGAGGCCGAACTGGACGAACGAGGCTGCTGCGTTGTTGCCAAGCGTTACAAACTGAATGACGTAGCTCGTCGGTCGCAGCAGCCGAGTCCCGCCAAACACAACATGGACTTGCTCGGGTAGGTTGGACGCGACTGTCGCGGGCAGCGCAGCAGCGAAAGGCGCGAAGGCAGACGGTGCCACAGCGATGATGCAGAGCAGCAGCAGCACCACGGCGACCTGCATTGGTTGCGACTCTCTCCGTCTCAGTCTCTGTCTCAGTATCTCGCTCAGTCTTCTTGCTCACTGTCTATCGCTTCGTGGAGGAGAATGACAAACGATTCGAGTGCACCGAGCGCTTAAAGAGCGCACAACAAGCGTCAGTATGACGGGAACAGCTGGAATAGTCAAGAAAACTCAGACTGGCTTTGCAATTGAAATGTGAAATTGGTGCTTTTATGCTTTAGTTTCTCACTCATCAGATGAACAGTGAACAGTGAGTGAGAGTGAGTGAGATTGAGTGAATGATGTTGCTTGTCTGAGTTGCTTTGCTTTGACTCGTTCAGTCCTTCCTTTTTCTTTGTTGTGTTTTTTTTTTTTGCTTTTACTTGCCAATCTCCCAACTCTCCCTTACAAAGCAAAGCACACTTTCTACTATTGTTCACAATGCTTGCTACACGCTCAGCAGTGCGACTTGGCCGAGCAGCAGCAGCAGCAGCACTCGCGTCTCCATCGCAGCAGCTACAGCGCTTGACTGCCAGCAACTTGACCGCACCACTCCAGCAATCCCAACAACAAAGGTACAAATGAAAACACGGCCCATCACATTCATGAACGAGTCAGAGTCAGAGAGTCAGAGTCAGAGTCAGAGTCAGAGTGTGTGTGAGTGAGTGTTTGAGTGAGGATAGAGACGGACAACAAACTGGCTGGAGATTGCATTGAAGGGCACATGGCCAATGCACGGCCCACTGCAGCCGTCTTCCCCCACCCCCACAAACCCCGATCCGACTCCAGGATCAAACTGAGCAGAGCCTTGGTCTCTCGCAATGATTTGGACTGACGACAAGTCCGCCCCGACTGTGTGTGTGTATGGTTTTCACTGTGGTTCACTGTTGGACTTGGTTTTTTTTTTTTTTTCTTATTGCTTTCAGGTCGTTCTCGTCGCTGCTGCTCAATGGTGGCAGCCGACTCCGGATGGGCCCGACGGGCGCATTGTCACTGTGCTCCTCGTCATCATCATCATTGTCGCCGTCGTCGTCGTCGGGGGCGCTGCTGGGTGCATCCACTGCAATCACCGTGCAGGGCGGATCGCTCGGTTGCGCCGCGCCGCGTCTCGCTGCCAGTGCATTGCTCGCTGCGCCAACCTGCGTGCGCCATGCCACGTTCGGACGAGAGTACCAGCCGTCAAATTTGAAGCGCAAGCGAAAGCACGGATTCTTGCTGCGCATGTCGACGGCGGCCGGCCGACGTGTGCTGCTCCGACGACGGCTCAAGGGCCGCCGCAAGCTCAGCCATTGAGGATCGCGGGGCAACAAAGACTTTTCTATCGAACAGATCTAACAAGGATGCCTTGTGCTTGGCAGGTTCGTTTTCCCCTTTGCGTTTGAACGAGAATGGATGGAAAGAACCAATGCTTTTTGTTTGTGTGAAAAAAAAAATTGTCTAAAATGTCTCAAACTGCCTCAAAGATACAAACCCAATCTAACCATGACGCGCAGAGGGGAATCTTGATTCAATCAAGACCAAAGAAAAAAAAGGGGGCGAAAACGACTCTCTGAGAAGGGTCAATTTGGATCAAAACGATGAAAAACAAAGATTTTGGGTGTGGGTGTGGGTGTGCTCGTCCCCGTGGTGGTTGCACTCGTCGCCGCAGCTGGACTAGCACGAGACAGCGCTGAAGTAGATGAGGGCGTTGTAGTAGTAGAACTGGTTGCCGCAGCTTGGCTAGCACGAGGCAGAGTCGAGCTACTTGACGGCGTCGTGGCTGTGACAGCCGCCGCGGCTGTACTCGTCGTCACCGCAGTTGGACTGGCACGAGGCAGAGGTGAACTTGTCGAGGCCGGTAATGTTTGAAGTGCAGGAAGAGGGGAAGGGCGGCTTGCCATCTGAAACTGACGTCTTACGACAGGTGCGACGGATGGGGTCGTGCTGGCTGCTGGATGAGCGCGTTGTTGTGCAACGTGGGTGCGATCAGCCGACGGTTGATGCTGGTGAGTCGTGTGCGACGTTGTCTGCAGTTTCTCCGCGGGCAGCCAGAAAAGGTCGGCTTTGCTCTGGGCTGGGCCAGAGTGTGAATTTTTGCCAAACCATGCGGAAAGAGCCGCGATGGAACTGCTCATGGCCTGAAGTTGTTCGCGAATCTCGTCGCGCTTGCGCTCGTGATGTTCCTGGGCTTTTTCATAGGCCAACTTTTCCGATTCAAGCTTGTTGGTCTTCGCAAGCAAGCTTTCCTTCAAGGTTTCCCGCTCCTTAAGCCGCCTCTCAAAAGCTAAAATGCAGCGTTCTCGCGCTGCGTGCCATACGATTGAACGTGCCAACAAAGAAATAACCCAAGGCCATTCATGAGATTGGTGGCAGTTCCACACCCTTTTTTGTTTCTTTCTTCCTTCTATTTCCTGTCTTGTCCAGCTTACCTTCCCAGTATTGAGCCAACCCTACGTCCACAGACACTCGCATGTCGAAAAATTCAGGGCCAAATAGTTTTCCGCGCGCATCCTGCAACGAGAAGAAAGTCAGCAACGACAGCGACCTCGCAAAAGCGGCCAGCAACGCGTCGCGGCGACGTACACAGTCTGGACAGAGCCATGTGCCTGCAGGCACCTCAGAATAGTTAAGACAAGGCAGATGGAATGAAGAGGTGCACGTGTCGCACATGAGCAGGTCCGAATCGGGCACGATCAGTTTGCAAATGTCGCAATCCTCCCGATGTCCATCAATGAGTGGTGCTTCAATGTTGGAAGCCGCAAGATCCGTGGGTGGGGAGTCGGGGCTCTGAAAGCAACCGTATCTCCAAAAGTCAGAAACAATGTTCATGTTGACCATTGGCCAACGAAAGAAGAGCAAACAAAAAAAAAAAAAAAAAAAAAAAAAAAAACTTACAGAGTCCACTTCATTGGACTGTTCATCATCCTTGTCGGCGTCGTGATCACTGTCTTTGTCGGCTTCGCGATCACTGTCTTTGTCGGCTTCGCGATCACTGTCGTTGTCGGCTTCTCGATCACTGTCTTTGTCGATTTCGTAGTCGCTGATTTCGTAGTCACTGTCTTCATACGTGTACTTTCTCGATGCTTTTTTCTTTAGCTTGGACTTGCGCTGAGGTTTGACATCAGCGCGGGTTGATGGCTGAAGCAATCCCATTCGTGGTTGCTCGTCGTCCGAATCGGAATCGGAAGAAACAGACGTCTTGTGCTTGGGTTGCCGCCGCGAGGCCTCCTCGGACGAGGCTGCGCTGCGTTTTGAATGAACTTGTACAGCGAGTTTGGTGGCATGAGCATCTGAATGCGGATTCCGACTCTGGGATGCAGGGGAGTCAACCCTGCTTTGGCCGACCGAGGAGGCAGGAGTCGAAGAGGCCATACCATCAGACTCGACATCACGTGCAGCCCGCGCAAGAGCGGTGGTCTTCATGGAAGGTCGCAGATCTAATGCGCGGTATGCGCCCAACTTTATCTGCTCCGGTGTGGGAGGAGGACTCGGAAGCTTCGAGTCGTTCCCCCGAGCGGGACGGGATGGCGACGCACCCGATCTGCGCGCAGGCATGGCAGGAGACTCTGTTTCGTCCTTCGGAGGCGCGTGGGCGGTGGCGTCGTGAGCGGGTGTAAATGCTGCCTTGTTGTCGTTACTCTGCGTCTGAGCCGCAGTTGCGCGAGCAGTCGCGGCCTTGCCGCTAGCCTGGTCTTCATTCTCGGCTTGCGAGCCCAACAGCACCAAACGACGCGCTTTACCGCCAACTGCAGTACCGTTGCTCGGACGCGCGAGCATGCTCGTGGATTCCGTTACAGTGGTTTTCGGCGGCGTCAGCTGTCGAGATGCCGTGCGCATTGGACGATTGGGCGAAGTCGCGCTGTTGGACGTGCTCTCAGAGCTCGAGCTTTGGTCTAGGCGGATTGATGAATATGCTTGAAACCCTGAAAGCCCTGTCGGCAAGCCGCGAGGGGTTGCCTTCTGATGCACGGGCTGAACAAGGCGGGGCTGCTTGCTTGGGTGAGCGGTCGGTCCATCGCGAGCCTCGTCGCTTGCATCGCGTCGCCGTTTTTGCGTGATGCTAGCGGGCTCATCGCTGCTTGACGCTGATACCCGACCGAGACTACTTGCCGACGCGGTGGGCACGGATCGGGTGGTTGGCAGCTTGGGTGCTGGCGGTGGGGGTGGCATGTCCCTCGTGCCCACAGTCGCCAACTTGGCCCCAGCAGGCGGTACCACAGCGTGCCACTTGACGACAGCGGACGACTTGGCTGTGGATTTGGCCGGCTGCATCATCAAGCTCGCGCGCGTGTCCATCTGGTCCAAGTCCGGCGAATCGAGTGTAACGAGGCTGACAACCTCCTGTTGCTCAGTGTCGCCGCCGTGGTTGCCAAGCAGCAACGACGGACGAGGAGTAGCAGAAGCAGGTGACTGGGCCTCAGCACGGACAGGGCCAGGGGACGGATTGGTGGCGTGCGCCTGAGCCGGAGCGACAACGGGTGGGACAGTCCTCACGGCCACCGACGGCGATGGTAGCTGCGGCAATGGTGCTGATGAGTGAGTTACAGAGAGGCTCTGCAGCGACGGTGCTGCGGCCGAGGCGCTGTGAGACGCATGTGCTTGGCTGCGCCTCCGTTGCAGGATGGCTGGGCTGGAAGAGATTGAAAAGCGGTTTGTTGCAGGCTCAAAAATAATGTCATCATCATCGGGTTGTGACATGGCGATTGATGATGGGAGGTCCCGGGGAGGGGGGAAAAAGAAGGAAGGAGAGAGACGGGGCGAAAGCGGGGATGATCTGAAAAAAAAAAAAAGGCGGGAACACAGCAAAAAAGGTAGGACTGCCAAATCCGAATCTGTCAAATACAAATGCGACTGAATTACGAACTGATCAGGCTACGAACTGCGAAATGACAGGACGAATAAGTGTTGGAGACAAAGTACAAATGTCGAAACAATCCAGCCGTCTTCAAAGCCCGATTTCGCACGTTTTGCACGGTTCAAGCGAAGCTAGCCAGCCTCGCGCCAGGAAATGCTACTTGAAAGGGTTATCAATTTTAATGATGCTAACACAAACAAAAGATTATTCGGGGCGACAAAACCCCACAAAAAAAAAGGGGGGGGGGCAAAGAAAACCAAAAGAGACAGAAGGGGGGAGCAGCCAACAACTGCTTCTCTCCGTGTCAAGAACATGGTTTTTGAAAGCAGGGCACGAAACGAGAACGAAACGAACAAAATGAAAAGGGTTGCGGGGGGGGGGATACCCATTCTCATTTAAAGCTCGTGGTCGTGCGAGTGACCGTGGTGGTCGTGGTCGTGGGCATCACCAGTCTCGCCGAGGGAGGCATCGACAGAGTTGGCAACAACGTACTTGTGGAGCTCGTCGTACTCGCGACCACCAGAGTAGTCGACGACACGGCGGCCAGCACCAGCGGGGTAGAACTTGAGGGTGGGGAAGCCCTGGACGTGGACGGAGGCGACCTCGTTGGCAGTCGAGTCCATCTTGGCAATGACAACGTTGTCAACGTTGTCGAAGGCGGCAGCGAGCTTGTCCCAGATGGGGACGAGCTTCTTGCAGTGGCCGCACCAGGGGGCGTAGTACTCGACGAAAACGTTCTTGGTCTCGTCGTGGACGAGCTCGTCGTGGTCGCGGCCAGTGAGGACGCGGACGCCAGTGCCGCTGTAAGGCTGGGGCTCCTCGGACATGAGGTAGCGGGAGAGCTTGCCCTCAAAGTAGCTGGTGGCGAACGAGATGAACGACTCGGCCTCGAGGTTGAGGGGCTCCATGCGGTACTTTTCGACCTCCTCGCCGAGCTTGATGAGGCGGATGTCGGGGGTGGACTTGACGCCAAAGTAGTCGGCAATGCGGGCAGAGGTGGGCTTCTCAAAGTCGACAATGACAAAGAGAGCGCGGCCCTTGAACTCGGCGGCAGCCTGGCGGAAGCCGCTGAGGGTGGTCTTGGACTCCTCGGAGGTGAGGCCGTTGAGGAAGATGAGGACGTGGGTCTTGATGTCGCCGCCGAAAATCTTGGGGGCGCTCTGGTCGGTGAACTCGACGGCGAGCGGCAGGCTGTTGGCCTTGATGAAGCCCTGGATCTGGAGGGAGGCGAAGGGGCCGTCAAAGACGACGCGCTCGGGCTCCTCGGGGAACTTGCGGAAGAGAACGACAGACTCCTCGGTGATGGCAAACTTGCCCTGGATGGACGAGTCGTCAACGTTGACAACGGCAAACTTGGCGTCGTCCATGGCGTCGGCAACAGTGCTCAGCTGGGCGATGGCGGCGTTGTTGTCGCCCTTGAAGAAGCCGACAACGGCGAGGTCGTTGGCAGCGACAAAGGCCTCAACCTCGTCAACAGCGGTGAGGGTGGCGATGGTGGGGCCGGTCTTCTTCTGGACCCAGTTGAAAATGTCGTTGGCAGTGCGGCCGCCAGTGTAGTCCATGGGGTTGCCGTTCTTGAAGAACTTGAGGGTGGGGTAGCCGCGGACCTCAAACTTGGAGGCAGAGGCAGAGTGAACAGTGGCATCGAGCTTGGCGAGGGCGACGGGCGAGCCGGCAGACTTCAGGCGGGTGGCAGCCTCAGCGTAGTGGGGCACGAGGCTCTTGCAGTGACCGCACCAAGGGGCGTCTGTTTTTTGGAGCACAAAAAAAGCAGGCCAAGGAAGGAAAGAGTGAGGAAACAAAGTGAGTGAAGTGTAGAGTTTTTGATTGTGAGAGTGAGTTTGAGTTTGAGAGTGGGAGTGGGAGTTTGAGAGTGTGAGTGTGAGTGGATGGGCTGATGCACCAATTCACTCACGCCCAAGCAGTGTGTGAAACATTATCCAAATCCCAAGGGAGCTTCAACTGAGACACGATAAAACCCCCGGCATGTTGTGTTTGCAGACCAAAGTTGCTCATGCATGCGCAAACACTTGGTTCAATTCGAGGCATGGCTTCACACTGCACACTGTTTGCGTTGAGTGAGGGCTTTGCCGTTGCAGCTAAACTCAAAAAAATGAAAAAGAAAAAAAAAGGAACGATCGTTCTTTTTTTCTTTTTTTCTTGCTATTGTTGCTTGTTGCTGTTGAGACGCGCTCTCGTCCATTTCCGCCTGAGACTCTCATTCGCTGCACCAAAGTGTCGACAGCATCTGGTCTCTGCTGCCTGTCCCCGATCAGCAAAACGCACGCCTCACTTGAATGAAGCCGTGTTTTCAATTTTTTTATTTTTATTTATTTTTTTTTCTCCTGCAAATGAAAACCTGCCACGCTTTTTTTTTTTTTTTTTTTTTTTTTTTTTTTTTTTTTGGGGTTTATGATGTGGCACGGATAATTTTTTTTTTTTTTTTTGCTTATTCACAGTGGTGTTCTGTCGCGCATTTTGTGTGCGCGCGGTGCTGGCAGTGAAGCGCTCTATTGGCAAAGGCCAAAGCGAAAGAAACGCTCGACTCGGAACACGATCAACGAAAGAGAGACCGCGAGAGTCGAGCGCGATGGCGGGAAAACAAAAAAAAAAAAAAAAAAAAAAAAGGGATCTTTCACTTACAGAACTCGACGAGGATGAACTGGTTCTCGGCAATGACCGAGTTGAAGGTGTCGTCGGTGAGGACAATGACGTCCTTCTCGTCGACGTCAGCGCCGCGGATGCCGGCGACAAAGAACGCGAGCACGAACGCGATCGCAAAGAAACGGTTCATGATTGAAAAGATACAAAAAAGAAGAAGAAAAAACAAAGAAGAATGAGTTTTGCATTTGATTTGTAGATCTAAATGTCAGCGACAATTGGGAAAGAATGCTCACAAAGAGACACACACATGCATGCACAATCAATAGACACATGTTGGAATGGTGAGGAATTGTGCGCAGCGGAAGAGTGGTTGGACAGAGCGAGGTGGAGGGGGTTGGAAGTGCAGCATAAACGACAATCCACACACCACCTTAGAAGAACTCACAGTCTGGTCTGCGCGAGCGCTTTGTACCTCAGTACAAGTCTGTCGATGAATTTCAGACACAGCAATAGCAGCGAAATTTGGCGGGACCCCTCCACAATCGCACCGACGTTTGTTTGTGTTTCATATTCAAACCGAACCAAGCAGCGCTCTTAGCTCAACATCGGCAACACTATTCAACATGATTGGTCGCCCTCACTACTCGATGCGAAAGGGAAAGGCGTATCATCATGCACATGTTGTATGAATTGCTCCGATGCGCGCTCTTTCGCTCCCTTGACAAAATCCTTGCACAGCAATTTCGCATGTGTGGAAAATTTCGCATTGCCAAAACCGCTGAGATTTCTCGCTGCGCAGTCCCAATGCCACCCTCAATAACAACAACCGTATCCAAACTATTAGAGTGGTTTGCATAACCTCCGCATTCCCTCCGCACCGCCTCCTCCGCTCGCTCATGGCTGGGCGATCCGCACTCTTCCGCACCAAATCTTCCGCACCGATTTAAAATCCTGCTGAAATTCGTTTCGGATGAAGCCACTCCTGTATTCACATACACTCCCCCATAAACTCAAACACATACACCTCAGAAATCAAAATGGCTTCCCTCAACAACCTTTCCGTCGCAGGCCGCGTCGTGCTGGTCTCTGGCGCATCGTCTGGAATTGGCGAAGCCACGGCTCGCCTTCTTGCCGCTCGAGGCGCCAAGGTCGTCCTCGGTGCTCGCCGCACAGACCGTATCGACGCCATTGTGGCAGAAATCAAGAAGGCCGGCGGCCAGGCCGCTGGACAAAAGCTCGACGTGACCTCACTCGAGGATTTCGAGGCGTTTGTGCGTTTCGCCGAATCGACTTTTGGCCCGGTCGACGTGCTGATCAACAACGCCGGCATCATGCCGCTGGCACCGCTGCACGCCCTCAAGGTTTCCGAATGGACGGCCACCATTGATGTCAACATTCGCGGCGTTCTGCATGGCATCGCGGCCGTCATCACCAAGATGCGTGAACGCAAGCAAGGGCACATCATCAACGTCTCCTCGGTTGCCGCCCACATTGTCTGGCCGACCGGCGCAGTGTACTGTGCTTCCAAATTCGCGGTTGCCGCAATTTCGGAGGGTCTCCGCCTTGAAAACCAGGACGTCCGCGTGACGGTGGTTTCCCCCGGCGTGGTGGAATCCGAGCTCGCGCACACAACGACGGACGAAAACACCAAAGTTGCTCTCAGCAAGCTCCGGGAAGTCGCCCTGACCCCTGACGCCATTGCCCGAGCCATTGCGTACGCCATCGAGCAGCCCGCTGACGTTGCCGTCAATGAGATTATTGTTCGTCCGACCGCGGCCACGATTTAACTTGAGGTTTTGGTTGTTGTTGTTACAGTATTGTTGTCGCAATCTCTGGTGCAATTTGCACATCACCAGTACATGTACAAAACCACCCCAACCTTGTTGACTTCAATACAATACTTGCCTCCATATTCGACGCACACGGTCGTGTTTCCAAAAAAAGTTGGGGCGTGGTTCCTGACTGTTGCGCGAACATGCCAAAAAAAACTCAAAAACTCGGGGCTTGTTTTCGATTGTTGTATATTGAGGACAAAGGGGGGACAAAAAGCGACACGGGCTAACACGACTAGACAAGAGATGTTGTGTGGTCTTGAACTTGAAACGAACAAAAAAAACGGTTCAATAGAGACAAACACACTCGTCTCAAACTGCCATGAAACTATCGCCTCTTCCGTATAAAAAGCCAACTGGCGCAAACAGGAAGAGCCTAGCACTCAACCTGCGTGGACAATGCGCTCTTTAAGCCTTGACGGGGGCGGGGGTAGCAGCGGCGGGGGCAGCGGCAGCGGCGGGGGCAGCAGCGCCAGCAGCGGGGGTGCGGGGGCCGGTGGGCTTCTTGGCACCCTCGGCAGGGCGGCGAATGCGCGGCGGCGGGTCGCGGTTGCGGCGGTCGACGGCCGAGCGGTTGCGGACGACCTTCGAGTGGATGGCGCACGAGACGCAGTATTGCTGCTTCAGGTACATCTTGGGAAGAGCGTAGACCTCGAAGACGGAGGCGTCGGTGATATCACGGACGGCAGCCGACTCGATAATGTTGCGGACAACAAAGCGCTTGATGGCCTTGTCCTTCGGGACGGAGCGGCCGCAGTTGGTGCAGCGGATGGGCTTGACGTGGCCGCGGCCGTGCTTGGCGCGCCCGTTGTTGCGTCGCTTTTGAGTCTGCACAAGTCGGATGCGGAAACGCAGAACGGTTAGTGTTGTGGGTGCGTGTGGCGCGTGGGCAAACAAAACGGCTGTTGATGGGGATGGGAGCAGAAGAAGAAGAAGCAGATCAAAAAACAAAAACGAGCAAGCAAGGCGAAAACAAAGAAACCGTCCACTCTTGCCCTCTTCTTCGCGCCCCCTGCGACACCCCGACCAAGAACACACTATCTGGGATCGTTGCTGAAGCAGCTGGTCTGGCAAATGAGACCCGTGAAGCCGATCGTTGAGCGAGCAAAAAGACGATGTGCTGCTGTTCAGAAAAAAATCAATGCACCGCCCCTTCTCGTCCCTGAGACCGCCGGTGGTCGCTCGCACAAGCTACCACCGCCAACAAGCGATCACTGGCAGTGTCGGCTGCCGACGTGGAGGGGCGCGAAACCTCAGCTGGGCCGACAGGACGATCGCAAATCCTCGCAGCACAACCAAAAGCCAAAGTTTTTGCCGCCAACGACCCGCCGCTGTTCCGGTCCCCCTCCAGCCGCTCCTACAGCCGCTATAGCCCCTCTCCCCACTCAATCCGACGTGTTGCATGATATTTCAATGGATTCGAGAAGATGGCGGGCAGAGCGCAGGGTGGATGGCTGTCCGCACCATGAAAACGGCAGGAAAAGAGAGAGCGATCCAAAACGATTTCTGCCTCCAACAAAAACGAAAAGCAAAATACAAGTCAAAAAAATCAATGCAGAAAAACCATTGCAGCATTTTCTCAGCTTTACTCGAACGCTCACGAGCACAAAGGACTATCCAGTGACCTGTGGCTGCAGCAAAGAGAAATGAGTGCAACTTGCATCACCAGGAATCGAGAGAGAGAGAGAGCGATGGAAAATCAAAAGCCAATGCATCTGAGCCAATTTGACAGCAATGTGCCAGTTCATCTCGGTTGCTCAGAGCTGCTCGAAATCTGTGGCACGAATGTCCCCCCCCCCACAACAGACTCGGGGGGACTTGTTTACCTCGGATTCTCTGAGCGCCCTTGACTTTTTCTGCTGTTTGAATTGTTTCTCAGTCGTCGTTTTTTTCATTCAACCAAAATGTCGATCGGCACCCCTATCAAAGTGCTGCACGAGGCCGTCGGCCATATTGTGACGATTGAGCTCAAGACGAGCGAGGTGTACCGTGGCAAGCTCTTCCAGGTCGAGGACAACATGAACTGCCAGCTCGAGGACATCACCTTCACATCGCGGGACGGCCAGGTCTCGCGTCTGCAGCAGGTCTACATTCGCGGGTCCAAGGTCCGCTTTTTCATCGTACCCGACATGATCCGTCACTCGCCCGTCTTTGCAAAGACCTCAGCACAGCGCGCCCATCTCGGCGGCAAGACTTCAGCCCGCGCTCCAGGTGAGGCCTCAAAGCGAGAACGAGCGAAAAGGGAATAGAAAAACGGATGGACGACGACCGAAATCCTGTCCTTGGTCCGATCGCGCGGATAGAGACGGACGCGTTGGGTCGTGGGAGGAGGAGGATGAGGATGAGGAGGAGGAGGGTGAGAGTTGGAGACCAACGAACGTCGTGCGGGCTCGTGGGGATGAGAGCTTTGGCGACGAGTGGAGAAGAGACAGAGAAGAGATCTCGCTTTTGGCGGGCTGCTCTCTGGCGCTTCGACGGGGTGCTGCGGCTTCGGAGTGAGGCATGGATCCAAGTGCGTGCGATGGATGTGTGCGATGTGGGAAGAGCGGAGCAGAGTCAGAGCCGTGCAGCCACTGAGACTGCTGAAACGATCAGAAGCGATGCAATCAGACGAAGCGTCCTCGTTCGTTACGGCTCGTTACGGCTCGTCGTTCATTGTTGTGATTGTGCTTTGTCGTTGCTGTTCGTCGTTGCTGTTGTGTTTAGTTGGCGTTGGTGTCGCGGTCGTGGTTGCAAACCTTTGACTGACTTGAAACACCCTGAATTTGTTTATCTTGTGCTTTGCAGGGCGAGGGCGTGGTCGGGGTGGTCCCGCTGGCCCCGGTGGCGAGCGTGGTGATCGAGGTGAACGAGGTGACCGAGGACGTGGCCGAGGTGCGACTCGATAAAACAGTAAACAGACCGGATAAACTTTTGCTGCGCGCGCGTGCCTGGAAGTTCGCACCCTGTCAACCCTTGCGTCCATGGAGGTCCTTTTGCCTTTGATTGCATACAAAGCCACAGGCGATGCGTCTGTTCATGGGTGATTTCACAGGTTGCATACTGCTCCCGTCGTGTGTGGGTGTGCGTTGTTTGTTATTAGTATGTGTTGTTTGTTGTATCACGAAAAGAGTTTTTTTGTTTTTTGTTTGTTTTTTTTTTTTTTCCTTTGGTTTCCTGCCGTCGCCTCTGATTTCTGATGTACTTGTCGACTGTGTTGATCTTGTTTGCATGAGAAGTAAATTGGG